CCCCCGGGGGGGGGTTTAAAAAAGAAAAAAGGAAACCCGGCCCCCAGAAGGCTTGGAAGGTTTTCTTTCCCCCAAAGGAAGCCCCATTTTTTGGCCCCCGATTTCCCCGTAGGGGGGAAACCCCCATTTGCCAGGGTTTTCGCCGCGGGGGGCGCCTTTTTTTTTTGGGGTTGGAAAAAAAGGAGGGGGGGGTTCCCCCCCCTCTTTGGCGGTTCCCCCTCCTACTTCGGTGGTCCCCCCCCCCCCCCCCCAAGCCGCCGTTTCCTTAATCCTTTTTTTGGCCGCCCTTATTACCGCCACCTCCTTTTCCCCTTCTTACTTCGGTTCCCCCCCCCCCCCCCCCCACCCACCCACGCCCCACGGCCACGGAAGCTGCTCGCCGCGGAAGCTGCTCGACAGGTGCCTCGCAGCTGCGTATTCTCGTATTATCTTCGAGTAAGTGTAGGTACTGCGTGGGGGCGGTACGTATTCCCGTATCACGTATCACTAGCTCCGAGTAGAGGGGGCGTCCTTGCAGTTAAGGGGAAACCTGGTACGCGGGTCCAACCCTCGGAGAGTATTCTTTAGCTCCGAGTAGAGGGGGCGTTCCGCAGCTAGGGGGACCCACAGCGCGAGGGAAAAATTCCGCCGCTGGGGGAACCCCGGAGCGCAGAGCTAACCCTCGGAGACCCGTGTTATGGCCCTGCGAACGCGCACCCCCCCACGGTCGAGGAAGAGGGTGCGTTCTGCAGTTAAGGGGTAACCCGGTACACGGAACCATCCCTCGGAGACGTGTTAAGGCCCTGCGACCGCGCACCCCCAGGGCTAGGGCTCTCTTGCCCGCAACCCGATGCCAATCATCCGGCCCGCTGGGTGCGCTTCTGAGCTCCCCGGCCCTGGATGTGCGGTTGATAATTGCACTCCAAGTGCTCCAAGTTTACTTTACGGCCCTTTCCCTGCGAACGCGCACCCCCCTAGCTAGGGGTCAGGGCTCTCTAGCCCGTAGCCCGATCCCGATCATCCGGCTCGCTGGGTGCGCTTCTCAGTTCCCCGGCCCTGGATGTGAGGCTAATGACTGCACTCCAAGTGCTCCAAGTTCTTCTTTAGGCTCGCCTGCGAGCCGTCTTATTACCAGGTTGCAACCTTAGTCTCGCACTGTGCTGTGAACGCTGCTGGTTGGCGTCGGTTGCGCAGCACCCCGTCCTCATCCAGGTTGTTGGTTGCTGCCCCAGGTCCCGCACTATGTAGTGCAATGCCCCGTTCCCTGGTCATGCTTGTTCGGGTACGTGTTTCGCCCGTCCCTGCCTGTGTCCGTCCACGTCGCCCGTCGGCAAAGCCGACGACCTATGGTGCAATACACGCCGGGTCCTGAGAGCTGCTGGTTGCCGCTCTGTTCACAGCACAGTGCGAGACTAGGGTTGCAACCTGGTAAAAAGACGGCTCGCTGTGAGAGAGGCTTGTATTTTTGAGAATTCTTTAGGCGTTCAGCCGCTCGACACGCAGGTCCGTGGGGAGATGCAAGCCATGACCCGCATATAGCTGTTGCACCGCGCACAAGAAGACTCCCCGCGCACGCACGCGCAGCAAAGAGTGATTCACATTTACGAGTAAAAGCTCCCCGGTGGGTGCCCAGAGCGTGTGTGTATGGGTGGGAGAGGAGGAGGGAGAGAGAGGAGGAGGGCGGCCGCCCGCAGCCCGCCCGCCCGCCGGCCGGCCCCCGGCTGCTGCATTTAGGCTGAACAAGCTTTTCCTCTCGCACCCCGTCTCTTTTCCTTTCCTTTTCTTCTGAGCTTTTCTTCTCCCTTTTTTCTCTACAGCACCCTCTCTTTTCCTCTCTATTTTCCCGGGGAAACAATCAAATTTTCCGGGCTCTGAGCCGAGTCTGAGGCTGGTTTGGGCCCAAAATCAGCCAAATCGGCAAAATACCGGGTATTTTGCGGGCATACCTGGAAAACCCCGGGTATACCTGGAAAATACCCTGCGACCGCCAGGGTATTGTGCCGATTTCCTCAATTTTGCGTCAGATTTTGCCCCAGACCAGCTCTCAGACTCAGGGAAACTCGCGAGTTTCCAGAATGCTGAATGGAGCACCAAACACCCTCTGTTTTCCCTGGAAATTTCCGGAAACGCAAAGTGCTGGGGACCCTCTGTTTTCCTTTTTGTTTGCCGGAAAAGCTTGTGCAGGCCAACTGATGCTGCGGCGGCCCCCGCCCCGCCCGGTTGCATTCTCTCTGAGATAGGGAAGCAGAAAGAAAACGAACGGGGCAGACGTGCGTGTGCGCATCGCGTTTTACGACGCGGTCGGAGTGCACGCCGGCCCTCTTGCAGCATGCCTGAGATGCCCGCCGGGGCTGGCTCGCCCTCGCCCTCGCCGCCGTTGGCGGCGAGCGACCAGAGCGTCGGCGAGGCCCGCCGTGCGGCGGACGCCTCCGCCGCGAGGGCAGAGGGTCAGGGCCGCGGCAGTGGCCCCGAGCGTCCCAAGCTCCGCCGACGCGCCATGTCTTACAGCCGGGCGCCGGCCCGCCGAGCAGTTTCGCCAAGACGGGCGGCGGCGCAGCCTGCCGATCCGACTGGAGGCGACGAAGCTAAGAAAGAGGGCGGGGATGGGGCTGCGGCCAAGCCTGCCGCCCCCACCACTGTGCACACCGCGGGAGAGGGGCCTCGGTATGGCCGCGCGCTCTCCTTCGGTCGGCGGCCGCGCCGAAAAGCAGCAGCCAGCCCAGCCAGTGGCGTGGGGGGCTCCTCGGCGGGCCGCGTCTCAGCTCCCGGCTCGCTGCAGCGCCTGAGGGAGATCGAGGCGCTGCTCGAGGGCGTCGGTGGCGGCGACGCGCGAAGCTGGCTGGCCAAAGCGGAGGGCGTCATGTCGACAAAAGTGGCGGAACCGAGCCGCGAGCTCGACGCCCGCGTCTTTGTGCGCGTCGGGAACCCTCGCCTCGGCTCGGTTGGCTTCTACCGTCCCAAGAAAATGTACTGCAACGAGGACCACCTCAACCTGCAAGACATTGGCGAGGGCACCATCTTGCACTGCCGCCCCTCGGACCCGCTGCGCTTTGAGCTGCACCTGGTCTTCCAGTCGTCAAAGGGCTCGAACGTGGAAGTGCACCTGCGCTGCCTCCGCAAGCTGCACTACGACCATCTCCTCAACCGCCCGCGCCCGCCCCCTGAGGTCCACACGGCGTCGCCTCCCTCCGCACCTCCTCGGCAGCTCTCGACGTCGCACCCACCGATGCCGCTCGCCCGAGCGGGCACGCGCACCGCCAATGCCGTAGCGGAGCTGGACACGGTGCACACCGGGGCGGTGTCGCTGAACACATGACGTTTTCGCAATCACTGGCGCTACACGCACTGGGCACGCGCCCCCACACCGCACACGCGCACACGCGACACGGCGGACGGTGGGCTGTGGCCCCCGCGCCCCGCGCGAAACCACAACTATACCCTTGTCGCGCCTGGGTATTCGCCCTGTGTATACATTGGCCTTCCATCTCTGATTACTCGGATTCAATATCATTTAGTCCGACATTTCTTGATCTTGTGGCTCCCCGGCGGCCGGCGCTCTCGCCTCAGGTCAGAGTACAGAGAGGGCCCAGCGACTCGTCGGTTCTGCATTCGTGCACAAAGCAGACACCAGACCTCGGTTTCCCATCGGGTTTCTGCTGCGGTTTCCCATGGCGGTTTCCCATAGCCGAAAACCCAGGGGTCGGTCGGTTTCTGCGGCGCGCTCTGGTTTTTCTGGGATCTGTTTTCTGGGACACCCGCCTCGATTTCCCGTGGGATCTGCCTGTGGGTCTGGTTTCTGCGGTGTGAATACATCTCCCGCCTCGTCCTAATGAGCTCATTCCGGCCAATGAACAGGTGTCCCCATTTATTTTTTTCAAGTGGGAACAGCAAAAAAGCGGCATGCATTCTGCGTTTCTGGTTTCTGGTTTCTGCTCCGATTGGTCGCGACTGGTGATGAGTGTCAACGCCGGGTGCGGGTAAATCTCGGCACGGATCGGCACGTGTGGTAGCGTGCGATGAGGCCTTGCCAGCTCCTGGTGGTGCCCTCAAGATCGCCGCGCGCATTGGCCGCTCCGCCGACGTTGTGATAGAGCTTCTTTCTGTCTCCAACAGAGTAGATCCAAACACTCTATTGATATGCGATAGGTACTCAAAACACTCGCACAACGCCTGCTTTCACAGCTCAGCCTTTCAGGGCTTGGGCATGACAAGCAACGGCCCCGCCGGTCGGCGTCCGATGCACGAGGCAGCCATGTTGGCTGCCACGGCGTTTCCGCTCGGGATCGCGGCAGCCTGGCGGACTCGACCGCATCGCAGGCCTCCCTCCCGTGAGCCACAAAAGTGCGTGGCAGCGCGGCGCGCCGCCAACCTCGCTTTCGGAGCAGAAACCAGAAACCAGAAGCCGAAATGCCTGGAGCGATAAAACGGTTCCCCCCAAGGGTTCCTCCCACCCAGAACATGCTGCTGTCTTAGTACTCCCGTTCGACCCATTCGGAATCCGATTAGTTAATGAAGGGTCATTCCGCCGGAATGACCCCTCCACGGGGAGATCGTTCACACCTCGAAAAACCAGAACCCAGAGTGTCTGGCTGGACCGATATTCCCATGGCCCGGATGTTTTCTGTGGGATGTGTCGAAAAAGCAGAATACAGAGCTCCTCCTCCTATAAGTCAGACGGTTTCTTGATAGCTGATATGCCAGGGAAGAGCCTGGTATCTCAGTATGTTATATCCTATGGAATATGGTGTCTGGTTTATGCACACCTCCGGTTCTGGGTGTCAACGGGCATTGCCTGTGGTCTTCAGCGCACAAAGGGTGTGAATAGATAGAGCTCTCTTGATCCTTCTGAGCACGAAGACCACCTTAGCCGCTTTATTTAGGGTCTGATCACTCTGCCAACTGCTATGCGGACTGGTATGCACAGAGACTGAACATGTGTCTCAGAGTGTGAGATGACTGTGAGGAGGAGATTATCTCCGCACACGCGGTCCGCGAATCGCGGTGACGTCGAGTCGTGAGTGAATTCTCGTTTTTTTACATGTATCGTTTGTGCAGCGGCTGCACAGACTCACATTGTCAGGTTTTTAGTTGTGAGTGCTTTCGTGAGCGCCCCGGGCCCGGATCGATCGAGCCGCGGTATCGCGCTTCTGTGTCATCCCTACTTCACGCGCAGCCCGGGTCGCTACCCTTCATGCCCCCCCCCCCCCCCCCCCCGCGGCGGCGTGCGTGGATGGCTGGCGCACCCTGGCGGCGAGTCCCGGGCCGCTCACTCGTACGCCACGTACTGGTCCGACGTGGTGGCCGTCTCGTAGGGGCCCGCCGGCGCGCGGACGCCGCGGCTCCAGCGGCGGTACGCGAGCGCGGCGGCGGCAGCGGCAGCGAGGAGCGCGGCAAAGGCGGCGCCGGTGTAGACGCCCGGAGCCGCGTGCAACGTCGCCTCCTCTTCCGCAACCTGCGCCGTCAGCTGGATGGCGCCGCCCCGTCCCTGCTCGCGCTGGCCGCGCTGCTCGCGCTGGCCGCGCTGCTCGCGCTGCGCCTCGTCGCCGTCGATGAGGCGCAGCCCGTCGATGGCGTGCCTGCGGCGAGCCGGCCACCGCAGGGGAGGGGGGTCATGCTCACGCTGCCAGACCCTGCAGGGGGCGGGCAAGGGGTGGGGGGGGGGGGGGGGTGCGCGCGCCTCGCGTCCCTCGCCTTTGTCTTGGCCGTGTCCTGCAGCTTCTTCGCCTCCGCCTCCGCCTCCGCCGCCGCCGCCTCGGCGGCCTTCACCTCCTCCTTCCACGCGGCGCGGTACTCGGCCTGCGCCTTTTGCGCGTTTGCCTCCGCCGCCTGCATGTCAGCGGCAACCCGCGAGTCCTTGAGGTGGAACTCGGACCGGATGCCGTCGGCGGCGTGCAGGATGGCCTTGGCGTGCTCGTGGGCCGAGGCCGGGTAGACGGGCGGGCACGTCTCGCTCCCGAGCGGCTTGGCGGGCTCGCCGTACAAGTCCGCGTGCTTCTCGATGTACGCTGCGGTCGGGTAGTCGGGAGGGTCGCAGCCGGTGTGCTCCTCCTTTTGCCACACGCGCACGTAGTCGACCCAGAGGGAGGCAGGCCAGTGCTTTCCGTCGAGGGCGGTGGGCCCGCCGTTCCAGGTGCCGATCGCCGTGTTCATCACGAGCGACATGGGCTCGGCTGGCACCTGCCTCTTGGGCGTGCGCAGGCAGGGCGCGCCCGGCGCGCTGCTGTTGCAAATCTTGTACTCGCCGAAGGAGGCGGCCTCCATCGACCAGACGAACTCGTCGTCGTAGTACCAGGCGACGCCGCCGTCGCTCCCCGTGCGCCACTCCATCCGGTAGGTCCAGTACCGCGAGTGGAAGTCGTCGATCTCGGTGATGCCGCCCGAGAGCGCGTCAGGGCAGCCGGTGAGGCACTGAGAGCCTGGAGACGGTTCCGAGAAGGTTCTTGGAAGGCTCGTGGAAGGCTCCAGCTCCGGCAGCCCGTGGGCTGCAAGCCGAGAGACGAACGAGTCCATTCAGGGTCAGAATACGGCCGCCTCGGAGCGTCGCGCGAGTACGAGGGCTGGGAGTCCCGTGCTTTGCGGCGATGCGTTGGAACGCGGCCGACTGCGTGTCTTCTCGAGGGCTGGGTTGGAATACAGGGGCACGTGTTCCGCATCTATGGAAGCGAGCCGTACGGCGGTCCGTACCTGTGCGGGTGCGTGGTGGACGCGTCAGTGTACGTGCCCCAAAGGGCGGCGGGTGTGGGTGTAGCACAGGCGTGTGGGAGAGAGCGGTGAGGGGAGGGAGGGAGGCGGTGTGGCGTGCGCGTCGCCGCACCAGCCGTTGTTGGGCTTGCCGCGCTTGCCGAAGGTGAGCTTGCGGTACCAAGCGCCAGGCCCCTCCGCGGTGGGGAAGCCGAAGAGCGGTGGCCGAAAGTACGCCGGCACGCCCGGAGAGAGCTGCACCGAGCCAACGGCGTACGATCCCGAGCCTGGAGCAGGCGGGAGGGAGGAGGGCGCATCGGGACGTGCAGGGTGGTGCGCTACGATGCAGCGTTGCGATGCGATGCCGCCGCGTCGCGAGTCAGGGCGTGTGCTGAGGCGTGGGCGCGAGGCGTGGGCGTGAGGCGCGGTACCGGCATTCGTGACGGCGCCCTCGAGCACGTCGAGCTCGGTGGCGCCGCGGCCCTGGAAGGGGAGGAGGCCGTCCTCGCGCAAGTCGTGGTCCTGGCATGCGGAGATGCGCTGCGGCGGGTCGGTCGGCGGCAGCTTCAGGTCCGGGTCGCACTCGCTGTACGACCACGGCCACAGCCCCGTGTTTGAGTCCTGGTACACGGCGCGGCCGAGGTTGCCAAAGGCCCAGAGCGCGGGCCAGTAGCCGCCGCCGCCGGGCAGCTTGGCGCGGAACTCGACGATGCCGCCCGTGAAGCAAAACTTGTTCCAGGACTGCAGCATCGCCGACGAGTACGGCATGTGGATGTTCTTCTCACCCGTCGGAGAGTCACCCGTGTGCGGCTTCTCCTCTGTGAGGATGCGGAGCGCGACCACGCCGCTGGCGTTCTGGTCGGCGAGCACCGTGGCTTGCTCGGGAAGATAGAAGGCGGAGCCCAGGTTGGACGTGTCGCCCACCTCGAGCGCCGTCCACTTGGGATCCTCGCCGTTTGCAAACGAGCGACTCGGATCGTTGAACTCGTCCGAGAAGACGAGCGTGTAATCGTCGCCGTCCGAGCCAGTGACTGCCTCCGCGTCCTTGGGCGTGTCCGGGTCGCACCAGCAGCAGCCGTCCTTGGCGCCCAGCGAGAGCAGCCAAGGGGCGAGCATCACGTGACCTCGGCTCTTGCCCGATGCCCTTCGATACGAGTCTGCGACCAAAGTCGGCTTCTCGCGCGCGAGGTCTCGAGGTGTTCGCGTCGGGAAGCGGGGGCGGAGGGGCCGCAGGGGTGGCCACAAGGGTGGCATTTAAACCGCGGTGCTGGTCAATGCGTCTCGAGAGGCACACTTCGCCAACCACAGCCTCCTGAGGGCCCAACAGGAGAATCGTGCTTTCAGTGGGGTTGTTTGGTGTTGGGTTGGGTTGGTTGGGGGTTGGGTTGTTCCGTGAGGTTGGGTCGTCGGCGCGAAGGGTGAGGTCTCGACCGCCGCCGCTCACGCCAGCGGACGGCCACCATCGGTGTTTTTGGCTTCGCCACCGTTCAAAGCGTGCGCAATGCGCTCGCCGGCATCGAGCGAGCACGCCTGTCCGACGAGTGGCTTGCTGTGTGGACGCCTTCTTGTGGCTCTCGCCGAGAGCGTTTTGCGTCCCGGTGGGTGGGAGAATATGTGTCGTCTGATGTGTCACTGTGTGCGTCACATCGGTCTTTATAGCAAGCACGGTCGATCCGTCAAAGCGATACACTCGTTCCTATCACATATTCTCCCACCCACCGGGACGCAAAACGCTCTCGGCGAGAGCCACAAGAAGGCGTCCACACAGCAAGCCACTCGTCGGACAGGCGTGCTCGCTCGATGCCGGCGAGCGCATTGCGCACGCTTTGGACGGTGGCGAAGCCAAAAACACCGATGGTGGCCGTCCGCTGGCGTGAGCGGCGGCGGTCGAGACCTCACCCTTCGCGCCGACGACCCAAGCTTACGCGGAACAACCCAACCCAGGCCCACAACCCAACCCAACCCAAAAAGCACGATTCTCCTGTTGGGCCCTCCTCCTCCCGATCCCGACCGACGGCGCAGAGAGAGAGTGCGCGCGGCGGCGCCGCCGGCCCGACGGCCGGCGCGCGCCGCCACGGGGACGATGGGGACCCCGCCGCAAGCCCCGTGCACCACCAACCCAGCGGGCGAGTCAGCCAGCCCCGCACGACCGCGCAGCAAGCGCCTCCAAGCGCGGTCGCGTGCATCGCCGGTAGGGAGACCGGGGCGCCGCTCCATGGCGCGGTGGCCCCCGGTGGCGGCGATCGCGCCGGGCTCACTCACCGCCGAGCCCGGCGCGCGCCGCCGCGCGCCTCCCGCAACCCTCGGGCCTCACGCGTCACGGCCAACCATCCGGATCCGCCCTCGTGACAGCTGCCGCCCCCGATGCGTGGTGCTGTTCTCCTCGCTTGTCGCTTCCCTGCTCGCTGCCGCCGGCCGGAGGCTGAGAAGTTTCGGCGGGCTCTCTTTTACTGCGACTCGGTCGCCAAAGCGCCGCGACCGCGCTGTGGCAAGCTCTCTGAGCAAGACCATGGCCCAAGACGACTGGCGCGAGGTGCTCCTGCTGGTCGACACGCCAAAGGGCCCTCGGTCTCTCCGCACACGGCTGAGCGCCGCCGCCACGCTCGCCGAGGTCGAATGCGAGGCGGTCTCGATGGCCTCGGCGGTTGGCGGCGGAGTGGCAGACGTGATCCCGCTAGAGTATTACGACGCCCTCTTCAGCGAGTGGTGCGTCCTCACCACGTCCGTTCTGCCGGGCCTTCCCGCCACCGCGACGCTGCGGTGCGGCGGCTCGGCCGCGTGCGCCTCGAGCGGTTGGATGGGCTCCTCGCCCGGTGGGCTCCGCTTGGGCGAGCTGCAATCGCTCGGGCGGCGGCAGAGCCTCGAGGAGCCGCAGGCGCTGCGCGGCCTCCCCGACGGCCGCCGCCGCTCCGACGCGGGGCAGCATCGCTCGCTCCTCGCCGCGCTGGCCGCAGAGGACCTCACCGCGCTGCCGCTCGCAGCCATCTGGCTCGAGGAACGGCTCAAGACGGTGTCGCTCGCGACGGTGTGCGTCGTTGCGCTCGGATTTCTGGCGTGGTACCTTCAGTCGGCGCTACAGATGCTCCTCATTGCCGCGCTGCTCGCCGTGCTGCTCGAGCCGCTCGTAGACCGCCTTTCTGCGCCGCCTTGCGGCGGGATGCCGTCGCTTGCGCTGCCTCGGCCGCTTGCGATCGCAATCACGCTGGCGCTCGTGCTCGCCCTCTTCCTGCTCCTGCTGCTGCTCCTCTACAATGCCGTCGACTCCTTCATGCGACGCGCTCCCGAGTTTGGCGACGCGTCGCAGCATGCGCTCGAGGCGCGCGCGCGGTGGCGGCATTAGGCGGCCGGGATGACATAAGATGGCCTTCCGCACGTCCGTGGCACGTCTGCACAGGTGTTCAAGCTGCGCTGGAAGGCGTCGAGGCTGGGGCCCTACTTTGACATCGACATCCTCGCCAAGGCGCTCGCGACCTCGATCAAGGACGCCTCCATGATGAGCGCCGCCCTCGCCGGCACCTTCTCCTTCGTGGGCGGCCTGCTGTTCCGCGGCCTCGCCATCATGGCGCGCCGAGAGATTGGTGCCTCCTCCCGAGATCACCCGCGGTCACCCGAGGCCTCCGGAACCCCAAAAGGTGCTCTGGATCTTCCTCGTCATGTCCCCCTCCTCTGCGGCCCCGCCTGCCGCGGACCCGCCACGCCAGCAGAGCCAGGCCGCTGATGCGGCGGCGCGAGAGAAGGGCCCGCCGCTCGGACTGCGCCGCTCGATGCTGGCAGGGCAGGCGCCGCTGCGCCACCCCTCCGCGCCGGACGGGGCGGCCGGCGCGGCGGACGTGCCGCACCCGCGCGGCATGGCGCCCAGCCGCGGCTCCGGAGGCTCCACAGGGGGCGGCGCCTCGCGGCCGAGCGCGGAGCAGCAGACGCGCACCTACCTTCGCTGGAAGGCGGCCATCTCGCTTGGCAAGGCGGTCGCCTGTGCCCTCGTCTACCTCGCATGCGGGGTGCCGCTCTGGCCGCTCTTTGGCGTCGTCACCTTTTGGCTCTCAACTCACGCCCAAACGCGAAGCTAGCTGGCCCGAGCGGACTCGCCGATGGCCTCGTCCGTAGGCTCAACTGGCTGCCGCTCGTTGGCTCGGGCATCGCCGTGCTGCTGCCCGTGCCGCTCGCGCTCGTCGACCCGTCGGTGAGCTGGCTCGCCTTTGGCCTTTTCCTCGGCCTCACCACCGCCGTCCACCTCCTCGTCGACAACCTCGTCGACCAGGTCGTGATGGCGCGCGCGATGACCCTCCACCCCGTCGCTCTCATCGTCGGGCTCTCGGCGGCCCAGATTGTGTGGGGCGCCGCGCCGAGACCTCACCATCCCGGCGAGCCGCTTGATCCGTTGCCCCACCGTCCCCGTGGAGCCCGCGCCGCGTAGGCGTTGTCGGTATGGTCCTTTCCGTGCCTCTCCTCGCCGTGCTCAAGTCGAAGCTCGCTTCAACGGCGCACCCGTACGCGCAAGCTTGCGCCGCGCTGCTCGAGGGCGAGTGGCAGATCGCCGCCGCCATCACTGAGGGCAGCGAGGGCAACGCTGGCGACGCCCGGGGCGGCAAGGACAAGCCGATGGCCAAGTCCGCCGCCCGATTCTCGGCGTTGCGGCGGCTACTGGCGGCGCTGGGCTGCGACTGGTGCTCGAGAGCGCCCGCGGGTGGCGAGCGGCGCGAGCTCCTTCCTGCGGCGGAAGTGGACGCGACCTCCCGTGCGGGCGAGTGGCGCGGAGAGTCGCCGTGATGGGGCTGAGGTTACGGTTGGTGCGCTTTCTGACGCGCGACCCCGCGTCGCCAGCTTGCGCGACACCGATCTCCATCACTCCATGCGCAGACCGAAATTGATTTCTTTTCTTGTAATTTTTTGCAGGGGCGGGGTGCGTATCCGTCGCTCGCCTCTTACATCCCGCCAAATTCTCGAGCGAGAGCGCGCGCACTCGCACGTTCAGGGCACCCGCCTTGACCTCGCCGTACGTCTCTCGCTCCAACCTCCATCTGCTTGAGGGCTGGCTTGACGCCGGCGGTCGAGGCGGCGCTGGGAAAATAGAGCTTGAGCTTCTGCACGGTGATGGGCAGGTCGAACGGGCTCCACCATATCCTCCGCCGTCGCCGCCTCTCCCTCCGCCTCTTCCTCCGCCTCATCCTCCGCCTCTCCCTCCACTGTCGCCTCCACCTCCACCTCCTCATCGGAGTGCGCCTCCTTCTCCCAGTGAGATCGCGCTGAGGTGGAGCACAAGGTGCGGCCTCGCTGGCCGTTGCCAGCCCTGGGCCTCTGTAGCGCCAGATTTACTGCGGCGGCATTCCCTGACCTCGCCCGCGAAGTAACAGCCATCCCCGTCCCACCACACCTTGACCCGCGAGCCCGTCTCGAGCGGCCTACAACGGACGTGGCGCGGTCACACACTCTCTGTCACGCAGCTATCACACCGAATACGAGGCGCCCGGTGCAAGCGCGTCCCCTCTGCCTCCGTTGGCACAGCCGGGGAAGACTGGTACTCACCGACTTCCCGTGCATAGGCCACCGCTGCCTGCACTGCCGTGTCGAAGGAGCCCAGGTAGACCTTCCTTCCAGCCTGAAAACGGCCATTGCGAGAGCGAACTCCTGTGTGCCGGTTCTATTGCTGCTGGAGAGGTGCAGCTGCAGACCCTTCGCCTCTGGCGCCACAATCGCCTGCATGGACGCCGCGAACGCGTTGGCCGCAGCAGGGGTGAGCCTCGCGGCATTTGTAACGCGTTCTCGCGCGACGCAGCGTGGGATTCTTTTAATCCCCTCTCCGGGAAACCCCCGGCTCCTTTTGTGTACCTGTGTCAGTGCAAGCACCAGTCCCGTGCCTAGTAAAAGAAAGAGAGAAACGCGCTTGTGTGCACACGGAAACGAGAGACGCGGTATGAGGGGCAGCGCCTATGCCCCCCCCTCGCGCCGTCGGGGAGAGTGTGAATGGTGTCTCGAAGAATCTCTCCGGCCCTGTGAAGAAGACTTGACAACAGACACACCTCCGCCCGCGACGCCGATCGGAGGGAAGCGGCCTTCGCGCCGAGCGGCGAGAGAAGCCGCGCGCGACTGGGAATAGCGCCGGCGCCGTCACAAAACGGGGCCGAGGAGAGCGATGTGAGGAGAGAGCGGGGTGGTGGTGGCGACGCTGCAGGAGAGCGACGAGAAGTGGCGGACGACCGCGAGGTGGCATGAAGGGTAGAGGAGAGAAGCGAAAAAAAAGCTCTTAGGTTTGAGCCTGGCGAGGTACTTCCAGCCTGCTGTGGGAACAGCTGACGCAGTCTCGTCGAGGCTCGTCGCACAGCCTCTCCCTCCGGTCCATCGAGGGGCACGACGGCGTCTGCCCCAATATGTGCCCACGGCGCCGGCGCAAGAGCGCGCGCAAGAGCCGTTTGTGCTCCGCACGCAGACATAGCCTGTAGGTAGGTAGGTGATCTGTGATCTGTAAGGGTCCGCCCGCAGGCGCATTTTGTATACCGAGGCGGTGCCCGGTGCCGAACCTGTCGGACCTTAAGACAGCATTGTAGATCCCTGGGCGAGGGTGGTGGCGTCCCCGTCGGGTCAGGGCTGAAGGCGGGGGAGACCAACCCGATCTCTCCGGCGTCCCGGGAGCGTGATTGACACCTCCCCCTGCGCCAACAGCCCCATGGAGGGAGACCGCTCGTCTAGCCAATCAGCCTTAAGCGAGCGGTCTGGCCGTTGGAATGGCCGAGGTTGGTGGACTTGCGTCCTCGCGTCGGTCGTGGTTGTACAAGCAGCATTATGAGCAAGTTACCATCTCCACGACACACTCGGGGAGGGGGGAGGTCCATGACCTAGTTGCCCGGGCGTGCAGGAGCATGCCCGGCCGTTCGGTCTCGCTCCCATCACCCGTCGACCCTATCCTTCTCAGCTGAGGCCAGAGAATTTGTTGGTTGGCTTTCGGGGTGATCCCCGCACTCGGTTGCGCTGGCGCTGTCTCTGGGCTTTCGTCAGCGGCTCTCCATCCTCTTCCTGTTGCCTGCTCGCCCCCTCCCCCTGACTCATCGAACCGCTACGTTCGTTTTCAAATCGCCCCCGCTTCCTCGGCGGCTGGGATGCCTCGTACTCTGGCTGTTCTTCGTCTACGTCCATCACTGTAAATTCGTCGTCTGTCTGGCTGCCATCGTTCGGCTGGCCCGTTTCGGGTGGTTGCTCGCTCGGTCCTGGCTCTGCTGCTCGGTCGGGTGTCTCCTCGTCGTCGCTCCTTGCGCCATCGTCGCTGTCGTCGTTGTCTTGGCCGGCGCGGGCTTGACTAGATTCGGTTCCCCTGTGCCCGAGCCGAAGTTCGAATCGTATTCGATCCATGAACCGCTGCGCCGCGAGCTGGTTCCGCCGTTCTCTCCTCGCGCGCGCCCGTTGGCTGCCCTGGCTGCTCTGGCTCCCCTCGCTCTCGCCCCCCTGGCTCTGCTGGCTGTGCTGACTCTGGCTCCCCCGGCCCTCCGCCTCTTCCTCCGTTGCCACGTCGGGAAGCTCGAAGAACGCATCGTCGATAAAGGCCATCTCGTCGTCCGCCGAGGCGCTCCTATCTCTCTCGTTGGCTCCCTCGTCGTCGTACGTCTCGCTCTCTTGCGGCTCGCTCTCCATCGAGTCCCTCGTCCCGCCTTCGGGCGCCGGATTGTGGACGGCCTTGTCGTGCTCGGCCGTGTTCCACGGCTCGACCCCGGCTCCCTGCGCCTCGCGCACCGCGTCGAGGGTCCGTTGTGACACTTGCCTCTCGCGCCCGTGCCGAAACCGTAGTAGACTGAGGTGCCCGATCTGGTATGCCTGTGTGCCTTTGAGGGCTCGCGGGCCTCTCGGCACCCCTTTGTCTGCCCTCGGCTTGCGTGGCTTTGGGGCGTCTCCGCGTTGCTGCCCCTCTCTACGCCGCTCGTCTCGTACGCTGATGAGCTCTCGCGCCATGGCTGCGAGGCTGTCCCCGTGGCACAGCCTCCCCTCTCGACACGAGGGCGAGCATCCGAGCCGCACCACCTTGGCGTTGCCGCGGCCGTTCAGCGCGGCCCGCATCGCCGCGACGGCGTCGTTCCCCGTCCTAGCTTCGTCGGAGCGTCGAGGGGCGATCTCCTGTGAGAAGGGCTGCCCGTTGGCCTGTCGGATGAGCGCTGGCGTGGATCTGGTGTCCCGCACGGCTGAGGCGGGAACGGTGCGCAGCCGGAGCCACGTGTCGAATGCCTCGCATACCTGGTCGCGCAGCGCCTCGTCGGTGCCTCTCTTCCCCATGGGGAATGGGTTGCCGAGCCCGGTGCCTCTCATGATGTTGACTGGCAAGGGGCGCGGGACTGTGTCCGCTCCCGTGTCGCGCGTCTCCGCTCGTCGGCTTCCAGCGACGACCACCCTTATCGAAGGCTCGGCGTCCCCCTGTCCGCCGCTGTGTGCACCCCCGCTCGTGTCGCGCTTCGGGCTGGCGGTCCTCGGGGGGGGGCTTGGCTGCTCCGCCTGGCGTGTGTCGCTGTTGCTTCCAGCCCTCGACCCCCCCATGCGACGGTCCCACTCCTCTCCTGCCCCCTCGTCGTCGGTAGGCTCCTCCTCTGGCACCGGCTGTGTGCGGTCGTCGCCGTCGTCGTCGTCTACGTCGTCGTCATCGTCTCCGTCCTGTTCCCCAGCGGCGCCGCCCCTCCACTCGGGCGCGTTCGTCTTGCGCCATTCGATGGCCGTCCACGTAATCGTCTTTGCGGCCTTCCTGGCTGCGTTGGTCGCCTCTCGCACCGCCACCTGCATCGCGGTGAGGCGCTCGCCGTCGCGCCCCCCTCGCGTGGGGGGTGGTACATAGCCCGTTGCCGCCATTCTCGCCCTCGTGGCCGCTCGTTCGCGTTGTGTCGGGGCGGGGAGGGCTCCCGACGCCGCCGCCCTGAACCGCCGCCACTGTTCGACGCTGGGTAGGTTATTGCCCGCCGTGGTGAGCGCCGCGGCGACGTCGAGCGCCTGTTTGACTGCTCCCTTGTAGGCGCTGCTGCCGCCGCCCTCGGGTCGCTCGATGATGTCGTACAGCATCTCTAGGCTGTGGACGAGCTCTCCAGCCAGCTGGCGTCCCCTGGGTGCCCTCCAGACCTCTGCGAGCGCCTCCATGGCCGCCCTGCCGGCGTCGTCCTTGTAGTCGAGTTCGCCGAGCCCGAGCTGTCCGCTCCTGACTCGCATGATTGCGCCTAGGCTGGTGGCTTGCAGCTTGGAGCCGCCGCCGTCGCTGGCCCTTCCGGTAGACTCGAGCAGCTCTGTCCACGCGCCCCCGTGTTCCCACGGCCACGCGTGCGGTAGCTCCTCCGGCATGTGGACGATGAGGTTGCCGACGTCGTGCCCCGCGCTCGTGATGGCTTCGCGGATGGTGAACCGTTCGAGCCCTTGTTGCACGAGCCCGCGTAGCTTGCGCTGTCCGCCTGCCCAGCTGACCGTTCCGTCTCTCCTCTGTTGCCCGTATGCGATCAGGGACGCCTCCCGAGCCAGTTTGCCGTCGTATGGGTCTTCCACTTTGCGCCCGAGGTAGGCCTTGGCGACGACATCGGCGTAGTGGTTCGGGAAGACGCCGCAGTGGGCGCACACCCATTGGATGACGAGGTCTCCGCCCGCCCGTCGCCACCTTGCCGCCCTGAGGCTGATTCGTTCGAGCAGGGCTGGACGGTGATGTTTGTACAGGTGCCAGGCGCTCCCTGTCTGTTCCGCCGTCTGGACTGCTTCGATGACGGGGTTGCAGTCGCTGAGGATGAGCAGCCTGGGGGCCTCTGTGCCCCGTGGGCTGGCCTCTGCCCTGAGCATGCAGGCGTCGATCGCGGTGAGCTCGGCGTCGGCGATGCTGCTTCCTGGCGGTAGCGCCCCTCCGTATGCTGTTGGTGTGCCGTCGTCGCCGACCCCGTGCCACACTCCCCATGCGGCGAGGCCTTCCCCGGCCTCCCCGCGCGGGGCAAAGCTGCCGTCGGTGGCGCACGCGTCGGTGAAGCCGATCGTGTCGTGGAGCGTGAGACTCATCCGCGCCATGGTCGCCGTCACGTCTGCGTTCATGGTCTTGGCTTCCCGCCACTCGAGTCGCACGGCGGCGTCGCCTTCGGCGCGCCACGCTCTGCCCTTGCCCTCGCAAGCAGACGCAAAGTCCGCCAGTGCATCCCTTCCGTCGGGTGGCATCGTTGTGTCGTACGACGTCTTAGGTGCGGTCGCGTCGCCCGAGGCGGCGACCTCGCTGTCTAGCTGCAATACTTGTTGAGAGGCGTCCCGCCGCAAAGCTCGTGGTAGGTAGGTAGGTAGAAAGGTGAAGAACAGCCAGGCTCGGACTGGACACCAACGCGGTATGGGTGGACGCTGGACAGATGATGACGACACGCACGAGCGACACACAGACACAAACAAGCTCACATGTCACAAGACACACAGCCAGCTGGCTGCCACACACCCTGGGTTGGCGTACACATAACTCAAGGCCACATCCTCCCTGTCGCCCCCCCCAGCACTCCAAGGTGCCAAGAGAAAACAAACAAGGGCACAACACACAACAGACGACAGGAGGTAACGTGCGAGGCCGCCGGCGTAGTTTTCTTTCTTTCTTTTACTAGGCACGGGACTGGTGCGCTGGGGCACTAACACAGGTACACAAGACCCACGCCTCTCGTTGCTGCTTGTGTTCTCGCAGTCTAATCTCCCTTTCCACGATGGCGAAGAAGGATAAGAAAAGGGAGAAGAAGAGACAGAAGAGGCTGGAGCAGGGATACGATCGAGGTTCAGATCCGACGCCGGGCGCGCGGTGCAGCCTTCACCTCCTGGAGAAGGCGCCCGACGCCATCGGCTGCAGCGATGTGCAGAATGTTCTGCTGTGGGCGCTGCACCCGGAGCTGGGAAGCATGCCGGGCTGGGTGCTGGTGCGTAACCGGCCGCTGATTCACGGCGCGGTCGTCATCCTCGTCCCCGGGCTGGACGCAGGAGCAGTCCGAAGCCTGCGTCTCGAGGCCGAAGGGGCAGTGCTCCGGCGGATGCGGCCGCCAAAGTCTAGCCCGAGCCGCACGGCGGAGACGATCGCCGCTGAGCTCATGCGCGTGCCGGTCAAGCCTCCAAAAAATAAGCGCAGCGCGCCGGGAGACGACGTGCCGGCGCAGGCCGCAGCTCCTCCGCCGCAGGTCGCGCCCTCCTCCGCGCCTCACCCGCAGCGGGCGGAGGGCGGCTGGTATCAGTCGTACGTGCAGCAGTTCTCGCTCACCGAGGCGGAGTTGCGCGAGAACGGCTACCCGGCCGTGATCGCACCGGGGGCTGGGCAGAGCGTTGCTGAGGTCGCGTCCGCCGGAGCGGCGGAGGCGGCAGAAGCGCCGAGCCGCTCATCGATAGGCACCCAGACCGATGCAGCGGTGCCGATGGTAGAGGCGGGCACGCAGACAGAGGAGGAGCGGGAGGAGGCGGCGCGGGAGGAGGAGCGGGAGGAGGCACACGAGGAAAAGGATCGGTCGAGCGGCGGCGGCGGCGGCGGCGGCGCGGCGGGTGGTGTCGGCGGCGATGGGGGTGGCAGCGGTGACGGCAGAGGCGGCGGCGGCTCGGGATCATCGGAGCTGGCGGGTGGTACGGTTGGCTGTGGAGGGCGGCGCGTGGCGCGTCTGCTCGCGGTGGACTGCGAGATGTGCCTCGCGGGGGAGACGAAGCAGCTCGCCCGCCTCGCGGTCGTGGACGAGGCGCGCCAGCCTCTCCTCCACGAGGTGTGAACAGCGTCTCAAACGGCGTCTCTTCACACGCGGTATGCGAGTCAGGCGCTCCGGCCTCTGCTCGACGAGGTCATCGTGCCCGAGAGGTACGTCACCGACCACCTCACCGCCTACAGGTGGTCTCTCTTCCTAGACACCTCCTAGACACCTCCTAGACACCCCCTAGACACCTCCTAGACACCTCCTAGACACCCCTAGACACCTCCTAGACACCCCCTAGACACATCCTAGACACCTCCTAGACAGGTGGTCTCGAGTAGTCTCGGGCGATCTCAGTAGATGCCGGGGCGAGCTCGGGTGAGCCTCCCCTCTCCGTGCGCGCAGTGGCATCACCCCGGAGATGCTCGCCGCCGCCACGACGACCGCCTCCGCTGCGCGTGCCAAGCTGCTGAGCCTGATGAGCGGCGCCGCTGCCGACGCTGCCGACGGCGACGACGGCAGCGGCGGGGTTGAGGGCGGGTCTGGCGGCGGCGGCGGTGGCGGCGGCGGCGGCGGCGGCGGCGAAGCGAGCGAGGCGTACCTCGTCGGTCACTCTCTGGAGAACGACCTCGAGGCACTCGGCCTTCCGCACGGTCGGGGAGGGTAGGATGCGGAGCACACGCCCCTCTGCCCCAGCAGCAACTCACCCCTCTGCCCCAGCAGCAGCCCGACCAGACCACGCCTCGCTGCGGCGTCCCACTCTCTCGCGCTCTAGCCACCGCACTCGGCCTGGCCTTGCAGCCACGCGAGGCTCGGACACGCACGCCTCCGCACCCTCTAGACACCCTCGCTCGTCCGCCCCGCGTGGTCGGCCCTCCGGCCGGCGGCGGCGGGCGGCGCCTCTTCACACGTGCCCGTCCGTGTAGGCCGCGTGCTCGACACGGCGCTGCTGTACCCGCTCCGGTACAACCTTCAGGGCGCGCCCGCCAAGAGCTCGCTGCGCGCACTCACCTGGCGCTTCCTCAAGCGCCAGATCCAGGTGACTTCCGAGAAGTGTCCGAGCCTCGCGCCGCTCTGTGAGCCTCGCTGCTCCCGTGCCCAGACTGGCGCACGAGGCCACGACCCCACCGAAGACGCCGCCGCGGCGATGGAGCTCGCCCAGCTCAAGCTGCGGCATGGCGCGCGCTTTGGGCTGCCCGGCAGCGAAGCGGGAGGCACCTACGCCTCCCTGCTCAGCTCGCTCGCAAAGGCAGGCTGGGGCTGCTCTGTCGCTGACAGGCGCGAGGCTCGCATCCCCGCACGCACACACGCACACACGCACACACTCTCGCACTCACTTACTCACGCACTCACTCACTCACTCACTCTCTCACTCTCTCTCACGCACACGCACACGCACACGCACACGCACACGCACACGCACACGCACACGCACACACACACGCACACGCACACGCTCACTCGCACTGCTTTCCCACACGCTCCGGGCCTCGCACTCTGAACAGCCTCGGTGGCCTGTGCCAGGCGCGAGGCGCTCGAGCTGCTCGACGAGAGCGGCGCGAGGCGCGTCGAGGTCGACAGCGACGAGGCGGGCATCGCCTACGCGGCGGCCGAGCTGAGCGAGCCGCGCCGCTTCGTCTGGCTGCCCCTGCGCGAGCTCGCGAGTGCCGAGGCGACCGCCGACCAGACGTCGCGCGCCGCCGCTCTCGAGACGCTCCGCTCGCGCCTCGCCGAGCTGATCGCCGCCGCCCCGCCAAACACGCTCGTCGCCGTCGTCGGGTGCGGCGCTTCGGCCGGCGGGGGCGCCACCGGCGGAGCCGACAAGCCGTCGCCCTCTGCCACCTCCCGACCCTTGGGTTGCGTCGCTTTGACGGTCGTCTCAGGTGCCGCGGGCGGGGCGTAAGCCTTATCGCGCGTGTTCTGCTGTTCTCTCCGGGAGTGAATTCGACTTCAAGTCGTACTTATTCTGCAAAGCGGGTGTGAATCACACCCTCACTGTCTGTCTGTGCAATGTGCGCCTCTTGTTTCTTTATTTTGACCCGCTATCTCTGTTAGGACTTAAAGCCGAGGCCTCACCCTGGAATCAGCAGCCCGTCCGCTCCCCCCAGCCCCCCAGGGCGGGACCCCGTCAGCCGCGGGACACTCAAAGAACAAGCCTTCAAAAAGGCGAAGAAGTATTTCGAGGACTTCGAGGTCTGGGTCGGCGGAAGAGAAGGCTGGACGAGAAAAGGCGGTGAAGTGCGGCGCCGGCGGCGCCGGCGCGGGCCGTGTTCGCCTGGTCCAAAAAAACGATCAAGAAGGGGCCAGTCGCAGTCCCCACGACGCTGTGCCACTGCCTGCCACGCTGCCAAGTGTCCAAGTGCGTGTGCCGACGCCGCCTTAGTCGCCACGCGCCCTACTGGTCTCCTGTTAAAGGGGCAAAGCAGCAAAATCTTACCCTCCCCCCCCCACCCCGCCCACGCGGCAGGCACCGCTACGTCACTGTCATTCCCAGCTCTCACGTCACCTGTACACCTCTCCCAGCTCTCACGCTCTCGCTGCTCGTGGTCACCACAAACCATAAAATCTGTGAGGATGTGTCTGGACTGTGGCTGCACACACTCAAAGCGCATCTAGCAGCGCGAAGAGTTCCTGCACCGCGCTGGCGAGGCGCGGCTGCACGGCGTCGTTTGCATCGCGCACCCACTCGAGGCACTGCCTGCGTAGCACGCCCCGTCTCAGGCCAAAGTGCGTGCGCACCGCCTCCTCGAAGCCCAGCGGCGGGTGGCGTAGCGGCGCGAGCATCGCGTGTCGCACCGTGGCGAGCCACAAGTCTTGATCAAAGGCGTCGGAGCGGCGCTGGAAGGCATCGGTGCCCTTCTCCACGCCCGGGTAGTTGGCGAGGGGCTGCGGCACGAGTATGAACGCCTGGATGGACAGGAGAACCTGCACGAGCGACGACGTCTCGCTGTTCCAGCGCGCCTCCTTGTCGCCGTCGGAGCCGCTGGTGCCGAGCAAGCTGAGGCACACCTTGCCGTCGGAGTACAAGTTGCTATTCATCTCGACGGTGCCTCCGCCGGTCGTGCAGTTGAAGATCTGGAGCGGGCAGCTCGGATACTCAGACGGGAAGTAGATGTCAAACAAGAAGATGCCATTTGCGTAGGGCGTGCCGGCGGTGCCCACGATGATGGCCTTCATAGCGTCAAAGCGAACCTCGTCGTGGCGCACAAGGATAGCACCCTCCGCGGGGAGCCGACTGCGCATCTCCCTCAGCTCCTTGAGCAAGCGGCGCCTCTTGGCGGGCAGCATGCTCCCCCCCGCCTTGATCAGCTGCTTCGAAAAGTGGTGCACCATCCCCTCCTTCTCGCCAAACGCTGCCTCCCCCGTCAAGTGCTGCTCCATCGCCTCCATGTAGGCCTCGTCCTGCGACGCGTCGGCGACGGGCAAGCTCTCGAGCTGCGACAGCAGCAAACCCACCGCATTGGCCCTCGGCGTTGGTGCTGCGGCGCGCACTCGCTCGCAGAGGCGAGCAAAGGCGAGCAAAGCACCGTCGTCCAGGACGTTCTCGCGCCGCACGACGGCGAGAGCCTTGTCAAAGGTGGCGGCGCTGTAGTCGTCGTCGGAGGCGAGCAGCGAGACGAACGCACAAGATGCCTCGCCCTCGGCGTGATCCGTGACGCAGCAGCACAACATCACCTGCACAAGCTGGCCAAGCAGCTCGCGCGGCTTGAAGCCATACTGCACCGGGTTTTGCACCTTGTTGTCCACCGCGCGGGCGCCACACAGCTCCTCCAACAACGCGACGCCGACGGCGGCCACCTTCTCGGCGCACCGCTCGCGAATGAGCGTCGCGTGCGGCGCCGACGACGCCAAGCGTTGCAAGACCTCCATGTTGGCCTTGAGCAACGTGCCCATAATCTGCTTGGCCTTCATCTGCTGCTGTCTGAAGCTGAGCTCCTCCGTGCGCCCGCCAGCGCCGCCGTCGTCGCCCTCGCCCTCGCCGCCGTCATCGCCCTCGCCGCCGCCGACCTCGCCACCGCCGCCGCCGCCGCCCTCGATGCTCGCCGCCGCGTCGCGACGCTGGCTGAGCTCCATTTCGCGGATGTGCTGCAGGTGCTTGACGCCCTTGCGGAGCGACGTGACCACCTGCTGCAGCACCTCACGCACGAACGCCGCAAAGGACTCGGCGTTGGCCGCGGTTGGAATCATGGACCTGTGCGTCCGCCGGTCAGTCCACAGCAGCTGCAGCAGCGTCACGATCCGAAACTGCGCCGACCCCTTCTCGAAGCCGTCCTGATCCAAGTCAAGCTTCTCCACCGTGCCCATGCCGACGTAGGCGCTCCACAGGGCCGGGCACAGACGCCCACGCACGGAGTCGCTGCCGTAGAGGAGCGAAGGAAAGTCGACGCTGCCGAGGCCTCGAGGAGCGCCGCCGCCCACCCCCGAACGCGCCGCCGCCCACGCGCCGAGGGTGCCCGCGCTCTCATCGGCGAGCGCGTGCATCATCTCTACACAACGCGCCAGCACCTTGGCGTCGGTGGCGCTGCTCGGCAGCTCTAGCAGCGCCACCACGCCGTCCAGGAGGGGGTGTAGCGCGAGGTCTGCGAGCATCGCGCCGCGCGCCCACCTTGCGACGAACGCCACAAAATCGACCGCATCCGTGACAAAATAGGCTGGCATACGCGGCGGGGCGCCGCTGCCGAGCTCACGCGCAAGAAGCGCCAGCAGCAAACTGTACACACCGGCAGTGTCGCGCAGCAGCTGCTCGTGCAGCAGCACGACGCCGAACTGGCGATGGCTCCTCAGCAGCGCCTGCGCATGCTCCTCCTTTGAGCCCTTGCCGTTGTACACGGCCAAGCGGGACATGGCCCCCTCGAAAGTGCGACGCAGCGGACGCAACGCCGTGTGCAGCGAGTGCAGCGTCAGGAAGAACACCTCCGTGACAAAGCGGTGCGGCGCTGCACCGGCAGCCCCAGCCGCGGAGGAGATTAGCGGTAACGCCTTTGTGAACGGCACGCGCGCCGCGCCCTCCTCCGCGACGTAGCTCACGCTCACCTTGGACAGCGCGCTAGACAGCTCATTCGCGCCCAGGAACGGTCGGCACAAGCGCAGCAGCAAACGGCACGCGTTGACGGCGCCGCCCAGCGCCGGTGAGATCGGCGGGCCGCCGCTTGGCGGGGCGCGCGGCGGCGCCGTCAGCGCTGCGAGGTGGTCGAGCACGGCTTCACGCCCCTCGCCCTTGAGCGCCCGCTGCATCAGGGACGCGACGAGGTCCGTGTGCAGCTCCAGCGCATCGCGCACCGTGTCAAGCATCACCTTGTCGCCGCCGCCGAGCAGCTTCTCGTTCGCGCGTGACACGAGTAGCGGCGTCGGCGCCAGCAGTGGCGCCAGCGCCGAATCCAGCGACAAATGGCCGCGGGACGACGACGCGGGGGGTTTTGCCAGCTCCGCGCGCAGGAGCGCCGCGAGCGCAGCCGGCAGCGCCGAAGCCGTCGCTGTGAGCTCTCGCACGCCAGCCATGGCGTGGCGCATGCGCGCGACATGCTGAGGCGACGCGATCGCCCCGCTGGCCGTGCCATCGCCGCCGCCCAGCTGCAGCAGCATGCAGCGCAACAGCGCTGTGCGATCGCCGTGTGATGCGAGCATCGCGTGCACAAAGTCAGCCGAGATGGCCCCACGGCCGAGCTCGACCAGCAGCGCGGCGCCGCCGGAGCTCCTGCTGTCGGAGAAGAGGTCATCGTCATCGCCGACCGACAGCCTCTCCACCGCCTGCAGCACGAGCTGCTGCGACGCCACTTCCAACACGCTCGCCGCCTCGCGGCGCGCTCCCGCGTCGGCGCTGCCATCGCGCGCTGCGTCCTCTTCAAAGGTGCGACGCACACGACGCGCCTTGAGCCATGCGCCGTGCAGCGCGTCGAACGCCGCCTGCGATGCGCGCCAGCCCTCTCTGACAAGCTCGGCGGAGAGGTCCCGCATCAGCGCCGCGGCGGCCGCACTCGTAGGGGCACGTAACAGGTCGTCGACGTCAATCGCGTCGACCGCCTGACAGCGAAAGACCGCGGCGAGCGCCGCGCGCAGCGCCTGCGGCGGCGGCTCGAGTGGCGGCAGCGGCGGCTGTGCTGGCTTCGAAGCGGGCGCCATGGCTGGTGGCCTTTCTGGGGCCTGCGGCGGCGGCGCGGGTGGTGGTGGCGCCGGCTTTGCTGCGGGCTTCGCAGCGGGCGCCGCAGCCGTTTGCGGCGGGTCGTTTGCGGCTTGTGGCGGCGGCTTGAATGGTGGTGGCAGCGGCTTTTCTGCGGGTGGCTGCTGCACACTGGCGACTCCAGGGGTCTTCAGCCGTTGCTCAGTGAGCTCGGAACGCGACGTCCCCAGGGCCTGCAGGCGTGCGGCTCGCACCTCCTCGGCCGATGGCTGCGCGGCGGGAGGCGCCCTGAGCAGCCACCGTACCGCCGCCAGCGTCAGGAACGCCACGAGGAAAGGAAACAGCACATCGAACGATAGATCCATCGTGCCAAACTCGGCCAAAGGCGCTCTTAGCTCCCCGGCCATGTGACTGATGACTGGGCCCACGCCAAATCCTAAGGCACTGGGTTCGGGCTCCCAGGCGAGTAGGGGCTCTTTACCCGAATAGCGTCCACCCATACCGCGTTGGTGTCCAGTCCGAGCCTGGCTGTTCTTCACCCTTCTACCTACCTACCTACCCGAAGGTGGACTGCTGACGGGGTTTGCGACGAGGAGCGACACTTATTGGTAAAAGGACATTCTTTCAACAAGAACAAGAGCACAGGGACCAGCAGCACACATGCGGTGTGCTACTGTTCCACTCTGCTGCGCTACGCCGCCGCTTCTGTCTGCGGGTCGTGGCCCCTTCGCCTTCCTTCTGACCGGCGTGCCCCGCCGCCAAAGCTTGCGTGTGCGTAACCTCATCGGGGTCCCAGCAGGCAAAATCGCGAGTGGGTTCGGTGGTGCACTTCGATGTGCACTCCTGGCGGGCTCGAAGCAAGCCGGGCAGTGTCTCGAGGTGATCAAAATGTCGTCGGCGCTCTTCAAACAGCCGATCCGCCCGCTCCCAGATGGCATATCCCTGGGGCATGAGCTGCTTGGTCCTGCTCGGGTGGGTGTACGGCTTGATTTCTCCTGCGAAATGCAGAACAGCAACGTCTCCCAAATCAAACCGTGTCCCATTCCCTTGCCTGCTCTCTTCCCTTGCCTGCGTGTTATACCTCTGGTCAAGCAAGGACTCCATCGGGCCGAGAACGGCATTGAGTAGCGCTTGATCTCCTCCGCCGCTAATCTTGCTGGAGAATGAGATGATGCGCTCAAACATGGCGGGGGACGGACGGATCACCATCACGCCAGAATTGAAATCGGAGCTGTTTGCATACTTGAAGCGGCATCGCCCGGTGCTGCAGGCGGATCCCGTGTCTCGAGCCGCTGACACCCCTCCTGATCCCACTGTCGAGGCCGCGAACAAATGGTCGATGTTCTGGAGCACAATGATGTCGGAGTCCAGGTAGACCAGCTGCCTCACCGGGAGTCGGAAGATGTTGAGTTTGCTGAGGTGGCGGTTTTGGAAGGCGCGGCTGAGGATAGGCAGATGATCGATCGGGGGCACTCGGACGATGGTGGCGTTGAGCACGCCGCCAAGCTGCTGCATCCGCAATGTCACGCCCACACTCGTGAGAATGACCAGCGGTATCCGAGACCCGACCACCATCAGAGAGGCGCCCAGACCCCGCAACGCAGAAAGCGACGCTCGGTCATCCGCATCCGCGAAAGTGACGTATGCCCGGGTGACTTCTCGTGGCCAATAATTGCCCCAGGGCTGCCGCGAGTCTCGAGCCGCCTCGGCCGCCGCCCGCCTGAGTTCCTCCCCGCCGCCGTCCGCCGCCAACCCGTCCACCACCGGCGCCTCCGCCCCCAGCCTTGCCGGCCGCGCCGACCTCTGTGACGCCGCCGACCCTCTCGCGCCCTCCTCCGTGTCCGCCGTCCCGCTCGCAAAGGCAGACACGCGGGAGACGCACGCCCGGACTGCGGCTGCGGTGCTTTCCGGGACCGACTCGAAGCGGCGCACCGCCGCCGCGTAGAGCGGCGCGTCCTCCGCGTCGTCGAGCTCGAGCCCGGCGGGCGCCGTGTGGTTCTGGACGGGCGCCGTGGCGGCGGCGCTCACCTCAATCGACCAGAGCGGCGTCCCAAAGGTGGCATGCCACAGGCACAGCGTCTCGAGCCGACGCTCGGCAATGCCGACAAAGGCCATGCGGTGGCGCACAAAACCGACCGCGGCCGAGCTCTCGTTGGCTGCGACGGGCGAGGGGTCGGCGCAGGCCCGGCCCATGACCATCTTGGTCTGGCAACCGGTGACGCCGGGGATCTGCAGGAAGGCGCGGAGCCCCTCGGGGGCGTCGCGCGGGAAGGCTCGCACCGTCCTGAAGTACGTTGTTCGCAGGGCAGCCGAGAGGCCCCAGCCGCCGCAGCAGCACCCCCAGCACCCCTTTGTGCCGTTGCTCCCGAAGATCTGCTTCAGGAAGCGGAACGTCGAAAGGAGACGCTGCCGAGGCTCTCGCACGACGGTGACGACGCGGAAGGCGACGGCTCCTGGCCGCAGCACCAATGGCGGAAGCGGATCGTGGTGCCACCGGTTTCTAGGGTGGACGAGGCGGGCGGAGCAGTCGCAGCCCAGCCGGGGAGGGCCGCTCTGGGTCGAGATGCGGCTCGTGTTGAAGGAGGCTGGGCCGCAGCTGTGCGCGTACACAGTCACACTGAATAGCGTGCCCGTCTTTGGCGCATGCATCCACATGATGCGTGCCGGGGCGTCCGGCTGCATGCGCGGCACCCAAACCTGCGGGAGTCGTGGCTCGCTGAGGCGTTGCGAGCACGCTGTGCCGAGAGCACGTCGCTCCACGGCGGCGTGGCCAGAATGGCTGAGGGATGGAGTCGCGGAGGTGGCATTGGTGGCGATAGCGCAGGCCACATCATGCCTCGACGCACACTGCCGCCTCGACCTCAGGATGGCGGGCATGCAGCATTGGGCTGGACCGCCAGAGGCGATGGAGCAGCCGTGCCCGCCACACAGCCCGCATGAGGCATTGCAGCACACCTGTCCAGTCGGGTGCTCGATACCAGTGGCGCAACGTCGCTTTGTGAGCATCTCTCTTTCGAGTTCGCCCGGCGCCGACTCAGCGGCTGCCAAAGAAAAACGCAGAAGGAGGGGCCGCTTCGAAGCGACCGCCATTCCAAGGCCTGGGAGCGCTGGGGTGATGAACCGCCGCTCACCACTTAGGCACTCACTCATCTCGTCGTGGGTGAGGGAGGGTGTAGATAGAGGATGTAGAGTGTAGAGCACTGTAGAGCTGTTGAGATGTAGAGCGCTGTAGAGCTGTAGAGCTCTACATCCGCCTCGAGTGTAGAGCGCGGTAGAGCGATGTAGAGCGCGATTTATAAATAAATAAATAAAACGGACACCTCTACTATGAGATGGGTAAAAAGGAACAGGTCCCCGCCCTGCGGTCTTTGTGCAGGGTTCTTTGTGGGTGTGGTCGGCGACTAGCCGGGCGCGATTATTTACTTAGTAAAATTTCACTGATCACTGTGAAACCGCGCTCTACATCGCTCTACAGCTCAGGCGACTCACTCGTCACGCGCCGGGTGTAGAGCCCTACAGCTCTACAGCGCTCTGCAGCGCTCTACATCTCTACAGCTCTACAGTGCTCTCTAATATTCTAATACCACACTCTCTAGACATCCTCTACACCCTCTCTCAGTTCACGGGATTTTGGGGAAGCTGCTGCTACATAAAAACGCCGTGGCGCAAGGATTTTTAGCCACGTCCACGCTACTCGAGTGCCGACTCCTCTCCATGTGCTCGCGCTGGTGACCAACCGTTCACTGTCAAGAGAGCGACCGACAGCGCTGTCGCAAGTTCCGCGCCGCCGCTGCCGTTCAAGGCTGCTGACTGCGTGTCGTCTGCTCCGACGTGGCAGAGGACAAGCCTCTTGTTGACCTGGTGACTGAGCCGCACGTGCGACTGCAGCGCCCGCCACGTGAGCGGAGCCTCGGTGGCGGCCGCCTGCACGAGGGCCAGATGCGAGGCGTGCTCCCGCCCGCCGACCGCCGAGTAGAGCGCGAAGTCCGCGCCAAAGGACAGGCCGGAGCGGACGCGCCAGCCGTCCGAGACGAGCCGCTGATAGGCCGCGTACTCATGCGGGAAGCGGGCCGAAGACTGGCAAAAGGCCACCCAGCAGTCACCGGCAGTGGCTCCGTCGCCTGCAGAGGCAGCGAGCAAGATGCGCAGTCGATTTTGCACGAACGCGAGGTGGTACGCCTCGGTAAGTCCGAGCTGCAGCCAGCACGGATCGGCACCTTCAGCCGCGGCAGCGCGGTGCGAGACGGGCGTGAATGCGCCGTCCGAGGTGACTAGTTCGCCGTGCGCGCCGTGCTCCCACCGGTTGAGAGCTCGGACGTGCTCCTGCCTGCGCACGACCACCTGTCCACCCTCGAACGCGGCGACGGGAGCCGAGAGGCCGGACATGTTGTCGAACGAGCGCGAGGGAGCTGGAGGAGTGCGCGTACGCTCACTCTCGAGGTCTCTCGTGGAGCCCGAGACCTCGAACGAAAAACCTGCGGAATTTCTTGCCCGCCGAAAAGAAAGCCAATTCGGCTTGGGCCCTCGGGGAGGGCGGCCTTTTCTCGACGTAAACAAATCACCCCGGAATTTCTTCCTCTTGCGACAGGGCTGCACGTGTGCGCGTGCGCCTGGAGCAAGTCAGGAAACCAAAAACAATGAGGCTCATCGCGCTCCTGGCCTTCCTGCCCCTCTGCGCGTGTGGCGGTTCGCCGGCCGCGGAGGGCGCAGACCGGGGTGAGCACCTCAAGGAGTGGGCGCGGATCACCGAGGAGGCCGCCGCCGCAGATGGGCCGCCTCTCTCCTCGCTGCCGCTGGCAGAGGAGTGGTACCAGGTGACCATCGCGGACGTGCCGGTGGGCTACATGAACACCCTCACGAGCGTCGACGACGACGGCTCGGCGCGCTCGATGGAGGTGATGGACGTGCAGGTGAACCGCGGCGCTGACACATCGCGGATGGCGTTCGAGACCGTCTTCCAGGAGGCGCCGCTGCAGCCGCCGTCGCTCGAGGTGCTGGAGGAGGCGCAGCGGTCCACCGGCGGCGTCACGCTCATGGCCTACGACCAGCGCTTCGCCAACAACGAGGTCAAGATGGGCCTCACCTTCCCGGACGGCGAGATGAAGCTCGTCTCGTTCAACGGCGAGAAGGAGCACGTGTCGATGCTGCCGCGGCCGGAGCAGGCGTGGCTCGGCCGGCTGCGCGCGAGGCTCGAGTTCACGCGCCAGTGCCGCGCCGGCGCCACCGAGATCGTCGTGCAGACCATGCGCCCATAGACCCGCCGCCCCTCGGCAGCGCTCGGAGGAGCAGCCCCGCCTCCACTCTTGTCGGAGGCTTCCCGTGAGTAGGCGGCCGGAGCTGGGTCCCCGCGTGGTCAACCTGACCTCGACGCTGATGCGGATAGACAAGGCCTGGGACGGCACGCAGATGGTGGAGGCGTCGGTGTGGGCGGTGCAGATCTCGGACGTGCCTGTCAACATGACGGAGGCGGGGAGAGATGGGGAGATACGGGGGAGATAGGGGGAGATTTCGATCTACAACGTGCCTGTGAATCTGACGGAGGCGACGGCACCGTCTCCCCCTCTCCACGACCCACCCCCACCCACACTCCTCCCCCGCACTGTTGACGGCGCCCGCTTGCTCTTCCATCCGCCCCCCTTCGGAGGAACCCCCCCCCCCCCCTCCCCGCCTCTCTTCTGCTGGTGTCCGCCCTCAGGCCTACGAGACGCGCGGCGCGACTCGCTGCTACCGCATGCTCCAGATGGGGCTCGACATGCCGTTCGGGTACCTGCTCGCTTCTCTCTCCGAGAAGGCCCCCTCTCCTCCCCCCCCCCCCGCGCCCGCCAGAGAGGAACCGAGAGTGACCGAGAGTGACCGAGAGTGACCCGAGAGGAGCCGAGAGAGTGACCCTCTCTCCTCCCTCTCTGAAGAGGACGCCCCCTCCTCCTCCTCCGTCCCCGACCCTTCCCCGACCCTTCCCCGACCCTTCCCCGACCCTTCCCCGACCCTTCCCCGACCCTTCCCCGACCCTTCCCCGACCCTTCCCCGACCCTTCCCGCAGGAGCCCGCGCTCCAGTCCGCCGAGCCAGACGCCAACCGGCCTCTCCCCGAGCTTGTGTACACGATGTTTGTCATCCTCGACCAGCCGATCGAGCGGGTCAACGAGGCGGCGGCGGTCGAGATCTCGGGCACATCTCGGGCGACCTCGGGTCAATCTCGGCTCATCTCGACACTAGGCGAGGATGGTCGAGATCTCAGTCGGCATCAAGGCGGGCTCGTCGCGCGCGCCCGTCGACCTCAAGCTGCCGACAGGCGAGAGTACCCGAGAGTACCCCGGGATTACCCCGAGATTACCCCGAGAGTACCCGAGATGTGCCCTCGACCTCGAGCTGCCGACAGGCGGCCCTGCCAGCTCCGCCGAGATCCGCCGAGATCCGCCGAGATCCGCCGAGATCGCACCTCGAGCTCCCGACGGGTGGATCCGCAGAGGCCGCGCCTCGCCCGGTCGCCTCGAGAGTACCCGAGGAGAGCGAGAGGAGCGAGAGTACCCGTCACGCGAGGCGGCTGCCAGCAGGCGGCTACCAGCGCGTCGAGCCCGACCCGGACGACGCTGCGCGGCTGCGGGTGTGGGTCGACTTGATGGCGCCGCAGGACGCGACGCCGGAGGAGCTTGCCGAGACCGACTTCCGGTCGCCGAGCGCCATGATCGACTCGAGCGACGAGGTGATCATCGAGCTGTCGCACAAGGCGAGGGGGCCCGAGAGGACCCGAGAGGACCCGAGAGGACCCGAGATCGCGATGATCACCTCATCGCGCTGTCGCACAAGGCGAGACATCGCGGAGACACCTCCGACGCACCCCTCCGCCACCGCTCCGCCCCTCCAATCCCGCCTCCTGCATCCCCTCCCGCGCTCGTCCCTCGCCTCCTGCCCGCTGCTGCCCGCTGCCCGCTGCGTCCGCCTCCCGGGCCCCAGGCGGGACCCGCTCCCGAGATGACCCGAGATGACCCGAGATGACCCGTCGACCTCAGGCGGACCCGCTCTGCGCCGAGGACGGGAAGCCGCTGCCCAAGGGGCACACAAACGGCAAGCTGCCCATCGCGCTCGCCGAGGAGCGTTGCGCCGCGCGCGGGGTGGCGGGGGGGGGGGAGGGGGAGGCGGCGGGCGAGGCTTGTGGGAGGGCGACCCCCTCACGCGCCCTCCTCCCGTGCCAGCAGGAGCTCGCCTACGCGCTGCGCCAGATCGTGCGCGAGCGGCCCTCGAGGGCAGCTGCCGCGGAGGCCGCGCCGTGTCCTCACGCCCCCCCCCCGCCCCTTCCCCCTTCCCCGCAACAGGTGCACGAGCACATCGAGGACAAGCACCTCTCCACCGCCTACGCCTCCGCCTCCGAGACGGCGCGCACCGCCTCGGGCGACTGCACCGAGCACGCCGTCTTGCTCGCGGCGGTGCTGCGCGCGCGAGGCGCGCGGCCCCTCGATCCGGGATGCGCACCCCCAGCACCCGCCCCCAGCACCCGCGCCCTCGTGAGGGGCACGCCCCCGGCCGTTACTGCACCGCGCTCGCGCCTCTGGGTAGGGAGAGAGCGGGCCCGGGTAGTGCGCCCACGCACACGGCACCGCCCGCATGCACCCCCTTGAGCCCCGCTGTGCTCCCCACGCGCAGGCATCCCGTCGCGCGTGTGCCACGGGCTAGTCTACGTCGAGCAGGGCGGCTCCGCCATCGACGGGCAGGTGCACGCCGAGATGAGCCCATGCGCGCCGAGATTGCCCGAGAGTGCGGCTCCGCCATCGACCCGGGCAGGTGCACGTCGACGCGAGCGGCAACGTCGATCCGGCCGGCGGGCGGTTGACGGGGCAGTACGGCTGGCACATGTGGACGCAGGCCCTGATCGCGGGCAAGTGGATCGACCTCGACGCGACGCTGCACCTGCCCTTCACCGTCGGGCACGTGCTCGTCGGCACCTCCTCGATGGCGGACAAGGACGCGCACAACAACCACATGCAGATGGCGGCGCTGATTGGCAACCTCGAGATCACCGTCCACGACGTGAGCCACTCCTTTGAGCGCTGAGCGCACCGGCACCGACCCCGCGCGCGTCCCGCCCCCCACTCTCGACCACCCCAGGCTGGACGCTCGGTACGCCGTCGCTGGCTCGCCGCGGCGGGCCCGGCGAGAGCTTGTGGCCGGCACTGCTCTGCACGGACCGTGGTGGTAGCGTAAATGTGCAAAAGAAACTATACTCTCGCAGATGGCAGAAGCCTAGGGCGGCGGCTTCGAAAAGAAAAAGTTACTTAAACGTATCTTAGCTCCCCGCCCGGCCCTGGATGTGCGGTTAATGACTGCACTCCAAGTGCTCCAAGTAGAAAGAAAAAAGGCTTCACCGCGACGACGCGACGGGCCGAGAACGCCGCGACGACGCCCTTTTCTGGTATCTCTTTTTTCAACGCGCGTTTTGCACGCAGAAGCGGTATAGAGACGCCCTCTTAGGGGAGGCTTAAAAGGGTGGGCCCTGGGGCACCTGCGGCTTAAACGGCTTAAAACAGGCCAGGCCGGTTGAAGAGCTGCTGCGTGCTGGGCCGCCGATTCCTTAAACGGTCTTAATCGCTTAAACGGTGTGCGGTCCCGGCCGGTACGCGGTAGACGCCGGAGCGGGAGGCCGGGAAGCTGGCTACAGTCAGCTAGCACGCGTCCCCTATGCGAGTATGGCTCCTGCCAGTGCACCAGACTTACAGATGTGTCTTCAGAGGCGGGTTTGTGCCTACTCCAACGGCAGTATTGGAGAAAACGGCGCGGAACCCCCAGCGACGCATGCCGGTGAGGCCGATTTTCTTAAACGGTCTTAAAAGAGGGACCCCCCGTGCCTGCAATCTCTTAAATGGCAATTTAAGCCCCCAAACCTCCTCATTTCTTAAAAGGTCTTAAAAATATCCGGCCCTCAGAACTCTGGGGGTCCCCTAAGGACGCCCCTCCCCGCTTCGCCCGATGACGGGACAGGCGCTCGAGCACACTTTCCCCTCTCCACCATCCACGTTCTGCGCCGGCAGATTCGAGAGTGGCAGCAGGCGCGGGCTTGATGGCGCTCGGTCGAGCGGGGAGGGGGGGTGTCGACAAGGGTGTCGACGTGGCCAGCGTGCGCGCCGCCACACAAACATGTGAATTCATGTATTTGTATTCACCACGCAGGCTTGCGAGTTGCGACCGCTTTTAGGTGAGACGCCGCCTGGGTGAGAGCAAAAAAAGAAAACGAAAGAAAGAAAGAAAAGGGACAACCCAAGGGAGGGATGGGAGGACGGCACGCCGCCACCACACAGGGATTTTAAGGAGAGGGGTGTGATGCGCTAGCCGTCGCCCACCCTAACCCTTGGTCGCCTGCCTCTTTCTATCTCCCTTCGCAGTCCCCTCGCCGATTCTCGCTGCAACCTTCATGCCACCTCGCGGTCGTCCCACTCTCGTCGTTCTCTCTCTTGTCGCTTCTTCCTCTGTCGCGTCGCCCTCCTCTGCCTCGTCCTGCGACGGCGCCGCCGCCTGCCGCTCCCTCTTGCTCTCGCGGCTTCTCCCGCCTTTCGGCTTTCGTCGCAGCTCTGCCCTCCTCGCGGCATATTTTGGCCCCTCGAGTTTATCGAGCTCTCCTCGCGCAAGGACGACTCTTCTGACGGTGACGCCCACTCCGATCATCTGCCGCCAAAAGTCATAGGACATAGCGTTGCTCAGGTCCACACTCTCTCTTCGAACACTCGTACTTCCACAGATGATGTTGGCGCTGGGTACCCCTTCGGGTGTATCGTGACAGCTGCCGACGGGATTACCACAGGTGTGTCGCCCTCCTCTGGTTCGTCCAGGGCCGGGGAGCCAAAAGCGACGCCCCCCCCCCCCCTCCCTGCAACCCCGGGTGAGTGCCCCCCCCACCCCACCCCACCCACCCGCATTGCGCCCACCGCCCGCCGCACAACACGCAACACACAACGCACAACACACACACACCCCGGACACCGCACACCACCACAACACACAACACACAACACGTGCTCGTCTTAAAGAAAGAAAACAGACAACAAGGGAGGGATGGGAGGACGGCACGCCGCCACCACAAAGGGATTGTAAAAGAAAGAAAGAAAACAGACAACCCAAGGGAGGGATGGGAGGACTAAAGAAAGAAAGAAAACAGACAACCCAAGGGAGGGCTGAAAGAAAGAAAGAAAACAGACAACCCAAGGGAGGGATGGGAGGACGGCACGCCGCCACCACACAGGGATTTTAAGGAGAGGAGTGTGATGCTGTAACTGCTTGCGTTATGCATGTACATTCTTTTTCTGCCCCATGCGGGCACGGCTCTAATTACTCGCTGCTGAGGAGGCGATGGCGAGCGCCGACGCCTGCTACGTCGGCCCGGTCTCCACGAGCCTGCTTGGCAGCGGCTCTCGCGGGCCTGTGCTGCTCGGCACTCTTGGCGGGACGCTTGTGGCTGTGAAGCTCATCTTTGCTGACCCGGAGGCGTCGGCTCTCGATGGCATATCCGCGTCCACCACCGTGTATCCCATCCCGCCCTTGCACGCGGTGGAGGAGCCTGCCGCCGCGCACGTCGCGAGGGTGCTGGCCCGCGGTTCTGGCGCCGAATGCGAGGTGGAGGTGCGCGCGCTCGCAGAGGGCGGAGAGCTGCTCGACTTGGTGGCAGAGGAGGGCGCCCTGCCGCCGGAGGAGGCCGCGCGGTACACGATGCAGGCCGCAATCGCAGTGGCGCACAGCCACGCCGCCGGCCTCGCGAGTGGCCAGCTGAGGTGCCGGGACACCCTCGCGAGACGTCTCGACCCTCTCCTCCCCGAGACGTGTGCTTGGCACGGTGGTGGTAGGCTCGAGCACGTGCTGCGCGACGCGCGCGGCGACGTCCTCCTCATCGGCCTCCGCCACCGCCTCGACCCGTCGGCCGAGCCGGGCGAGCAGCAGGCGCCTCCTAGACACTGCCCCAGCGCTGTGCTAGACACTTCCCAGACACTGCCAGGACGCTTGTCTGCGGGTGGGTCTCTGCGGGTGGGTCGTCGGGCAGCCCTCTTCCCTCTCTCGAAGCTCGCGCCTCCACGTGCTCACTCCCCTCACCCGCCCCCCCCCTCCCCTCTCCCGCCCTTCCAGGCCGCCACTGTCGCGCGCGCCTCGCCACGCCCCCCCGCCCCTCCTCCCGCGCCGCTGCGCCCGGCCCGCGCCCTCGATCCGCCAGAGTGGCACGCGGCGGGCGGGGTGCGGTCTGCCGTCTCGCGCGAAGAGCTCCCTCCGGCGGACGTGTGGGGCGAGCCGGAGTAGATGCCCGCCGCGGCGCTCCCGACTCCCTCCTCCCCTCCCCCTCCCCCCTCCCCCCTCCCCCCTCCCCCTCCCCCTCCCCCTCCCCCTCCCCCCTCCGGCCCTCCTCCCCCCCCTCCCTCCGGCCCTCCCCGCCTTGTCCAGCCCACTCACCCCCGCCGCAGGGCTCGGACTGCTCCTGGCGACGCTGCTGCGTGGGCAGCCCCCTTCCGCCAGCGACGACTCCTGCCTCGCCCTCACCTCCTCCTTCGCCTCGGCGCGGCTGGCCGACCCGGAGGCGGCGGCGGCGGCGGCAGCGGCGGCAGCGGCAGTGGGGGCGGCAGGGGCAGCGGGGGCAGCGGGAGGGCGGGCAGGGACGCGGAGCAGCGGCGGCGCTGCCGGGGGCGCCCCGGCCGCCAGTCTCGCGCCGAGCCTCGAGCGGCTCGCCGTGGCGATGCTCCGACCCGACCCGGCGCAGCGGCCGGCGGCCGCCGCAGTCGCGCGAGACTTGGCCGCGCTGGTTCAGCGCTCCTCCCTCGGGACCACGTCGGGAGGGTGTGCGGCGGGGGGGTCGGGGGCGGGGCGGGACGGGCTGGCGGCGGTGCTGGAGGAGTCGCGCGCGCTCAACGAGTACTCGATGCAGGTGCTGCAGCAGCACCACGCCGACCTCCTTCCCCTCCTGCGCCGCGACGAAGCCGGCGCGGAGCAGGGGAGCGAACCCAGCCTGGTCGACACGCCGTCCTGCCCGACCACGCCGGCGACGTGCGCCACGCCGGCCCACCGCCCCCACCGCCCCCTCTCCCGACCCCCTCCCCCTTCCTTTCGCTGTCTCCACCGATCGCCGCGGACCTCCGCTTGGTGAGAGTGCGGCCGAAAGCCCCGGCACTCTCTCTCTCTCTCACACCCCACACCCCGTCGCCACCATCACCGCCGCCGCCGCCACCACACACACCAACACACACCAGCACACACCGCCCCCTCGTCGCGACTCAGGTGCGCGCCTTCGCCGCCGAACGACGTGCGGCCGGGCTGCCCTCTTTCCCCGGGCGGGGCGGTGCTGACGCTCGGCTGGCGCTCCCTCCCCTTCGACGCCCAGAGCCTCTCCCTCGCCCTCCGCCGCTCGCTCGACCGCCTCGGCGTCGCTTACTCGGCGGCGGGCGCGGAGGCGCCGCAGTCGTTTTGCGTGCGCCAGCGCGGCCGCAAGCGCGCGCACGGCACGCCCCTGCCTCCGCGCCAGGCGGCGACCCCTCTGTCTCCAGACGAGCTCTGCGTCACGGTTGATCTCCTCCGGGAGGAGGCGAGGCTGCCTAGAGCCTGGCCCGACACACCGCCGTGCCACACACCGACAGGCAGGACCCCGTCGACGTGGCACGCCGCGCCGGCCCGCCCACGCCCCTCCATTGCGGCGAGCAAGCAGCGCCCCTTCACCCCTCCTCTCTCTCTCCGCGGGTCAGGCGCCCCGGGACGACGCAGTTGGAGGCAGCACCGTCGGCAGGCGCCTGCTCGCCGCCCGGCCATATCTCGGCCATATCTCGGCCATATCTCGGCCATATCTCGGCCATATCTCGGCAGGCGCTTGCTCGCCGCTCGGCTTCATCTCTCCCCATCTCTCCCCATATCTGGCGTTCGCTCACTGCCCGGTCCCTTCGCTCCGCCTGCGCCGCGCCGCGCCCGCTCCGCTCGCATGGCGGCGACCCGTCTCCCCCGCCTCTCTCTCTGTGCCGCAGGGAGGCGCTGCGGCGCGAGGGCGAGAGGCACCGTGTGGACGTGCGCAGGATGGCGGGCGGTACCGAGCGCTACCTCGACTTTTACGCCTCGCTGCGGCAGGAGCTGTCACTGCAGCTCAGCCCCGCCCGCAGTGGCAGCGCAGCCGGCGGTGTCGCGGCCGGCAGCGGCGGCTGCGGCGCGCCTCTGATCCTCTCGCAGTACTCCCCGATGCCAACTTCGGCGCGCTTCACGGGCCACACCGCGCCGCTGGCTTGCTGGGGATACGCAAGCGCGCCCGGGGAGGCGAGCACGGGGCCGCGCTCCGCCGACTTCCGGGTCACCTCCTCCAGCGGCGGCTCCTCCGGTGTGTCGGACTTCGCCTCGCGGGGCGATGTCGTCGTCGAGACGGCGTCGGGCAAAAAGTTCCAGCGGCGAAAGTCGGGGGAGAGCTTTACGCGGTGGTAGGTGGTGAGCTCGTCGGAGCCGCGGACAGCTCGTCAGCTCCCTTTTCCCGGCGGTACTTCGGGTTGCCGTGCATGATGCCTTGGCGTGGCTCCCGTTTGCTTTATTGGTCGTGCATGATTTTTTGATTTTGTGGAGAGTTGTGCCACCATGTGTTTTGTCTGGTTGACTGTTCTGTCTGGTGTCTCTCTCCGCTCTCTGTGCACACTGGTCTGCACTGGCCAGTCGTGTCTGTGACTCGATGTGACGCGCTACGTACGTACATATTGCGTGAGAAAGAAGAACTCGCTTGAAGAGCGGAAGGAGCAGTGGATGGAGAAGCGCCGACCTCCCCAGCCACCCGACCCCAAACCCGAAGCCGAACCCGCGGGTGACTTCCCCACGACGGGCACTCCCATCCCGGGACCGCCCTGCCCGCCATGCGTCGCTCGCTCCTCGCGCTCCTATGCGCTGCTGCTGGCCAAGCGGGCGCCGCCAGCTGCGCGAGCTACTGCCACTGGGAGCAGGCCAACTGCGTGAAGGACCCGCACGCCTGCGGCGGATGCGACATGTGCAAGCAGGCTGAAGCGCAGCCGCTCGAGGTCATCACGGCAAAAGCAAATGCTGGGAGTGGGCAATGCGCGAGGTGGTGCAACGCACACCACTGGTCCTCTCACTGTGACCGGGATCAATGCCGCAATTGCCCCTTTTGCCCGGCCGACCGCGACGTGTCACGGACCTGTGGCGCGTGGTGCCGCGAGGGGAACGGCATCTATGCGGGCACGTGCACCGACGAGCGGTGCTCGGGCTGCTCAACGTGCAAGGCAGCGACGCAATGCACTCCGGTCGACCAGCACGATCTCAAGGTGGAGAGCTGTGAACGGTGGTGCAACGCAAAAACCGCTCAGGATCATTGCGACCGCTGCTCCTGCAAGCAGTGCTCGTTCTGCCCCCATCCACCTCCGCCTCCAGAGAGCCTGCCTCCGCCTCCAGAGCGGCTCCCGCCGCCGCCGCCATCGCCGCCGCCGCCGCCGCCGCCCGTGATCGAGGAGAAGTGGTACTGCTACACCCTTCGGTGCAGCGGCGGTAGATGCGGGGCTCGCACCGCGGCTCCAACACGCTCTCTGGGGCGCGCTCCCGCATGCACGCACGCATGCTCAAACCCGCGCCTGCAACCGTCTCAGGTATCCGGACATCTTGCAGGGCTACTGCAACGGGAAGCTGGACAAGTGCCAGTGGGACGCCATCAAGCAGCACTGGGAGGCTGCCGGCAAGGGGGAGGGCCGCACGCTCAAGTGCAATGCACAGGACGTCACGTGCTACGTCCTGCGCTACCGCGACCTCTTCCAAGGCTACTGCGGGAACGATCTGCAGAACTGCGCGTGGAGGAAGATCCTGGAGCACTGGGCCTTCCACGGCTTCCCGAGTAATCTCATCCTCGGCTGCCAAGGCGTGGACACCCAGTGCTACGTCAACCGCTACCCCGACCTCCTCAAAGGCTACTGCCGCGGTGACATCTCCAAGTGCGACTGGCCAAAGATCCTCGAGCACTGGGCCTTCCATGGCTCCGAGGAGCGCCGCGACTTTGGATGCACCCCGTACCCTCCCCCCAACTATCCGCTCAACCCGCCACCACCGCCACCCGCGCCGGCGACGACGACGCGAACGGCCGCGGCTGCGGCTTCAACCGAGCGGTCCTATGCACTTGCGGGAGAGATGGAGGGCGGCGGCGACCCTGGCGACGACGAGGTGCTTACGCTCGAGGACGACACGCCGGCCATGAGCACGATGATGCTGAGCATCGTGGCGATTGCCGGGCTGGTTTGCGTCGGCGCCGTGGTGGTGTTGCTGCGGCAGAGCGGCAACCACGAGGTTGTGGCGGCGGAGGACGAGTACGACGACGATGACGACGATGACGACTACGACCACGAGTACTATGAGGAGGACGGCCACGGGGAGGGGATGGAGGAGGCGGAGGAGTATCCGGAGCCCAAACGCAAGAGCAAGAAGAAGAAGCGTCACCGGCGCAGGGCCGCCGAACCCGACGAATGGGATGATCACGCGTGAGGGCGTCAGGGAGGGTTCCAGTGGTGTTGGTGGTGGGGGGGGGGGGGAGGTCTCTGCGCGTAGCCTCTTGTGTGTGGTTGAGGGCAGGGCCACAGATATCCCGCCGTGTGCCGGTGGCGCGTGTGGTTCGTGTCCGCTCTCCCCAGAGCAGAGTGAGGGTAGAGGCGTGTTAGAGGGTTCGTTTGGGTTGGCTAACGGCTGTGGGATATTTCTCTGCAGTCGATGCGCGAAGAGAAGCCAAGGAGCGGGGGCTAGGGTTGCCTAACGTTAATTTGGGGCCTAACAGTTGCGCTATTTTGTTGGTTGTTGGCTGAAATCCTCAAAACGTTGTTCAAAAGTGTTCACCCCGCAGCCCCCATCACCCATGCTGTTACTGTTTGTTACTGTTGTTACTGTTTTTCAGCGGCCAGCAAGCAGAAAATCGCAAAAAAACCGGGTAAAACCCGAAAATACCCGGGTTACCCGAAAATACCCTCCCTCTCTCTCCATCTCTTCACAGCTGGAAAAGGGATTCGTCTGCACACACACACTTTTAGCTCGAGCGCGTAGCGGCCAACTCTCGGCCCACCGGTTTTCCGGGTATTTCGGGTATTACGCACTTTGCACTAGAGATCGTCGTGGGTCACTGCCAGGGGAGGCCATCCTTACTGTTGTCCTTCAATAGGCCTAATGTTAGCTACTGTTGTTGGGGAGTTCGCGCCCTCCTCCTCTTGGTCCCGTAGATATAGATAAAAAGTCGGATAAAAAGTCGGAGAAGGGGCACTGAGGGAGGGTGTAGAGGATGTAGAGTGTAGAGCGCTGTAGAGCTGTAGAGCTGTAGAGCGCTGTAGAGCTGTAGAGCTGTAGAGCTCTACATCGGGCGCGGGACGAACTGCGTGCGTTGTAGAGCGATGTAGAGCGCGATTTTGCTGTAGAGTTTGTTGTAGAGGCTCTACAGCAAAACCGCGGGAAGGCAGTGACTCAAAGAGGTCGAGCCGCGCTAATGGGGTGTCTCCGAGCTTACTGGCAGCTCTGATGGACGGCCCTGACTATCCCTGACACACAGATAGTCACTCTGACGGCACACAACACCCTATAACTGCGTCATGACCAGCCTGCCGTGCGTCGCCGGTGCCGCATTCGTCGCTGTGCTTCTTTAGCAGGCGGTGGACTGTCGGCTGCGAGGACGGTCGCATTTGCGCGAGGCGAGGCGAGCATTGCTGCGCGTTGCATGCGCCATGCCTCGCGCCAGCGCGTGCGGGAGCTCCTGGCTGAGCGTTGAGTCCAGGTGAGTTGCGCTGGCCACTATCGCTACGCCGAGCTGAGCTGACGTGCCGAGGCGCCGGCCAGTCGCAGCCGTGAGGCATGCCACAGCAGCAGAGGCACCTGCCACCCATTGGGCGGGCAGACAGAAGGCCAGGGCAGCACTGGCAAGTGCAACGCGCCTCATGTCGGAGAGCGACCGTGCCTCGTTCGCCGCTTTTGATGTAGAGTTTGTTGTACTCTCTCTTGTTGTATGTGTGTGTGTAGAGATTTCACGTTGTAGAGCGCCTCTACATCGCTCTACAACGCACGCAGTTCGTCCCGCGGCGGATGTAGAGCTCTACAGCGCTACAGCGCTCTACAGCGCTCTACAGCGCTCTACAGCTCTACAGCTCTACAGCGCTCTACACTCTACATCCTCTATCCCTCAGAAGGGGCAACTCCGTGCACTGACGGTCGGCCGTCAGAAAACACGTCTCCGTGGCTCGGGTTACACCAATCCTCGCTACCCAACGCGGCCAAAGGAAATCCACCAGAGAACAACGAGATAAAAAGAATTCCGCGACGTAAAAAGAAAGGCGAAGCCTCCTGCGCTGCACCCCCCTGTGCTAGCCCGGTTTGCCAGCGCCGCAATCACACTATGGCGCTCCTTTTTTCCTTGCCCGTGCTGGGAGCTGGTTGGCAGTCCGACTGGAAGGCCCGCCAGTGCGAAAAGTACTCCTCCTGTGAGTCGTGCGCCAAAGCTCCTCTCAACTGCGTCTGGCAAGAGAAACGCTCGGCAGCGTTGCGATGGCGCGACTGCGGCTATCATTTATTCTACACGGCCTCGCAGGAGGCATGCGCTGCGAAATGTGTCCACGCTGACGCCGAAGACGTTGGCCACATCACTTCGACGCTGGTGAAACCCCGATTTCCAGGTGCGGCTTACCCTCCCCTCTGATTCCGTCGCATTTTCCACGGCAGGCGGGCTGCTCCTCTACCAGGACGGGACCGCGCAAGGCCACCACCCACACAAGCGCACAGGGCCTCTCCCACACGTACTACTCGCTCCTTGTCGAGCCGGCCGCCATCCTCTCGACCGGCTTCTCGCTTGATGCCCTCACCGCGAATTCGGCCTGGTTTCGGCTCGCAATCGGCTCGCGCGCCATACGCCACCCATCTATCACACTTGCACCCGCATCCGCAGTTAGGGGATCCCGAACTCAACTGGCTCTCTCGTCCACCGCACAAAGTTGCTCGAGCATTTGCTGGAAACTTGTAGGCGTCGCGGCCTTCGCCGCGCTCCTCCTCTTGCTCGTGGTGGCTAAGCAGGAGGGGGGGGCTAGAGAGGAGAGGGAGGGGCGGCGGGCACGCGCACGGGGTTCACTGGGAGGCATGTCTCTCACTTCTTCAGGCGCGCAAGCCATCGCCATCGCCATCCTCGGTGGCAGCTGAGGCCGGCGGTGCGGGCTCGGCGATGCTCTAAGCTCCCGGCGGCGGCCCGCCGCCTTAGGGAGAACTGCGTGCCATCGTCCCCAGGGAGGTGACTTGAACCACCAAGACTTGTTTTGGGCTGCAAAAGCAGCGTATCTCGGTGGTTCTCCTCGCGGACGGATTGTCAATGGGCTTGCTTGCGGCGAGGGCGATCGAGTGCACGGAGCTAAGTGCCTCGCCGCCCTCGCAGGAGTCGCTTAGCCTTAGGCGGCTCCCGTGTGAGGTGTACTTCTACTTGTGTCCGTGCCAGCGCGCGCCAGTCCTGTGCGCGGCAAATGTTGGTATTTCTAGCCCCCCCCCCCGCGCTACCCGGTTGCACTCGTGCGACGTAGCGGGGGCCACGACTACATAGTGATCTGTGATCTGTAAGGGTCCGCCCGCAGGCGCATTTTGTATACCGAGGCGGTGCCCGGTGCCGAACCTGTCGGAAGTCGTACATTTACAAAAAACATACGTAGTCGCGCGAGGTGTGAATTTGCGTTTATGTGAATTTGGCCACCCAGTTACCTATGTTGCGATTTTACTTCTTCACATTTTTTCGTGGCAAAACTCGTCACACGCTTTGGCGCCAAAGCAGATTCACGGCATCACGGGCGTTCGAAGTGCCTGGCTAAACCCGTCATGCTTTGCTTCGGTCTCGACTTGAGTGCCGCTCGACTGCCCGGTGAAGAGCGACCCGTACGATGCGCACTTGTCGTCCTCCCTCCTCGCCACATGATGGCCGCCCCCCGACACCAACAGTCGCGCTCCGCACGCCTTCGAGTTCAGCTGCGGCCGAGCGACGATCGGCTCGTCTCCGATCGCTGGGCGCGGTCACTCTCCGGCCCATCACCCGCCTGCCGATCACCTGTCCGCCTCGCCGCGCGCGGGCCGCTCGCCTGCTCGCCACCGCCGCCGCGCTTCCCCGCGCCGCCACGCCTCCCTGCACCTGACCGCGCTCGAGCTGCGCAGAGAGCTCAGGCAGACACAGAGCAGCGGCCGCCCAGGCGGTCGCTGCTCCGCCCCGTCCGAATCCGTCCGCCCGCGCGTGCTGCTGCCGCCGCCGCCGCCGCTCCACCCGGTGCCCGTCGTGAGAGTTGCTTTGTGTATGTGTATGGAGTATGGACCGAGTACCACTCGACTAGGTCCAGCCCTGGGTGGCGCAGGTTGTGACATTTGGCGATTCCGCGACTTACTGGGCCCCTGAGCCGCTACCCGTGTGCGATTTTTTGTGGCCCGGACATGATACTGATAGTAAACGGGTCAGAACCGGCCAAACACAGGCTACAGCCCCACACACGCGCCCGCCATAGCTCCTGGAGAGCATGCGCGAGTGACGCGCTGCAAGCCGCGAGAGTGGCATCAGAGGCAGGAACGACGTGCTCTTGCTGCACCTCGCAGCTGCACCAAGTGTGCTCGCAGTGTATGCCACGGCCACTGCCTGCGGCATTGCTCTCGTGCAGCTAGGCGATGCAGGTCCATCAGCAGGGCTCATCCAATGCGAGCGCACATTGTGCGTAGCCGCGGGCAGGTGGCAGTGCACAGCCGCACACCGGCTGTGGCGGCTCGAATGCCCCCGGCAGTGCTGCTAGTCATCAACTTGCGTATTAGGGCCGCAGCAGACTGCTGCTGTGGCAGCAGCAGCAGCCTGCTGCTGCCTGATTCAGTCAAGCCAGCGGTGCAGCGAGGCGTGCAGAATTCGCGCGGTTTGGTACCTCCTGAGGCTGAGCGCGTTCAGACTCGGTGACCGGAGTTGGATGGTCCGATGGAGCTCGGCGAGCTCCATCGGACCATCCATGGCCGGACGGCGGAGCGTGAGGTGGCGAGCGGAGAGATGTACCGCAAGACCAAAAAAACACGGATCTGACGATTGTCACAGAACGTCAGATCTGCGCCACCCAGGGCTGGACCTAGTCACTCCACAAGTGCTATTAGTACAAAAAAATCACAGAAAATTCACAAGCGCTCGCGGAGCCGAGCCACGCGTCACGCAGCAGCCCTGAGGTGCCCTGAGCACACATGCGAGCGCCCATGATCATATCTCGTCGTGCACTCGCCTGACAGTAGTTTGCGGAAGACCGCCGCCAGCATGTCGTCGCACCGGCGCTGCCGGTGGCCGAAGGCAGCCACCGTGGGTCCAGCAGCGCGAGCTGCTGTGCATCCGCGCTCCCAGAGCATGCCGGTGGATGGCCTTGACCAGGCCTGAGCAGCTCAGGAGTGGAGGCAGCCTCTGTCTGGACGAGCAGCGCTGGATCGCCAAACCAGCAGAAGAGCGCCGAGCGGCGGCGCCGACTCCGTGAGGCCACTCCAACTCGCACATCTCAAGCTGTATCTCGAGAACGCGATCGAGTTAGAAGCTCATCGACACGGCGTCTTCAATGGTTGACGGAGCCCGTCACTTCAGTCAGTGGGAGCCAGCGACGAATCGGCCATCCTTTGCGTGGGTCGGTGCTTATGGCACTTGTGGGAGGGTCGTAACAAAAAACCACCTAAACTCCCCCACCGCACCCAGTTGCCAGTACTAATAGCACTTGTGGGAGGGTCGTACTCGGGTTTGGATGGGTCGACCCGCCGGCTGGTTACTGATCTCCAGCACATAGTATAGGTAGGTAGGTAGAAAGGTGAAGAACAGCCAGGCTCGGACTGGACACCAACGCGGTATGGGTGGACGCTAGACAGATGATGACGACACGCACGAGCGACACACAGACACAAACAAGCTCACAAGACACACAGCCAGCTGGCTGCCACACACCCTGAGTTGGCGTACACATAACTCAAGGCCACATTCTCCCTGTCGCCCCCCCCAGCACTCCCAGGTGCCAAGAGAAACAAACAAGGGCACAACAAACAACAGACGACAGGAAGTGATATGTGAGGCTAGAGCAGCATGCTCCACCTCTAGCAATCTCTCCGGCCGGCGAGGCACGGACGAGACCGTGTGTGGGGTCTAAGTGAGGTGTCTATGGACGCTCTCCTCACGGGCTAGCTGCCTGCGGCTAGCCTTCTCTCTCACTCACGGACAGTGACAATCAAATGGGTGAGTGTTTGCGAGCAGAGGCGCGTGGGCTAAATCTAGGCCGCACGTCGTGGCACTATGACGAAGTTAGACGTGCGGCCGCAGCGCGCCCGCCCCAGGCTCGGCGGTGCGCGCGTGTTAGCGAGAAAGTTGCGGGTAGAGCCGTTCCCGACTTGTCGAATGCGAGGCCTCTGCGACGAGTGCCAGTCGTGCTGCGGAGCCACGCCCTTCGAGCCGCGTCCCGTCGGCACTGTCCCCGAGTGGTCCCGCCTTGGCGGCACACACTCTCGACCAGGACAGTCCTGCTGACGGGAACGTGTCGCGCGCATAGTGCCTCTTTGGTACCACGTACTGAAAAAGCGCGTAATTCTTTTTCTGCCTGCACACGTGGGGTCGAGTCTAGCGTTCCTCAAGATGACGCACTACTCAACTCAACCCTACGCCCGCATCGATGTGGGAGGCAAGGCCACCCGTCGATGCGACCTGCTACCAAGCGGTGGGGCAGGAGTTGGAGGGGCCCCTTGCAGAGCTAACACCCACACCGGCTCTCTCTGTCACTCGCCCGGCAGCCTCGTCGCCGTGCCGTGCGCTGTGCCGAGGTTGGCGAGGCTCTGACATTGGAGCGGATTTGCTCCAATGGACAGAGAGTCGGCCTGGTCGACGCTTTCGGGCGTCGGCCCGCTGCTGCACGAGGCATGCGGCATCAAGTTCTCCTTCTACACCAAGCGTGAAGTGGAGCGCTTGTCAGTGTGCAAAGTGACCTCGTCGCGACAGCGCGACGTGATGAACCGACCGCTGGCCAACGGGCTGTACGACGCACGCATGGGTCCGACCGACAACTGGGACACCTGTGTCACCTGCGGCCTCGAGTACGGCCTCTGTCCAGGCCACTTTGGGCACATCGATCTGCCGCTGCCGACCTACACGCACCTGCTCTTCCCGCTCCTCCACCAGCTCCTGCGATGCGCGTGCTCGGCGTGCCACCACTTCCGTGCACCGCGTGCTCGTCTCGAGCCGTACGCCGCCGCGCTGCGCCTCCTCGATGCCGGCCTCCTCACCGATGCTGCCGCGGTGGCGCCATCCGTCGGTCTTGGTCCGGCGGCGCGGCGGCCCCGACCGCTGCCGTGCCCCGTGTGCAGGTGCTCGAATCCGCCGCCGTGGTCAGCGGCAACTCCAAGCTGGGCAACAACCAGCAGCGGGCGGCTGGCGAGGCGCGCCTCGCCTCGCGAACGGCGAGAGGCTCTTGCCCCGCGTGCGTGCCTCCGACTCTGCGCCTCTCGCGCCTCTCAGGTGGCGGAGGAGTCGGAGGGCGCGTGGATGAGCGGCGTCTCGGCGGCAGGGTGCGCGCTGCTGCGTCGCCCCGCCGCCGCCGGCTCGGCAGGCGTCGCCGGAGGCTGCGCCTCGTCGCCGCACCTCATCGCCCTCCGGAAGCGGATCTTGGCGGGGCTAGCCCGCGCGTTGCGGCCGGCATGGCAAGCCTAGATGCAAGCCTAGATGCGGGGGTTAGATGCGGGGGTTCGGGATGGCGGTGTTGCAGCGAAGTGGCAGCGAGGAAGACACATGCACGCTGTAGCGACTGCCTTTGCGGCCCACGCATTCACCCGACGCGCCGAACGCCGTACACGACACCACCGCATGCCCACACACCCTACTTGGCCCGCGCTCCAGCTGTCGCCGCCGTGGCGCACGCTTCGCCGCCGTGCGAAGTGGGTGGTCTCACCCGCGGGAGCTGGCGGGCGACCTTAGGCGTCGAACAAGTGCACGCGGTGCGGTCGTGCCTCGGGCAGCCTCAAGGCGCGCGGCGGGCAAGTCTTCTTCCTCCTCGCACCTCTCCTGAGCCTGCTCCGAACTTTCCCCAGGTGCACGGTGGCAAGTTCTTCGTCAGCGCGCTGTCGCAGCGCGCCCTCGCGGCAAACGAGCAGCTCGGCTTGGCGCCCTTAGATGTGGATGACACGCCCCTGCGCTAGCGCTCGAGGAGACGCGCGCTCAACCGTATCCAATTGCGCTGCTATCGGACTCTCACCGTCGTCGCTGCTCTCTGCTTTCCCGCGATGCCGTGAAGACTCACTGCACTGTCTTCACACCCCGACGGCCGTGTCTTCACAACGCAGGCTTGGCGCCAGTGAGCAGCTCCCGCCGATCGACGCGGAACGGGAGCGTGGCGGCGGCCGCCGCCGCCGCGTCGGCGGTGGCCGCCAATCGCACTGAGGGCAGCGACAACGACGACGACGACGAGGAGGAGGACGACGAGGAGGCGGAGGAGGTGGACGAGGCGGCGGCAGAGGCGATGGAGGTGGACGAGGCGACGGCGGAGCGCGGCACGTCGCAGGTGGGCAAGTCCCTCTTCCTCAACCCGACGGATGCGCGCGAGCGGATGGCGGCGCTGTGGGAGGCCGAGTCGCAGCTGCTCGGCCAGCTCTACCCATCGCTCGACGCCGACTCCTTCTTTCAGGAATTTGTCATCGTGCCGCCCAACCGGTTCCGGCCGCCGGCAAAGGTGGGCGACCAGCTGTTCGACCACTCGCAGAACGTCTTCCTCAACAAGGTCCTCACCGCGATCGAGACGCTGCACCGCATCAAGCAGCAAAAGGCCGACCAGGATGCGGCGGCGGCGGGCGGGCAGACGGCGGGCGGTGGGAACGGGTACGGCCCGATGACGGACCAGCGAATGATGGATCGGTACCTCTCCGCGTGGGACGAGATGAGCTTGGGTGTGGCGTCGATGGTTGACTCCACCGCTGGCGGCGGCAAGGCCGACGAGAAGGACGCGCAGGGCGTCAAGCAGATGCTCGAGCGAAAGGCGCGCCGCTCCTGCTCCTGCTCCCGCTCCCTCTCCCGGCTGAGAGGGCGGGCGACTGGATGGGCGGGCGGTGCCCTTCGCCGACCCTCCTCGGACCACTCGCACTCAGGCGGGCCTCTTCCGCTCCAACATGATGGGCAAGCGCGTCAACTTCTGCTGCCGCTCCGTCATCTCGCCCGACGTGAACCTCGGGACGCACGAGATTGGCGCCCGCTGCACCTTGCACTGCCGCCTCACTGGAGCGGCTCCCCACCTTCCCGGAGCCAAACCCTAGGCGTCCCGCTGCACTTCGCGACCGAGCTCACCTTCCCCGAGCCCGTCACGCCGTGGAACGTGCAGGCGAAGGGGGCGAAGGGGGGGGGGGGGCGAGGGGGGCGGGGCGGTGGGTGGGTGGTGGTGGCGCACCGGCCGGCCAGCGAGACGGCTGACCCTCGGCGCTTGTGTGTCGTGCGCAGGTACTGCGCCGCGCGGTCGTCAACGGCCCGCACGAGCACCCGGGCGCGAACTTTGTCCAAGACGCGGACGGCGCGATGATCGATTTGCGCCGCCGCTCCAGGCCGCAGCGCGTCGCCATCGCCGCCAGGTTGCTCGCCGACGCCGACGGCGGCGGCGGCAGCGTGGCCGGAGGGGAGCTGGGGGGGGCGCAGCTCCTCTCGCCGTCGCTCGGGGGCGGCCTGGCGGCCATGACGCCAAAGAAGGCGGCCGCCGCCGCGGGCATTCCCGGCATCACGCCGGGCAGCGGCGTCCCGCCTTCGGCCGGCCTCGGCCGGTCGCACGTCACGGGCGGCGTCAAGAAGGTCTGGCGGCACCTCGTGAGCGGCGACGCGATGCTCGTCAACCGGCAGCCCACGCTGCACAAGCCGGGCATCATGGCGCACTCGGCGCGCGTGCTGCGCAACGAGAAGGTGATCCGGATGCACTATGCCAACTGCAACACGTACAATGCCGACTTCGACGGCGACGAGATGAACCTGCACCTCTGCCAGTCCCACCTCGCGCGCGCCGAGGCATACCACATCGCCGCCACCGACCACCAGTACATCGTGCCGACCAACGGCCGCCCGCTGCGGGGGCTCATCCAGGACCACGTCGTGATGGGGGTGCTGCTGACCAAGCGCGACACCTTCCTCACCAAGTCGCAGTACATGCAGCTCCTCTTCCTCGCCGGCGTCGACCTCTCGCGCGGCGGCGGCACCTTCGTCACGATGCCGCCCACGATCCTCAAGCCCGCGCCGCTCTGGACGGGCAAGCAGGTCATCTCGACGCTGCTCCGCCACCTCGGCGCGGGCGCGCTCAACTGCGCCTTCAAGGCGAAGACGGCGGGCGACACCTGGGCGCGCCCGAGCTGCGCCGGCTACGCCGGCACGGGCGAGCCGGAGGAGAACGCCGTGCAGATCCTGGACGGCGAGCTTCTCACCGGCGTGCTCGACAAGGCCGCCTTCGGCGCGACCGAGTTCGGGCTGGTGCACTCGGTGCGCCAGCTCCTCTCCGGCGAGATCACCCGAGATGTCCCGAGATGAGCCGGGATTGCGGCGAGCGTAGGTGCACGAGCTGCTCGGTGGCGAGCCCGCGGGGCAGCTCCTCTCGCAGCTGGGCCGCCTCCTCACCGGCTATGAGCAGATGCACGGCCACACCTGCGGCATCGGCGACGTGATGCTCACGCCCGCGGCGGACGAGCGGCGGCGCCGACTACACGCCACCGCCGACGGGTGCGGCGTCTCGGCCGCCGAGAGCTTCGGCAAGCTGGCGCCGGGCGCGCTGGCGGCCGCCGCGGCGGCGGGCGCGGGCGGCAGCGGCAGCGGCGGCGGCGTGGCTCGCGCGGCGTTTCGGCAGCTGCTCGCGGAGAAGCTGACCGAGGCGGACAAGGGCGACGAGGCGGGCGCCGCGCTCGACTCTGCGATGAAGCAGGCGCTGCTTCCGCTGGCGTCGGAGGTTGGCGCCGCTTGCCTGCCCTCGGGCATGGCGGTGCCCTTCCCGCGCAACCAGTTCGCCATCATGACGCAGACCGGCGCGAAGGGCTCGCAGGTCAACTTCTCGCAGATTGCGGTCATGCTCGGGCAGCAGGAGCTCGAGGGGCGGCGCGTACCCATCGGGCCCTCGGGCGCGACTGCGCCGTGCTTCGCCCCGTTCGAGCTCTCCGCGCGCGCCGGCGGCTACATCACGGACCGCTTCCTCACCGGCGTGCGGCCGCCCGAGTTTTACTTCCACTGCATGGCGGGGCGCGAGGGCCTCGTCGACACGGCCGTCAAGACGTCGCGCTCGGGCTACCTGCAGCGCTGCCTGATCAAGCACCTCGAGCCGCTGCAGGTCGCTTACGACCACACGGTGCGCAACGTCGTCGACGGCTCCGTCGTCTCCTTCGTCGCGGGCGAGGACGGCCTCGACCCGACGCGCGTCGCCTTCTTCGGCAACCAGCCCTTCCTCGCGGCGAACGCGCACGCGCTGCGCGCCAAGTGGACCCCGCGCCACGTGCCGGCGGCCTCAGCCGGCCGCCTCGACGCGGCGGCGGCGCACAAGCGGCACGCGGCGCGCCTCGCCACCCCGCCGGAGAAGCGGCCGATCCTCCTCGAGCGGGCCTCGCCGGCGGCGTGCCTCGGCAACACCTCGCTCGCCTTTGAGGAGTCGATGGAGGACTTCCTTGCGCGCGCGGCCAAGGACCCCGCCTCCGCCGTCGCGGCGGGCCGCCCTGCGCCAGCGGCGGACGTGTGGCGCGAGGTGGTGTGGCACAAGTACCTCGACTCGCTCTCTCCGCCCGGCGAGGCGGTCGGCCTGCTCGCGGCGCAGTCCGTCGGCGAGCCTTCGACGCAGATGACCCTCAACACCTTCCACCTGGCGGGCAGCGGCCTCGCCCACGTGACGTATGAGTCGGGACTAAGTACTCTGTACTCAATGACTAGGCGGGCACCGGCCTCGCCAACGTAACTCTGGGCATCCCTCGGCTGCGCGAGGTGATCATGGTTGCGTCGCGCAAGCCGTCCACGCCCCTGATGACCCTCTCGCTCCTCGAGGCGGTTCAGTCTGCCGGCGGCGCCGACGCGGCGGCGCAGGAGGTGCGGCACCGCCTCGAGCGCGTCACTTTCGCAGAGGTGCTGCAGCGCGTGACCGCCGAGGAGCGGCTGCGGCCCGAGGCGGCCCCCGCGGGCGGCAGCGCCGCGGAGTACAGCCGGCGCGTGCGCCTCACCCTCCACTTCGACCCGGCCGCGGCCGGCGTGCAGCGCGTGGAGCTGCTGCTGCCGCTGGTCGAGCAGCTGCTCCCATCGCTCAAGCGGGCGATGGCAAAGCACGCCGCAGCCGCCTCCAAGGGGCGAAAGGCGGTGACGAGTCGCGCCGCGCGGCGGGAAGCTGCGCCGGCCGCGGCGGGCGGAGGCGATGAAGATGGCGGGGCTGCTGGAGGCGAAGGCGGCGAGGGCGAGCGCCGTGGGCGCAGCGGGGACGACGACGGGGGCGGCGACGGCGACGGCGGCGGCGGCGGCGACGACGACGACGACGACGCGCGCGCAGCGGCGCGCGCGGCGCGGCGCTCGAGCGCCGACTACGACGACGAGGAGGACGGTGGTGAGAGCGGTCGTGCGTCGTCGCCGACGGGCGAGGAGGGCGAGGAGGGCGACGAGGAGGAGGCCGAGGGTGCGGCGGCTGGCAGCGGCGGTGGTGCATCGGGCGGTCGGTCGGCCGCAGCTGCGGCAGAGGAGGCGTCGGCCGAGAGGGCTTTTGTGACGCGCCTCGACGCGCTCTGCCGACCGGGAGGCTCCCTGGTGGGCGCCGGCGTCGCGAGCGACGGGTTGTCGGGATGGATCGACTGCCGGATGCCGGCGCGCACCGCGCGGCTGCAGCTGGTGGATCGGCCGCGGAAGGAGCCGCTCTGTACGCCCGCTGCCTTCACCGGTCACGCTCCTTGCCTGTAGGTGCCGCTCGTCGAGGAGCTCGCGCCAAAGGTGGTGGTGCGACACACCGAGGGCATCACTTCGGCGGTGGTGCTCCCGCCGCCAAAGGGCTCGAAAGCGCCGGTCATCCAGACGGCGGGCGTCAACTTTGGCGCGCTCGCGTCGAGCCGGGCGATGGCTGCCGTGGTCGACCTGAACAAGGTCCGATCCAACGATATCTACGCCGTGCTCTGCACTTTTGGCGTCGAGGCGGCGCGCGCCACCATCGTCTCCGAGATCAAGTCGGTCTTCGGCGTGTACGGCATCAAGGTTGACCCTCGCCACCTCGCGCTCATCGGTGACTCGAGCGCGCGCAAGGGGAGGGCGCCGCCGCGACGCAACACTCACCCCGGCGTGAGCACCCCGCAGGCGACTACATGACGCACGAGGGCGGCTACACGCCGCTCAACCGCTCTGGCATGGAGACGCACGTGTCGCCGCTGCTCAAGATGACGTTCGAGACGACGACGCACTTTCTCACCCAGGCCGCCACGCACGGCGACCCCGACCCGCTCACCGCGCCGTCCGCCGCCATCGTGCTGGGCAAGCCCGTCTCGTGCGGCACGGGCGCCTTTGGGCTGCGAGCCAATCTGGCCGCGTCGTGCCGGCAATGAGTTGAGGTGAGAGTCCATGGTTGAGTCACGATGTGATTGTCAGTGGGTGCGCGTGCGAACTTGGAGCGAGGGAGAGAGACGAGAGCTGTGCTAAAAGTGGTCACACACGCAAGACCAAAGAGAACGGGACGGGCGCCACACGAGTCACGACGCGCACCGCGGGCACGATGGCATCAACATGGGGGCTACACATCTCACATGCCCCTGGGCGGTGATTATTACTCCGAGAGTCCGACACTGTATATGGCGTACACGCGTACATGGGGGGGGGGGGGGGGGGCGCGGGATTGGGCTTGGGGAGTGTCCCGTGTGCATGAATAATATAATGTGGTAAACAAAAGACCGGACGCTCGACAAGATCCTCCACGGACATGCAACAAGAGGGGTGCGTCACGGACAGCTCAACTTCCCCGCTTAAAGCCGTAGGGACAGCATCGATCTGAGCTTGAGATCGATCTTCTAGATGAACAGGGGAGAGGGGCGGAAGGGGGGCAAAGAGATGCCAATAATGAACAACTTCGTGGGCTGCGGTGCCAATAAAAAGATGGATAATGAATTAAAGCTTTCCTTGGCTCAATCAGTCGTAGAGCTCCAGATGAGGTCACGGTCATGGCCGCACCCTGTGCCACGAGTGCAGCTGCCTGCAATCTCATCCTGGGTGCAGAGGCGAGCGCCGGCATCGGCACAAATTGCCGTTGCCTCCAAGAACGTCTTGGAGTGGGCGCACTCGCCCATCTCTGGCCCCTGAGAATCACTCCACACCGAGCAACCCTGATTCCGGCGCCACGAATTGGAGAGCTTCGTCTCGGAGCAACAGCGAACCTCATGCAACTCTGTATGCGCTGCAAACTTCGCTGCCTCCGTGCACCGACCGGGCCTGCCGCATTCGATCCAATTCTGCGGTGGAGGCGGCGACGGCGACGGCGACGGCGGAGGCGGCGACGGGATTGGGGAAGCGAAGGGTGGCGCCAGGGGGGAGTGGTCGAGGAGATCAGAAATGAGAATGCACTCGACGCCATTGAAAACTTCGACGGCAAAGTCGCAGACATCGCATGGCAAGAGCCCAGGCGGAGCGACCGGACCCGGCGACGGCGTAGGCGACGGCGGGGGCACTGGCAACGGCGACGGCGACGGCACCGGCGAGGGCGACGGCACTGGCGACGGCGCTGGCGAGGGAGAGGGAGGGGGAGACGGCGAGGGCGACGCGCCCGAGGCGTAGGTGCCGGTCACTGTGGCGGCGCCCGTAGCGGCATTGTACCCGCCCAGGACGATGTAGTACTGCGTGTCCGCCTCGGGCACAAAGTCGTCGATGAAGGAGCTGTAGGCGACGTTGCACGAGCCGGAGTCGCCGTCGCACGCCACCATCTCGAGGCTGTCGCAGGAGCCCTTGAAGACGGAGAGGTCCGTGTCGAAGCCGCAGGCAGTCAGGTCGAGCGAGACGCCTGGCCGCACGTCGTCGAGCTTGAGCCAGTAGACGGCGCCGCTGCCGGTGAACCACGTGCCCGAGCAGAGCGAGGGATTGTAGCCGGGCGGGCCGACACCGACCGAGGTGTCGGAGATGTCCAGCGAGAAGGTGTTGGTCGAGGAGTCGCCAAAGGAGTGCGCCAGCTCGCACGAGCTGCCCGGGTTCGGCGGCAAGGGCGGCGGCGAGGGCGGCGTCGGTGGCGCAGGGCTTGATGCCTGGAGGCACTCCAATAGAGCCGCGTCGTCGAGGTCGTTGAACAGCAGCTCATTGACAGTGTTGGAGGGGAGGCCGCTGATGGTGTCTGGAGTGGCAAAGCATAGCAGAGACGTTGTGATCTGGCCCGGGCCAAAGTTCGGCCGCAGCGCGCGGATCTGCGCCGCAACTCCCGCGACGTGCGGGCACGCCATGCTGGTTCCGGAGATAGTGGTGGTGTCCGAGTCAGAGCCGACCCACGCCGCCGTGATGCCGGAGCCAGGCGCATGGATGTCGACGCACGTGCCGTGGTTCGAGAAGCCCGACTTGGCGTCGCTGTTGGTTGTCGATCCCACGGTGACTGCGAGTGGTGTAGAGGCGGGAGAGTAGTCGCACGCATCGGCGTTGGAGTTGCCGGCTGCGACGACACTCAGGACACCCTCGGCAAAGGCGGCATTGATGGCAGCGTCAAAGCGGTTTGCCCCGCCGCCACCGAGCGACATCGAGATCACCGCTGGCAAGCCGCGATCCTTCGAGTCTGCGACCGCCCACTCGATGCCCGCGACGATGCCGGCCGTCGATCCGGAGCCGCCGCAGTTCAGCACCTGAACGGTGATGATGGTGGTGCCCTCGGCGACACCGTAGGTTGCACCCCCCGCGGTCGAGGCGCAGTGCGTGCCGTGGCCGTTGCACTGGGAGGTGGCCTCGGTGATAACGCCCTGGTAAACCCAGCCGCTGTTCGCGTCACCACAGCCCGACTCCGAGTTGGTGGGGCAGCCCGCCGACCAGCCAGCCTCAGCGCGGCCGCCAAAGTCCTGGTGGGAGATGCGGACGCCCGTGTCGAGGATGTAGACGAGAGAGCCAGAACCTGTGACGCCCGAGTCGTCGTACTGGCCATCGGTGCCGGAGCGGCTGTCGATGCGGTCAATGCCCCACGAGAGGGCGTCGGAGATGGAGCGCGCGCGTTGCATCTCGGAGTCGGGGAGGACGATCATGCAGTTGGCGGTGACGGCCTGGATCTCCTCGTCGGCCAGGAGCTCGCTCAAGGCCGTGCCGCTCGCGTGGACCGCAATTGCCTCGATGGAGGGCAGCTCGTACATGATCTCTGCGCCAACTGCCTCGGCCTTGGCACGGAGCGCGGAGACGCACCGCTGGCCGTTCGTGGAGGCGGAGGACGCCTCGACAGAGCTGGACCAGATGAGATCCTTGTCGTGCCCGCAGCCGGTGCCGGCGGCGCAGTCTGTCTCCAGCTCCTCCTTAGTGCAGAGGCGGGCGCCGGCGGCGGAGCAGATGGCCTCGGCCTGTTCGTAGGTCTTCTCGTGATGGCAGCCGCCGATCCCGGGCCCATCGGACTCGGTGTAGGGACAAGTGGCACTGTGCCGCGCCCAGCCGTTGATCCTCACGTCGGAGCAGCAGCGCACCTCGTGCTTCGCGGTGGGAGAGGACTCGGTGGTGCTCTGCAGGTCGCACCGGCCCTTGCGGCCGCACTCGGCGACGTGGTGCACTGGCTCCGCCCTGCGACGCGCGAGTGGGTGTGAGCGTGGGGTGATAGGGACGGCTTGGCAGCAGGGCAGGGGATGCTCTCACGGGAGCGCGCTCGGCAAAAGCTCGACTAGGACTCCGTCATGGCCATCGCGGCACTCTTGGATGGAATCTTGGAGGCGCCGGTGGCGGTCGGCGCCGGGGTGGACGGGAATGGCTGCCGCGAGCGAGAGCACGGCGGCGATGGTCGCGAGTGTGGGTGTGGAGCAGCGGGGCATGGTCAGAGAGACGTTTCGTTGGGGGCGGACCAGAATAGCGAGCGGCGCGTGATCAAACGTCACCGCATCCACATAACGTTGGGTGCTCGGTTATTTCGGGAACCGCCCGGAACCACAGCCACCCAAAGCGATCGGCCCGAAATAGACGGACGGCACGTCATGGACACCGACTATTGTCGGAGGCTATTGTCGGAGCACGGAGGCCATAATGAGCGACGAGAATCGTTCGTTCGTTCGTTCGTACTTACTTGTTCATACGTGGTGTGTGTAGAGAACATCCAGGCCACTGCCTACCCACCCACCCCCTAGGGGACGCACACCCCTCCCTAGCGGCAGTCGCGCCACCTGGCTCCTGGGAATAATATAAAGGGCCCTGCCCGAGTTGTGCGGGGGCCCGTTCAATTTACATACAAAACAATTTCACTCACAAACAACAACCACTCCGGAGCAATAGTGCAATACCTGGTCACTTCCGTCAAATGCTTGAGCGTCTTTTAGACAAATCAAACAACTTGGCACGCACACACGGTGCTTTTGTGGGGCTCAGTATGGTATGGTTTCGGTGTGCCTGGAAGGCGGGGAACTGACTGTGGAATGAAAAAGAGAAATCACGATAGCGGGGCCCCGTACCGTGCGGAATCGACCCTATCCAGTGCTCAAGTGCTCAAAAAAAGAAAGAAAACAGACAACCCAAGGGAGGGATGGGAGGACAGCAAGTGCGCAAGAAGCAGTCTCGGGAAAGCAGTTTTTGTCAACGTCCGTAACGGGGCGGGCATCGCGGGGCAGCCCTGACGCTGGACCGTGCGCCTTTTCATGGTGCTCTCTCCCTCGTACACGTGGTCCGAGACCAAAGGTGGCCTCACTGTGATTGCACAATGCACTGGCGCATCGGTCAGCACGACTGACGTCTTCTCCTCGCCTCACTACGTGTCGCTGAACTCGGCTCCTTACTTTCTCGAGCTCGATCTGCATGGAGAGGTGACCTGCATGAAAGTTGAAAGCTGCGTTTGTGCCATCCGCATCCCCGGTCGACGTCATTGCCCGCACCTGTGTAGGTTTTACCGGACGAGAGCGTTGCGACCATTGCGCATGGCAAGGTGACGCTCCGACTTCAGAAAGCAGGATCAGGACTCTGGGGAAGGCTTGTCGTAGACATGCCGAGGACGGAGCGGCTTAAGCGCCGGGCTGCATCGCGTGCATCAGCTGAGGAGGCGGCCGCGGCGCAGGCTGAGCGCAAAAAGTCAAAATCCTGGAACGAGTCCCGGTTCACGCTCGGTCAGCAAATGGACCAGGCGCGGTGCCCCCCTCCCCCCTCTTTGGCACCAGACCAGAGCCTGATCGAGAATTCGCACCTCCAACGTGCACACGCGCCCAGCACACCCCGGAGAGCGCAATGCTTCGTGCCACCACCCCTCTCTGTCAAAGTTCTCCGTTGCGCATAGGACCGCATGGCGCGCGTGGAGATTGAGCGTGCCAAAGCCGCAGAGAAGGAGGCGGAGGCGGCCAAGCTCCGGGATTGGCAAAACAGTGTCGGAACCTCTCCCACCAGCGTCACAGCTCAGCCACACAGCGAGATCGCGGAAACAGATGAGCCGCCTGCGTTGGTGAATGGTGGCATTGCGCCCTCCTCGGCTCATCCTGGCCAAGCCCAACCCTCCCTCGCCTCCGCCGAGACATCGCCACCGCGACCATCGCGACCGCCGCGACAGCCGCAGCTGCAACCACGGTCTATTCCACGCCTTTCTCCACCGCCGCCGCCGCGCCGCACCGGCACTGTCTCAATCAAGTTTACTCCGAAGCTGCTGCCAGCGCCGGCACGCACTAAAGGTGCACCGCTAGCAGGGAAGGGAGCAGCCTGTGCACACTGGTCGATTGACATGTTACCTGTCCTGGGCACAGCGCCCCCACTCTCACGATGCCACACCCCTTGAGGTCCCAGGTGCCGCCGCCGACCGTGAGCTACCACCGGACCCACTGGCGGCGCCCCAGTTGGCTGGGACTGTGGCACCGGATGCGGCCGATATCTCGCAGCGCGACCCCGCATGGCTCAAGGCGCGAGGGGATCGCCACTACACCCTGCGGGATTGGGCATCCGCGGAGTCGGCCTACTCCCACGTGCTGAGCCAGTTTGGCAAGTCCATTATGGGACAGGCCATTGATTGCGTCGTTGCTTGCTACTCCAACCGCTCAGTCTGCCGCATACGCCGCGGCGAGATGCTCGCCGCAGCCGCCGACGCGTCGGAGGCGCTCAACATCGTGTGCAAGGCACGGTGCGTAACAGAGTTTCCAAAGCCCGAGGAGGCTCTCCAACGCGCGAGAATGCGCCTATACGCGAGACGCGCAACGGCCTATGCCGCGGCGGGGGTCCTGCATCGTGCCACGGCCGACCTACACAGCGCGCTCGCTCTCGTGGGAGCAACGGAGGGCATGACGGCAGACCCAGGTGCAGTCTCGGACCGCTCGGTACTGACCATGGACTTGCACGCGGCGCAGGAGCGGGAGGAAGCGGCTGCAAAGCTCCGTCAGGAGGCGGCTGCGCTCGTTGCACATTGCGCGAACTCGGGCGAAGAGAGGACCGCTGAGGGGCAACTGGAGCTGACACGAGCGCGAGAGCTGCTGAACGAATGCCTTGGGCTGCAGCCTCTCGATGCAGCGACGCTTGCTCAGCGCGCGACGTGTCTAGTCTTGCTTTACGAACCCTCGGCAGCGGCCGCGGATGCAACTGCCGGCCTGGCAGAGCTCGATGCGGAGGCGGCAAGGGATGGCGTGGAGCGGTCCATGATGTCGGGGCTCTTCCCGCCCTCTCCGCTTCCCGACGAGGTCCGTGCTGCGCTGGTCTGCCGGTCAGACCAGGCTGAACGGGTGCGTTTTGCGTTGCTCGAGAGCCGTGGGGCCGCACGAGCTGCTCTTTCGCAGCTCCAGGAGGCTGCGAGCGACCTCCGGGCTGCGCTCAAGCTCCGTCCCGCGCACCCTTCTGTGCTAGCTTCCCTGGATGAAATTGCCCGCCGCGCCGTTGCCGAGGGCGTCGATCTGCAGCCCTTGCCGCTTGCACCGCCTGCATCGCCAGAGCCGGCCATCGCGCCAGCAGCGCAACCACAGGGCAAGGAGGCGGCAGTGGTTGAGGCTAGAGCAGAGGCCACCGAGTCAGGATCGACAGGAGAGCCCGCTGCAAGCAGTAGCGCAAAGGAGCCGAAGGTCGTCAGTGCGGGTGTGCCTCCGCCGGTTGGGACGAGGAGCGCTGCCCTTCTCAAGGGCGACGCCGATGGAGCAGTGCGCAACGGAAAGCTCGAGCAGGCACTGCAGCTGTACGGAGCTGCGCTACAGGTGCGAGCGCAAAATACTCTACGCGCCCCTGCTGTTCCCATACACAATGACTGTCTGAGTAGGCGGATGCTGCAGCAGAGTGGCTGCAGGGCACTGCGACGGGTGGGCTCCTGTTCCGCTGCCAATGCCTCGCCAACCGCGCTGCTTGTCACCTGCGACTGAGCGATTACAACGCGTGCGTCGACGATGCCACCGCGGCCCTTACAGCTTTGGACGCCATTGCGGATTCGATGGCCGCTGCGGCTCCGCTGCGCCTCAAGCTCCTGGCACGCCGAGGAATGGCGCTGAGTCGGCTAACTCGGTGTGTGCGCTACACGAACCACAGCCACGCCCTAGACGGGCATCCCTTGATTGGGGTTCCCCGCTCATGCATGTCCTCCTGCACACGCACGTGCCCTGCGCCGATCTGTCCGCAGGCACATGGAGGCGCGGGACGACTACCGTCGTGCCGTGGCGCTTGCGCCCGACGATGCTCAGCTTCGGCACGACCTAAGTGCCATTGAGAAGGCATGCGAAACCGCTTGAACGCCAAGACCGAAGACGGCCACGAGCAGGGCCTGGCGTTTTTCGTTCTGCGCGCCATTCGCTGAACGGGATATGGGTCCTTGCGGGACAGAGAGCAGGGAGTCACCGGGGGTGGGCGGGGCCGGGGGAGCACACGAGATCGTCGCCGTGCCACAGGTGCTGGAGAGCGAATTAAACCTAGTACGCCGCGCCGCGCGGGGCGACGCCCGAGGCCCGACGTCGCGACGTGTATTGGTGTATGTACGTACAGTGCGTGCTCTTGCCTTAGAAATCGGTGTTTAGAATTGGCTGCTGGAAATTTTGGCTGATTTCCCTCGCCGAAACAGAAATCGGCTGCTGGATGCTGACGCCCCGAAAAGCCCGATTAGCGATTTCTATCGCCCCCCACGCCTCGCACAATGTAGGTACGCGGCGAGTCGCGAGAGCTGCAAAACGCGCGAGAAAAAGCTCTGTTTGTTACTCCTACTGTAATGAATTCCGTGTAGAAAGACGAGGTAGAGCGTGCGCAAGACGGACAAACTGGGCTCTTTTGTGGCGTACCGCTACCGGTGGCGGTCTCAAGTACCTGGTGCGCCCAGCCAGGGCAAACGGCGCGACGCCTGTGCGGTGCTTGGCGTTAGCGCCCTCTCGTCTTCCTGCGTGCAGACCCCTCTCCCCTCGCCCCCACGGTTGGCCAGCGAAGTCAGCGCATACGTAACTCCCGACAATAGCAGCAAGATGCGGCCACGGCGCCGGCACGGCGAGCGCGGGCGGCGCAGCCCGCGCGAGCCGGCTCATTTGCCCATGCCCATGCCGTCATCCTCCCAACGCGACTGGGGCGCGCGGGGGGGACGAGTGAGGCAGGGAGCGCGGTGCAGCGAGGGAAGGGGCGGGGGCGGGGGCGGGGGCGGGGAGGCCTGGACGCGCTCGCGCATCACGCGCGAGAGATACTGCGAGTCGGTGCAGAGCTGCGCGTGCATCGCCTGCAGGAGGGTTCCGAGAAGGTTCCGGGAGGTAGGGTCGGTGCAGAACCGCGCGAGGAACGAGAGAGCGGGAGGAGAGGGAGGGGAGGAGGCGTTTCCAAACGCTTGCGCTGCCTGCAGCTTGGTCGCCACCCCGATGGCTCCGCTGATGGAGGCCTCCATCGCCGCCACGGCGCCGGGCGAGTCGAAGGCGTCGGCGGACTCAGAGAAGTGCACCATGCCTGCGAGCACACGGACACGCTCGCTGAGGCTATGGGGGGCCGCGTCTCGCGCTCGTCCGTCCCGCGCGAGGAGAGGGGAGGGTGCAGCCAGACGGCGACGTCCGCATCTGGAGCACCGTGCCTTGCGGCTCGTCGATGGTTGCCGAGATGTCGCCCGCGGCGACCATCGCGACGACGTGTCCCTCGGCCTAGATCTCGTGCCATCTCGGGTCGTCTCGGGTCGTCTCGGGTCCTCTCGCGTCGACGTGTGCCCTCCGCCTCCGCCGGTGACTCGAGCTGCGCCGCCGCGGCGATGTCGGCCAGAGAGAGCGTGAGGTAGGCTTGCGTGAGGCTGCGGATGCTGCGCCGCACGAGCGCGCCGACGCACTGGCGCGCCAGCCCGAGGTTCCTGGCGGGAGGGGAGGCAGCACGTAGTGGGAGAGGCGGGAGGGGGGAGGCGGGAAGGGGGAGGGGGGAGGGGCAGCAAGGTGGGAGAGGGGAGGGGGAGAGGGGGGGGGGCGGGGCGGAAGGGGGCAAGAGAAGGGGCACCGGTCGCGCGCGAATGTGGCCTCGTGCTTTGTGATCGCGCTGCGCAGCTCGGCCGGGCTGCGCGTTGCAAACGCCTCCGCCAGCTCCGAGTAGGCCGGCACGCCAGTCTTGATGTAGCGCTGGATCGGAAGCGCCGTGTACTTTGGCTGCGCAGGCTGCTCTCCGGTGGCGAGGAGCGACGCGAGGACGCACTTCTTGTACGCCTCGACCATCGCCTGTCCACGGCCGACGCGGTGTGAACGGCGCCTCCTCGCGGCGCGGCGCTCCGTCTCGTGCCCCGTTGCCGCGTGCACGACGTGCGTGGGCGCGGTGTAGCACAGGGTGAAGTACCGCACCTGTTTGGCACGAGGGGCGGAGAGGCGGGGAGGCGTGCTCGCGGAGGCCACCCCCCTCGGGGAAGACACAGCGGCTCGGCGCCGCCAGTGGCCTCGGGGATTGTTCCCCTCCCCCCCCCCCCCCCTCCCCCTTCCCCCCCTCCCCACACCCTCTTCCCCCGCTTCACCGCGTCGCTGAAGCGGTGGAGGCCGCAGCAGGCCAGCCCGGCGTAGTAGTGGTAGAGCAGCAGGTCGCGCGGAGCAACGCCCGTCTTCTCCTTGGCCACCTGCGCGGAGGGCGGCGGCGGGCGCGTGTGGAGCGAGTGGCCCGACCCACGGGGGCGGGTGGGAGGGGGGGGGGGGGGGAGAATCTCGGGCGAATCTCGGGTGAATCTCGGGCGAATCTCGGGCGTGCCTCGAGCAAGTCGGACGCGTCGAGTAGCCGCGCCGCGGCCGGGTAGTGCCGCGCAAGCAGCGCGACCCGCAGCACTTCGGTGTGCACCTACGCGGGAAGCTTCCGAGAAGGTTCCGGGACACGTCCAGGGAGCGGCACAGCCCGCAGCGACTCGGTGCGCACGGGCGTGAAGTGCGCCGGCGAGGGCTGGAGGACCTGCGGAAGGGGAGGGGAGGCGCGGTGAGGCAGGCCTCTTCTCCACGCTCGTGCCGGGCTCTCTCTCCCGCCATCTGGCCCCCCTCCCAGGTGGGCAGCAGCCGCGGCTGCGCCAAGGCGCGGGGCACGCGCGGTGTGGGCGGTGCAGGACCTGCGCCGCGTGCTGCAGCGGCCGGAGGGCGGCGGCGGGCGCGGCGATGGCGACCGCCGCGTTGGCAAACTTGGCGCAGACGGTGGCAAAGTGCGAGGGCACCATTTGGACCTGAGGCGGCGAGGGCGCGCTGTCGGACAGAAGGCTCACTCGGCTGACTCCGCTGGGTTGGCGGCGGGTGGCGGGCCTGCACAGGGTCGCCCTCGAGCAGCAGGCGGCGGCACTGCTGCAGGAAGGTGTGCACCGCCTGCAGGTTGGAGAGGGGCACGGCAGCCGCCTTGGCCTTGAGGATGAAGACCATGCCGAGCGAGTGCTCCATCGGGCGCAGCGCGGGGAGAACCTGCGGCGGAAAGGCGTGCGTGAGAGCGTGGCACGCCGAGAAGCGCAGCGCGATTCTTGGCCGCGGCGGCGGCGGCGACGACGTGTCTTTGGGAGGCGAGCGCCTCGTCCAGCTGCGGTAGCTGCTGAATCATCATCTCCTCTTGCGACTGCAGGTGCGTGAGCAGCTGGTTGAATTGGCTGGCGGCCGAGAGGTCGTTGATGACGGTCACGAGGTCCGCGAGGCTCATGGCGGCCGAGGGCGTGAACACGGATGCGCTGGGCGAGCGGGAAGCGGCGCGGAGTGCAATGAGGCGCGAGAAAAAGCACTGGGGCGAAGTGCTCCGCAAACAAAGCTCACTCCTCACTCCCTGGTTACGGTACTCACCACTCATACTGTACCTCACTCCTCACTACTCATTCCTCACCAGGCGAGTCTCTCACCAACGAGCTGATCCTACATCTTTAGGACTATGAGCGGCGGTGCTCACAATCGTACGTACCAAAGATCCAAGGTGCAAGGATTGCTAGCAGCACAGGGGGCGCTCCCAATCGCTCCGGCCGCGAGCGCTTGTGAGTGAGCGCGCCGGGGGGGTCTCCTCACAATCCAACAGTGATCGCACCGATTGCGAGGGGACCCGCACGCAATCCTAGAAGTCGTAGGACTGTGGGCGGTGTCGCTCGCCGGCGAAAGTTCTAGGATTATTGCGAGCGCTCCTGCTCGCAATCGGAGGCTTGTCGCTAGGATTGTGAGCAGTGTTGCTCGCAGTCCTAGACTTTGCTCGGATTGCGAGCGCGCTGGTAGTAGTCATAGGCGTCACCAGTCATCTTGGGAGCGGAGCTGCTCGTAGTCCTAGAAGATGTAGGATTGCGAGCGTGGGTGCTCACAATCGCACAGAGATGCTACGATTGCGAGGAGTGCTGCTCACAATCCTGCGAACTTCTAGGATTGAGAGCGAGGCTGCTCTCAATCCTAGCCTAGTACAAAAGAAGGTTCACCAACTCTGACCTGTTTGTAAGCAAGGTCCGGAAATATCGGGCCGTCACACCCACACTAGGGTGCCCACAGGACCCAAAAAAAGAAAGAAAAAAGAAATGGGCAAACCCCGATCGCAGCACTTCGTGTTGGAGAGTCGAGATATTGAGATTGTGACTAGGAGGGAGGGACGCTGGGGATCTCAAAGGTATACCCTTGGAATGGCCGGATCCAGCCTTGAAAGTACGAGATCGCGCGCGTTTCGCGCGCTGCACCGCCTGTTCTCCGCGGCTGAGTGACGACGCGTGCCGTGTGCCAGCAGAGTTGGGCGCGCGCGTCGCGACGGCGCCCGCGAGGGAAGGCGCGGGTGCAGCGGCCGCCGGCGGCCGTACCGCTCGCCAGCCAGCGCAGCAGCGGCCAGGCCAGCGCAGCGGCCGCCGGCGCAGCAGCCAGAGCAGCCGGTGCGCGCCTTGCGAGGCGAGTACTGAGGCGGCCGGGCGGCAGTACTCGTTGGACCTTGCGAGCCGTGCGCGCGCCGAGGCGCGCGCGGCGCGCGCCCGCCCGGCTGCCAGTAGGAGGCGGCGCAATATGGCCTATAGTACAGCCCTTAGGAGGAGGAAGAGGCTGGCTGGCAGTGCTGTATGCCGCCGGGGGGCAGTTTTTGGGTGCTGACCCACGCCCAGGGGGCTGCAGAAGGCAACCGGGACAACCCGCCCCCCCAGCCGAGGCCGGTCGAAGCCCACTTGAGCACAGCCATGAGGAGTCCTCTTGGTGCTCCTGGCGGCCGTTCAAAGCTCGGGCGCGCGCCGATGGGGGGGGGGGGGGGGGGTCTTGCTTGCTCCACACCGAGCGCCATCGGTCCGGACCGGCGTGGTCATTGAGGGTCGGCCTGCACAAGGTCTGAGCCGCGGCCGCTCGGCGCCAAGTGCAGTGTCACGCGCTCGCGCTGGAGCGGGACACAATGGGGAACCCTCGTTTCCTAGTCACTCGGTCCCCCAACGGAAGAGGCCTCGCTCCTATTGGAACACTCCAACATCAGATTTGCCTCGTGCGTCCCTTTTTGGGCCGGAAAGCTATTTTCTTTTGGGTCCTGGGTCCTGTGGGCTGTGGGCACCCTACCCACACCCCCTGTTCCGACCCTGATCCGACCCTGATCCGACCACATGTTCAAAGTGATGACGGTCGGAACAGGTCAGTACTCAGCTTCGGTCTGATCACAATCGGATCAAGGTCGGAACAGGTCAGAGACAGTCTTACCCTCCTCGAGAAGCGGGGCTGGGTTCCCTGGTGACAGAGAGAGACGGTTCCGGGTCCCTGGAGTTAGAGCTGTTTAACGTTGGGAGCTGAACAGTGTTGCTAGTGTTAACAGTAACAACAGAACAACAGTGGGGCTCCCCAACAACAGTAGCTAACGTTCGGCCGGCTGAACAACAATAAGGAAGGCCTGGCAGTGACCCACGACGACCTCCAGTGTCCAGTGCGGGTAATACCCGAAAATACCCGGGAAAACCCAGGTATTTTCGGGTTGGGTTTTTTGCCGTTTTCTGCTTGCTGGCCGCTGAACAGCAGTAACAACAGTAACAAACAGTAACAGCATGGGCTGGGGTGAACACTTGAACAACGTTAAGGATTTCAGCCAACACTAGCGCAACTGTTAGGCCCAAAGTTAATGTTAAACAGCTCTACCTGGAGTGTGCCTCCTCCGGGCGAGACTTCCGGGCGAGACCATGATCGTGGAGTTTGTCAGTTTGTTTCAGGCGGGGACATAGGACCGAAGGTCATCCATGCTGCAAGAATAGGAAGAATTGCGTTGGCTGTGTCGTATATCTCGACTCGCGTACACGGAACACGGTACACGCGTTCTCCTCTCGTCGCGATCTCTCTCCACGATCGACTACACCCTTGTTGCTTGTTCCCACAAGCATATCGAGAAAGAAGCCATTTCGGCTTCACATTACACACACCCTGTGGGGCCGACAAAGCGTACGCACCCCCCCCCACAAGACTGATCGCATTGGCCTTGATGTTGTACTGCACACCGTTATGACTGGTTGATACACACCATGGCGCAGATTAGACATCCCCCATCGAGTCTATGAACAAGCGGGTCGGAGAGCCGGCGCGCGGCCGCCTCCCGGCTGGCCGCACGATGCGCCCCCTCAGATGCAGCCGAAGTAGGCCGAGTCGACGATGATGAGGCTCAGCGCAAAGGCGTGCAGGAAGGAGAAGGGCGACATGAAGTCGACGTTGAAGCGGTCGTCGCCAACCTTGCCGACGAGGAAGGCCACGCCGTCGAAGGAGGGGTGGCGGGTGCCGTTGGCCACCGCCCGATCGGCCGGCTGGAGCTGCACGTTCTTGACGCTCGCGCGCGTCGCCCGGCCATGGTACTTGAGCACGTAGTGCTTGAGCACGTCGTCCCACCGCGGCTCGAGGTTGACGAACTCGGAGGCGTGGGGGGACTGACCCTGCGCCGGGATCTTCACGCGCACTGACCGCGGCCGGATGCGCGAGCGGCGGATCAGCACCTGCATCGCGAGCGAGTCGCTCTCTCGCACTGCCGCCTTGCCGCCCGCCGCCGGCAGCACCTTTGGACGCAGCAGGGGCTGCGCCTTGATGGGCCAGCAGCCGCCCGTCGGGTCCCCGCCGGAGTGGTCGTCGCCCCCGTCGTCGTCGCCCTCCTTGGCAGCGACGAACTGGGACGGCAACGCCTTGGGCGACGCCTTGGAGGGCGACGCCTTGGAGGGAGGCGCCGCGCCGGCGGCCGCGCCGCCACGTCGCTCCACCAGGCTGAAGTTGCCGTCGGCGTCGTACCAGACTTCGGCCACGACGGTGCGGTGAAGCGAGATGGTGTAGCATAGCCCGCGCGCCCGACCCAGCACGTGCCTCCGCGCCGAGAAGCACTGCAGGTCGCCCATGCCCGGAGGGAGCTGCAGGTGGAAGCCGAATGACGCCCGCACGCCTCGCTTGCGAGTCACGTAGCACATGACGCGCTTCTGGCCTCGGGAAGGCTCCGTCAGGGCGTCGAGGAAGCTCCCGCCCTCGCAGAGCGCCGACGGAAGCGGCAGTGACTCGGCCGGCTTCTCCGGGTCCCAGCCGTCGGAGAGCCGCTGGAGGATGACATCACACCGCACCCTCTCCGACAGCTTGCGGAAGGCCGTGCACGTCTGCCCGAGGCGTGCGAGCAGGTGGGAGCTGGAACCGTGCTGAGCCGCCATCAGCACGCAGTCGAGCGAGTCTCGGTCAAGCAGGTCGAGCAGGAGGCAGCGCTGGTCTTTCCCGGCAGATTTGTCGTCCTTGCCCTTGCTGGCCGGGAGGGCCGGGCCGTCGCGGCCCGACCTTGGCTCGTTTGGTCGGACGCCGGGCGGCGCGGTGGTCGCAGCGCGAAGCCCGAGGAAGAATCCACTGCCAGTGCGTACCATTCCTTGTCGGAGGAACTAGGAAGCAAAGGAGCAAGCGGTGCCTTGCGGGGAGCCGCCGCCCAAAATTCGGCAAATGTTTTAACCAAGTAGTCGCGTATGTACGTACTTATAGCTTACTGGGAGAAAAGAGAGAGGGGGTTGTGTTCTCTAGGCCCCTAAGGGCCCTACGCGCGGCGTGAGAGCTCGGAAGCGAGCTTTGCACGGCGTGGTTGGACATCTTTGGTGATCTTGGAGGTGAGGTGATCCGTGATATTGTGGATTGTGAGATCGGAGAGTTTGCGGTGTTTGCCGTTTTTTGTGCCCTTTTGCCCTTTCATTCGCCATCCCAAGTTTCTCGGGTAGACTCGGTGGGCTGGACCGATGATGGCGTGTTCCTTTCGGCGTCGCCTCTCACGGATCTCTTCGAGGGCCTCGCTCCCGTGTGTGGGTGGTGGCTCGGTTGGAGTATCGTCCCATGATTCGGTGGCAGCGATCATGTGGGTCGGCTGCGTCTCGAGTTCGTTCGTTCGGGTCGGCGGTGGTGTGAAGTGGTGTGGTACTGGCGTGGAGGAGGAGCGACAGCTGACTGAGATGAGGGGGGAGATGGCGGAGGTGGCTTCGTGGGAGTGCTCGAGGGCGGCGGGGGTGAGCGGGAGGGTCGCGTCTAGGGCGATCGGGGTGGGGGCGGTGGCGGGGGGTAGACGGGCGGGGCTGTTGGGCATGTGCGGGTGATGGGCGGGGTCGGTGGCGAGGGAGAAGGCTAGGGACTTGCTGTGTGTCGATGGGCGAGGGTGGCGGGGAGGTTATGTGACAGGGTGGCGGCGAGGGCGGAGGAGGGTGTCGGGCGGTCGTGTAGGTCAATGGAGGCGGCGCTGGCAGCGGCGGGGTGGTCGGCGGCGACGGCGGGCTGAATTCTGGGTGTGGGAGGGTCTCGCCTGCTTTCGTTTCTGTCTGTCTGTTCGCTGTAGGACCAGGATGGAGGGCCTTGGGGCTCCGTTTCGTTAGTGGCTGCTTGGGTCGCTTCTGGGTCCTCGGGTAGTGCTCTTTCCCTATTTGGCTCTCTATTTCGTACAGCGCAACATAAAGCGCGGAGCTCGGTCGACATGCGGCGAGGGACATAAGGGTGACTCTGCCACACTCTACTCTGTGTGACGCAGTCTAGTCCTCGCTTGAGGGGCTTTTTTTCCTCTAGAAATTATGCGGCCTAATATGCAATAATAATGCTTGGCCCCTATGCTCTCTCACCCAGTCTTTTGAGATATTATCCCTCAAAGTCGAATTTTCGTTTTTACTGGTGACCATATAGTAGTGTGTCTGTCTTGTTTGCGAGATCTTCAAACGAATCCTTTAAAGTCTCGACAATCACCGCACTAAGGTCTAAGCTGCTTATGTGGCACCGCAGAGGCTCCCTTGGGGATGCCTGAGGCCACCCCAACCACTCACACTAAGCCGTACGTATATAGTATATAGACGAATTGTGCGCTACTTTTTTCTTTTACCCACACTATGCGAGTACTGTGCGTTCATGCAGACGAAGACTCTCTCGGTGCACTGGCGCGACGCGGCAGCACACGCGGCGTCGGTGGCACGGCAACCACACGTATGGCATATACGTGGTTCGTGGTTACGCGCATCATGGGCAGCGTGCAGCGCGGCACGACCGGCGTGCGGCGCGATGCATGCGGCGGCACCGGCACCAGCGAAGATTTGGTCTTGGGCGGACGAGGCAGTTCGGGCCTGCAAACAGCAAGCGCACGAGGCAGTTGTGTGTGTGTGTGTGCGTGGCGAGGGGGTGGAGGGGGGGAGGGGGTGGGGCTGTGAATGCATCGCACCTAGCAGTTTTGGCTGAAGAGAGGACCACGAACGCGGTGATCGCCGTGTCGTTTTTTTTCTTTCTGTGTTCGTAGAATTCTTTCTGTTCTCTGATCTTTGAGGGCTCGCTAGAGGCACACGCACGCTCTCTCGGGGTCTCTTGGAGCAGAGCCCCGGCGAGTCCTCGAAAGAGCCCAACCCAAATGGGTCCTCGGAGAGGGTACCCTGGGTGGGCGAGGGGGCCTCTACTCGCGCCAGCTTTGAGGGAGAGAGAGGCGCATTTTGTATACCGAGGCGGTGCCCGGTGCCGAACCTGTCGGACCTTAAGACAGCATTGTAGATCCCTGGGCGAGGGTGGATGGGAGCATGGGAGTCCCCCCCGACTCCCCGTCGGGTCAGGGCTGAGTGAAGCTGAAGGCGGGGAGACCACACGCCCGCTAACTCCGGCGTGTCCCGGGAGCGTGATTTGACACACCCCCGAGCACACACACCCTGGCCAACACCCAAGGAGGGTAGGCCACTCGCTCTGGGCCGGCGCGGGGGCCCCAGAGGGTGTCCATGCGGGGGGGAGATGGGGTCCCATGGCCCGCCGCAGGCGCCGATTTTTTGGAGTTTTTTTCTTTTTTCGCGATTTTTTACTTGTTTTCATGGGAATTCGGCGTACTTGCGGCCATGCTATCACGCCTTGCGACAGCCTGTCGGCGCAGCTGACCGTGCCATGATGCACAATTGATCACCTGCATAGCTCGCGGCCTTTGTATCAAGCATTCAGTGATGACGTGATCGTACGGCCAGTAGGAAGGTGTCCTTCCAGCTGCGTGCACGCTTCTGGCGCAATGCGCGTCACCTCGGATTGGCTGCTGGCACTCTCGAGGCTATGCCTACACAGCCTCGCGCGCATGGGCAGTCAAGAGGGACCACGCACCTTCTCAGGACAGCGCCGGCGCCTCTCTCTTGGACCGGCAAACTTGGTGGTCTCGTGTCACCAATGTGGGACCAGTGCGGCATCGCGCCATCGACAGCTCTGAACTGCGCCTCACCACTGACCGGGAAGGCCGCCAAGTGGGCCAGCACAGGTCGCACATTGTGGCAGCAGTCAGCAGTGCATGGCTGATAGCTAGAGCAGCAGCGTCAGGGTCGCAGGGTCGGATCGTGTCAAGCCTCTCGCCCGGCCGGCCGCGTGCAGACGTCGGCCTGTCTGCTGTCTGGAGTGATCTGTCGGCGGTCAGTACGACCGATCAGGTCGGAGTTTTCTGATGGTTGGAGGGTCTATCTGTATGTACTCCTTGAGATCTCTCCAAATCTGCCCTCTGATCAACCGTGATCATTCGGGAAGTCGGTGCTCATAGAGACTCATAGAGCCGGAGCCCCGTTTCCGCACTGCGGCGCGGCGCACGGTGCCTCCGCCCTCCGGGGGGCCCCGCGCCGGCCCAGAGGCCACTCGTCTAATAGCCAATCGACGTCAGGCGAGCTGCCCCTGGGCCCTGGCCGCTGGACATGCCGCTGACATGCCGTTGGAGAATGGCCGGGGTTTGGAGGTGAGGTGGTGTGCTGGTGTGCCGAGCGACGCGCAGCGACGCTGTGTTCCAAGCGCTCTTTCTTTTACACCACCCAACACCCATCCTCCCCACACCTCTCACCTGCCTCCAGACGGCGAGGAAAGGGCCCACTCGGCGAGCATGACCCACTCCGTCGCCGTCTTCCCGTTCATGTCCCACAGCCCCACCGACGTGACCGTCAGGATGCCACTGAGCGCCGTCAGCCCGCAGCCCGCCGCATCGAGCGCCTCGAACAACTTTGGCGCGAGCTGCGGCGTGACGCACCGGTCCGAGGCGGCGTCCGAGTTTGCGTAAATGGTCGAGATGTGCGGCGTGTATCCGGACAGAGTCGACGAGCTGCCGCTTGGGAAGCGCGTCTGCACCGCCGCGTGCAGCGTCTGCAGCGGTGACGCCGCCGCCTGCGGCTGCAGGAGGATCTCCTGGAATCGCATCCGCATCGATGCCTCGCTGCAGCACGAATCGCCGTACTCCCACCCCGGGCCCGACGCGTAGTTCGTGTAGCCGTCGACGTTGGCTGGCGTCGTGAAGTTGATCGGCGTTGGGAAACGAGAGTAGAGTGGGATTATGGAGTTCATGAACGCTTCGATGTTGGCGGCGCCCGACCCGGGCAGGGACCCGTTGATGCCGTAGAGCAGCGTAGAATGCGTCGGGAAGTTGATCAGGCCGTGAGCAGTCCGCCACTGGGAGAGGTGCCTCTCGTAGCACTCGAAAATTCGATGCTGGCCCGGCGCTGCGCCAAAGTGGAGGAGGAGCGTGAGGCCGTGGAATCTGTAGTCGTAAGGACACGTCGGGACGGAGGAGAAGCAGTCGCCCCACGTCGCGAGCGAGAAAAGGATCGCAGCTCCGAGGCGCATCGTCGGAAGGCCGCTCTCGCTCTGTCTTATTGTATTAGCTCGGCAGCCCCGAAGTGCCCGCCCTCGCGGACACGAAAAGGTGGCAGTTCGTAAAAAAGGGATAACGCACGGGCCCTCAGCGGAGCTGGGAAGAGGACCGCCGCAAGCGGCGTGGCGTGGAGCGGTTGTGCATCCCTCCGGGGGCCCCTCTGCGCCGGGGAGGCGTTGTTGGAGGCTAGGACGCAAGCGTCCGTCGCCCTTTTCAAACTCGGGGCCCACTCCGCTACGCTCCGACCCGAATTTGGAGGGCCTGAAAGTTTAAGGTGTTGCTGCGCAAAAGGGGTCGGACACAGCACACAGGGCGCAGCTCATGCTAAGAGCTAGAAGAGGAGATAGAGAGAACAACCACCCTGTCCCGTTATTGCGTACACCAACACCACAAAACGCTCTCTCTCTCTCCTGTCCTCACTCAGTCAGGGGGGTCACAACTACCAAGTCCCTCGACTAGCTGCCACAGGGCGCAGCTGCCACAGGGCGCAGCTGGAGACGCTCTCCCTCAATCGGCATCCACCCCCACCCGCTCCAGCCCCACTTCTGCTGCCGAGAGAGCTGAATCGAAGCAAGCGAGCCATTGCATCTTGGCGTGCTCCTGGAGCGCGGCTTTCTGCTTGGCGGCCACGAGCACGGCGGAGTCGGCGTCGTAGCGCGCATCGTTCCCGCTCATCGCCCATTCCTCCCACGTGACGTGTCGGCCGCGATTCGATGTCGCCACCTTCATCGCCAACGAGGACTCCCTCGACTGCAGGGGGCTCCGGCGCGGGGAGGGACTCCGCCTGCTGCGCTGGCCGACCGCGCCCTCCTCCTCCATGGGCTCGATCCGATTCCGCAGCGTGTCGTCCCCAGCGGCGGTGCTGCGCGGGAGGCGGCCGCGGGCACGCTGGGCTCGATCAGCGGCTTCCCCTCAGTTGCTCCGAAAGCACGGATTTGGCGGCCGTTCTTGGCTTCAATTTTACGAATGTCTTGGCACCAGCTGAAGGCTTGCACGGCCGACATCGCCCAGTTCGTGCACGGTATTCGGATTTTGGCTATTTGCTCGTGTGGGGGTATATTGCAGACTAGTGTGGGACCTGCGGCGGTACCCGTCTCTGTTGTTCGGGCAGTGAGAGACGCAGGATCTGCACGCCAAAGTGGGCCACTCATTTGCATTTTGGTTTTGGGTTGTCGGAGATCATCCATCAGCACTCATGTCTCATCAGTCAGTCACGTCAGTCAAAGCAGTTCGTGGCACTCATCAGTCAGTCACGTCAGTCAAAGCAGTTCGTGGACTCATCAGTCAGTCACGTCAGTCAAACTACGTCTAGCTTGCGTCTACGAGGTATCTTTAAGTACCAGCGTATGCCTACTACCTGGCGCAACAGCAGGATTTACCTGCCTACCCCGAAGATGGAAATAGAGACCCCGATACGTTCATACCTGCCACCAACCTTGCGCCTTCGCATTCTTGCTTAAAAGAAAGAAAGAAAACAGACAACCCAAGGGAGGGATGGGAGGACGGCACGCCGCCACCACACAGGGATTTTAAGGAGAGGGGTTTGATGCGCTAGCCGTCGCCCACCCTTGGGCGTCCTTGCTTGTTCGAAGCCCGCAGAATTCTTTGTTCACAGAGACACGAGAGGCCAAGGTCCTCGCCCACCGACGCGACATGGGACGCCGGGCTCGAACCGGCGACGAGCCGTTACTGCGAGTGACCGAACCGGAGGCACAGCAGCCGCCAGCGCAGCGAGTTCCGGACGCAATCACCGGCCGGATCGCTTCCATCCTCGAGTTCTATCAATTTGCCACCAAGCTGGACGTCGCCCTGCTGCTCCTCGCCGTGGTCATCTCGTGCTCGGCAGGCGCGGCGATGCCGCTGATGCAGTGGGCATTCTCACGCACCATCGGCTCGCTCGGCTCCATCAACCTCAACTCGACTGGCATCGACAACTCCAACATCCTGCTGTTCGTCTACATTGGCTGCGGCTCGTGGGTGGCGCAGTTCTGCTACCGCTCGCTGTCGGACATCAGCAAGTCGCGCCAGCTGACGCGCTACCGCAAGGAGTACATCAAGGCGATCGTGCGGCAGGACCCTGGCTGGTTCGACCTCAACTCGCCGCAGGAGCTCTCGACGCGGATCGGAGAGGCGATGACGTTGATCGATGGCGGGCTCGGCTCCAACGCGCTGCAGCTCTTCGAGCTGCTGGGCGGCGGGAGCGCGGCGGTCGCGCTCGCCTTCTCCTTTGAGTGGCGCGTCACCCTCATCTGCCTCGCCGTCTCTCCGCTCCTCGCTTTCTCGTTTGCACTCTTCACGCGCGCTCGCCCGCTCAGACCGCGCACTCTGACCCAATCCCCTACCCCAGCCCCGACGCGAACGCTTCGTCTAGGCGCGTGCTCGCCCGCTCGACCGCGCGCATCCAGGACGCGTACGGCCGCGCGGGCGGCGTCGCGTCCGAGGCGCTCACGGCGATCCGCACCGTCGCCGCCCTGGGCGCCGAGCAGTCTTTCCAGCAGCGGTACGAGGCCAACCTCGCCGCCGCCGAGCGCGTCGGCATCCGGTCGACGGTGTGCGTCGGCTTTGCGCGCGGGCTGCTGCTCAGCGCGGGGAGCTTCATGATCGCTGCCGGCCTGCTGTACGGCGGGACTCGCCTCGCGGTGCGCGCTCCGTCGAGCGAGCTATGACCCGCCTCCCACCCCGCCCGGCCTCCCTCCCCCGGCCAGACTGGCCCTTGTGCATCCCCCCCTCCCCCTCCCCCTTCCCCCAGGCGGAGCGGCGCGCGAGCAGCTTTGCGTACTCGGCGCAGACCGTGCTCGGCGAGCTGCCCTACTGCGTCCCGCAGGCGCGAGGCTTCACCTCTCCTACCTTACTTTTGCACCTCGTCTGGACACCTCGCCTGGACAGCGCATGTCCCACGTCAAGCTCGCTGCGCCTCTCCGCGTCTCACCTCCCCACCCGCCCCCATCTCCACACCTCGTCCTCACACCCCTGTCCACACAAACCTCTCCTCACGCAGCCTCCTCACCCAGGCCTGCTCTGCCTACGCCATGGAGACCGGCGTGCCGACTAACCTCGTCTACCCCCTCCAGCTGCCCATCCCCGGCCGCCACTTGCCGCCCACACCGCCAATCGGCCCGGGCGGCACCTGCGAGGAGGCCGGGCTCAAACCGCTCCGGCTCAATTGCGACAGGCGCCTGGGCACCTCATGGAAGCAGACGCAGACATAGACACCTCCTCGGCTCCTAGTCTCCTAGCACACGACGCCGCTGCGACAGGGCGTCCCGCCGCCTCGGCCGGGCGCGGTTGGGGAGGAGACGTGTCACCGCGTGCCTGCCCCGACTGCAGCCTCGCCAAGGCCAACCTCACCCTGCTCGCCATCGCCGGGCCGGCGGCCGAGCGGGAGGAGGCGCACGAGCACGGCTCGTACTTCCCGTGCGGCCTGCTCGGCGTGCACGTGCTGCTGGTGATCATGCTTGTGCAGACCGCCTCGCAAAACATCGGCCGGGCGCGCCACCCAAACCGAGACCCGCCTCCCGACAGCGCCCACTTCCTTCGAGCCCCCGCGACTCGCCTCAGGCCCCCGACCTGATCGAGAAGCTCGTCAAGGCGCGCCGCGCCGCGCACAGCGTGCTCGAGACGATCCGGCGGCGCCCCTTCATCGACTCGTTTGCAGAGGGCGGCCTCGTCCCCACCAAGCCAGCCAGCGGCGCCGTCGAGGTGGTCGACGTGCACTTTGCCTACCCGGCGGCGCCGGCGGTCAAGGTGTGCTGCGGCTACTCGCTCTCGATCGGCGCGGGGCAGACGGTGGCGCTGTGCGGCCCGTCGGGCAGCGGCAAGTCGACCGTCATCGCGCTGCTCGAGCGCTTCTACGACCCGCAGGGCGGCGCGATCACCCTCGACGGCGTCGACATCCGCACGCTCAACCTGCGCTGGCTCCGCTCGCAGCTGGGGCTGGTGGGGCAGGAGCCGGTCCTCTTCGAGGGCACGGTGGGCGAGAACATCGCGTACGGCAAGGAGGGCGCCTCGGAGGAGGAGGTTCGCGAGGCGGCCGGGCTGGCCAACGCGCACGACTTCGTCGTCCGGCTCGCGGGCGGGTACGAGACGCAAGTCGGCCTCGGCGGCGGCAAGCTGTCGGGCGGCCAGAAGCAGCGCATCGCCATCGCGCGCGCGATCGTGCGGCGGCCGGCGGTGCTGCTGCTCGACGAGGCGACGTCGGCGCTCGACAACGAGAGCGAGCGGGTCGTGCAGGCGGCGCTGGACTCGATCATGGCGCAGCAGCGGCGGACGACGGTCACGATCGCGCACCGCCTCTCGACGATCCGCCACGCGGACAAGATCGCGGTGGTGAGCGGCGGGCGGGTGGTGGAGGAGGGCACGTACGACGAGCTCATGGGGAGCGGCGAGGAGGGCGTCTTCTTCCAGCTGGCGAGGCGGTACGAGGCGGCCGCGCAGGAGGACGCCACGGCGGCGTCGGCCGGTGGCGCGACAGCGCCCCCGATGCTGGCAGAGCGCAGCAGGTCGTCGGGGCGCGGGAGGCGGCGCAGCCGTTCGCTCTCCACGCTGCTGACAGCCAGCCTGAGCATGCGCAGCGACGAGCTCACCTCTGCCCTCGAGAGGGGAACCGAGGCGGAGGCGGAGGGGGAGGGGGAGGAGGAGGAGGCGCCGGCCGAGCCCAAGCCCACCAACGTGGTGAGCCGGCTGTTTGCGATGCGCAGCACCGGCGACGGCCTACTGTACGTCCTCGGCACCCTCTTCGCAGCCGTCTCGGGTGCGACGAGCATCTTCACCTCGTACGTCTTCACCAAGCTGATCGGCATCTTCTTCAACCCCGACCCGGACGAGATCCAGCAGCAGACGCTCCTGTACGGCTCGCTGCAGCTCGCCCTCTCCACGCTGATGGTCGTCTCCTCCACTCTCGAAACGGCGTGCTTCGGCACAGCCGGCGAGCACCTGACGCGCACGCTGCGCGCGCGCTCGATGCGCAGCTTGCTCCGCCAGGCGCGCGCTCAGCGCACGGCCCGCGTCCGCCCCCCACTCCTCCTCGGCACCACTCACGCGCCGACCCCTCCGCTCGCGCGGCGCGCAGGAGATCGCCTTCTTCGACGACGACGCAAACTCTGCCGGCGAGCTCACCTCCTTCCTCGGCGCAAACGTGGCCCTTGTCCAGTCGCTGCTCGGCGAGCGGCTCAACACGTTCGTCAAGGCGGTGATGCTCCTCGCGGTCGGCATCGGGCTGATGTTTGCCGTCGGCTTTTGGGAGGTGACGCTGATGATCCTCTTTGCGGCGCTGCCCCTGCTCGTGATGATCTACGCCACCCTCTTCGTCGTCCTCGGCCTCGCCAAGGGGGCCAAGGCCAAGGGCAAGAGGGAGGCGGTCGACGGCGCGGGCGCGATGATCGGCGAGATCGTCACGGGCATCCGCACCGTCGCCTCCTTCAACGCCGAGCACCGCTTCTTCCGTGAGTACTGCGCGCGCGTGGATGCGCAGGCGGCCCTCGACCGGCGGTCCGCGGTCAAGAACGCTTTCGCCGCCGGCGCAGCCTTCGGCATGATGATGTTCCTGCTCGCCGGAGTGTTCAAGTGGTCGAGCCAGGTGGGGCTGTGGCGGCTGCACGGCCTGACACTAGCCGACGTCCTCCGCGTCGACTCGGACGGTTGCGTGCACATCAACTTCGACCTCTTCCAGGGCATGTTCATCCCAATCATGGTCATGTTTGGGATCGCCCCCCCCCTCTCGGCCACGTTTGCGAATGCCACCGACGCGACGGCCTCGGGCAACGCCGCTCGCCGCCTCTTCACGGCACTCGACCGCGCCTCCCTCCTCGACCCTACCTCCGCTGGCGGCGAGAGCGGCCAAGTCGTGCGCGGCGCCGTCGAGGTGGTCGACGTGCACTTTGCCTACCCGGCGGCGCCGGCGGTCAAGGTGTGCTGCGGCTACTCGCTCTCGATCGGCGCGGGGCAGACGGTGGCGCTGTGCGGCCCGTCGGGCAGCGGCAAGTCGACCGTCATCGCGCTGCTCGAGCGCTTCTACGACCCGCAGGGCGGCGCGATCACCCTCGACGGCGTCGACATCCGCACGCTCAACCTGCGCTGGCTCCGCTCGCAGCTGGGGCTGGTGGGGCAGGAGCCGGTCCTCTTCGAGGGCACGGTGGGCGAGAACATCGCGTACGGCAAGGAGGGCGCCTCGGAGGAGGAGGTTCGCGAGGCGGCCGGGCTGGCCAACGCGCACGACTTCGTCGTCCGGCTCGCGGGCGGGTACGAGACGCAAGTCGGCCTCGGCGGCGGCAAGCTGTCGGGCGGCCAGAAGCAGCGCATCGCCATCGCGCGCGCGATCGTGCGGCGGCCGGCGGTGCTGCTGCTCGACGAGGCGACGTCGGCGCTCGACAACGAGAGCGAGCGGGTCGTGCAGGCGGCGCTGGACTCGATCATGGCGCAGCAGCGGCGGACGACGGTCACGATCGCGCACCGCCTCTCGACGATCCGCCACGCGGACAAGATCGCGGTGGTGAGCGGCGGGCGGGTGGTGGAGGAGGGGACCCACGACGAGCTCATGGCGTTGGGGAGCGGCGGCGCCTACGTCCAGCTGACGCTCGCCCAGTCGACCCACCCCTCCACTGGCGGGAGCGCATGAGTAGCAGCGAGTCGCGCCCTAGGTCGTACGAGCCCAGAGACGCTCACACGTGCTCTACGTTTGGATTTGTACGGTTGTGTGGCGAGCCGACACACGTGGGACGTCCACTTGCGTCTGCACGGCCATTTGCTCTTTCTTGATTTGTGGAGAGGGGATTGAGTTTTTCGCGTTCTGTGTGTGATTCCACGTGTTCACGCTTTTGATGCACGTCTTGTCCAGTTGAGCCTTACTGTATACCTACTGCTCGTGTCTAGTAACTTTCATCTGTGAAAAAATGCTTAGGAGATGAGAAAAAACGAAGGGCGCGCTTTAGGAGAACACTCCTCTCGCGCCGTCCCGCGCAGAACCTCGGCTCGGCTCGTCTTCTGGAGATGGCATCATGTCGACCAAAACGCGAAAGCTCTGCAGTAGCAGCGAACGCTCGGCGCGGATCTCCTTCGCGAATAGCTTCTGCAGCAGCGTCGGCTGGCGGCGCGGGGCGGTCGCGCCGCCGTCCGCCCGCCCGTTGCCGCGCTGCCGCTTGCGCGCATGCGCCTCCCGTAGCGCCTCGGCGTCGGCGGGGTCGTGCGAGAAGTGACACCTGCCGGTGTGTGCGCGGGAAGAGTGAGCCCGCGCGATGGGATGCGGGGCGGCTCGTGGTATGCGGGGCATCCGCGGACTTTTGTCCGAAGCGGCACGTCCCCTTCGCGAAATGGTGGCACGCACGCGGCCGCTTGGCGCTTGCCGCCCCACCGCCGCCGCCCTTGGCTGCGACCACCCCGCCGCCCTCTGCGCACTCGTCGTCGTCGCCGCCGCTGCTGTCGCTGTCGCTGCTGCTGCCCTTCGCAGACTCCTCCCCCTCCGCCCTTTCTGACGCGCCTCCAATCCCCTCGCCCGCCGGCTGCCCCTCTGCATGCTGCCCAACGCCGCCGCCTGCATCGCAAACCGCCCCCTCCTGCACCCCCCCCTGCATCTCCTCCCCCTCCTCCTCCGAATCGCTGTACAACGCGCTGAGTGCGCTGAGGGCGCCGAGCGACGAGCTCTCTCCGGATGCCGCCTCCGCACATGCACATGTGCATGCCCCGCCGCTGCTGCCAGCAGCCGCCGCCTGCCCGGTCGTCGACGCGTACGCTGCCGAAGGCGGCACCCTTGACGGCATCGCCTGCCCGGCGAGCGACGCATCGCATGCCGCGGCAGCAGCGCCGCCCTTGCCACGCCCGCGGCCGCGCCCGCCGCCGCGCCCGCTGCCCCAGCCGCCGCGGCCCTGCGGTGTATGCTTCGCTGCCGCGCCGGACTCCAGCCTTGCCGCCTCCTCCGCCTCCCTGCGCGCGACGTTGGCGGCCGAGGGCCAGTGACGCTTACGCTCAGCAATCCACGTCGCAATCTCCTCCGGAGTCGACACCTTGATCGGGCCGAGCCGCCGGCGCGCCTCCTCCTCCTCGTCAACCATCCTACCGCCGTCCTCGCCTCGGCGGCCGCGACCGCCCTTGCCACCCTTGCCGCCCTTGCCGCCACCTTTGCTCCCCTTGCCGCCGCCCTTGCCGCCGCCCTTGCCACTCCCTTTGCCGCCGCCCTTGCCGCCGCCCTTGCCACCGCCCTTGCCGCCGCCCTTGCCGCCGCCCTTCTTGCCCTTGCCTCCGCTCGCCGGCACGCCGGGAGGAGGGCCCACAGCAGCGCTGGTGGGAGGGCGCGCGACCGCGCCGCCGCCGGGAGGGTATGGCGCAGCCATGCGCGGAGCAAACATCGCCGCGTGTGCCGGAGGAGGACCCGGTGGCAGCGGCGGTAGTGGCGGCAGTGCGCGGAGCGGCATGGGCACAGACTGCGGCGGCCCGCCGCCCCAAGCGGCTCCTCGAAACGCGTGCGCGGGCGGTGGCCCTGGTGGCAGCGGCGGGTGTCCGATTGGTCTAGGAGGAGGGTGTTGGTAGTACATGAGATGCAGTGGGTCGTCGCCGTCGAGCTGGCGCGTCGTCGTCGGTGATGTGTAAAAGAAAAAAAGGCGGAATATTCCTTCCAAAAAAATTCTCCGTCTGACGGCACGTAGACATGCGTGTCAACTCTTCCCTCCCTCCTCCTCCCTCCGCGTCGCTGCCCCTCTCTTTGCCAGCGCGGCCTCGTACCTGCGCAGCGCCCTCCACTGCGGCCGCCGGAAGCCGAGCAGCCGCGATGGTAGGTTCGTGATACGCCGCTGCGCGGCGACGAGCTCGTACGCCTCTCTCGCGCTCAGGCCGCCGGAAGCCATGAGGTAGGCGAGGACGCACACTGCGCTGCGGCCGCGGCCCGCGTTGCAGTGCACGTACACCTTTCCGCCCTCGTCGACGTGCGCCCCGATGAAGTCGACGGCCCTGCGTATATCCCGCTGGCTCGGAGACGAGTAGTCGGGCGTCGGCAACTGGAGGTGCGCCAGGCCCACACGCCCGCAGGCGGCCTGTACGCCACCCGGCGCCTGCGGCTCCCAGGCCTGGTTCATGGTGACCACCGCGGTCACCCCGTCGTCCTGCAGCTCTCGCAACTGCTCGTCCGCTGTCGGAACTGCGCCAATGACGAGGTTGGTGCCGGCGAGCGGCGTGAAGTGCCACGCGGGCACGCGCTTCATCGAGCGTGCTGCGCGAGCAAAGATCGACTTGAGCCATCGTGGGCCACGAAACATGGGCAGCGACGTGATGCACGCCGCGAGCAAGAGTGATCCGAGCAGTGGAAGGGTCGGAAGGGTCGCCGAGGGTGGCTGCTGCCCTCGCAGGGTCGCCGAGGGTGGCTGCTGGCCTTGCTGCGGCGCGCGAGGCGTGAGCCGGGCGGCCAGCGCAGGCAGCGACCTGTCGTGTGGCATGTCGAGAGAGCAATGAGAAGAAGAAAAACAAGAGGCGGCCAATTAGCGTCCTGCAAGCCGCCGGGTTTCATCGGGCTGAAACGAGGAATATCGCGGACTACACGCACCGAACGGGCGCTGCGGCGGGGCCGCGGTCTGGGATGTGCCCCGCAGCGGGGCGGTCTCGCGCCCACACACGCGCCCAGCGCAGCAGCACGACGGCTCCTCTCGCCACCCCACGCGCGGGGGCGTGACGTCTGTAGCGAGGCGACGGACGGTGGGACGGTGTCCGACCCGTTCTGGGGTTTTCACGATATGATGCCGCTCCTAAAATACCGGGGGAGGCCTGCGCAGCCTCTACACTATTTTACGACCAGCTCCCTCCACAACACTAGACAGCAGGAGAGAGAACGACGAGAGTGGGAAGAACGCGAGGTGGCATGAAGGTCGCTGCGAGAATTGGTGAGAAACTGCGGAGAGAGATAGGAAGTGGTAGACGCCCGAGGGTGGGCGACGGCTAACACCACACTTCTCCCCTAAAATCCCTGTGACCCTGTGTGGTGGCGGCGTACCGTCCTCCCATCCCTCCCTTGGGTTGTCTGTTTTCTTTCTTTTTCTTTACTGGGCACGGGAGACACATAAACTGGCAGAAAGAAGACTACGAGCTGTTTGTCGGCGACCGGCGGCGGCTCGTCGAGCACCAGCCGGAGTGTCTTGTGGGCGGCGCGCCGCATATAAACACACACGGGCGTACCGCGTGTAGAAGCCCTCTGGCGAAAAAAAAGCATCACAAAGTGCTCCACCTTTAAGCCATTCGGGTGTCCTGTCCCCTCGCTCTTGCAAATTCCTGCAAAGGGTGGGGACGTGTCTGTCCATGTGGAAGACGGCTACGGGGTGTGGACCGTGAGTTGACCAGGGGTTGTGCGCTGGGCCCTCCTGCTCGGCTCCAGCGAGTAGACAAGTCTTGTCACTAACAGAGTAGAAGGATCTGACCTCGGGACTGATGTGACCAAGCGCTGGTAGCGTGGTTTTACCTCACAACCATGGTCTCACAGTGTGCCGGCAGTCGCCGAGCAGTGTCGCTCACACAAGCCGCAGCACAAGTGACTGAGGGCCAGTGAGGGCGAGCCCATCGCTGTCACAGCTGTGGCAGCCGCACAATAGGCTGTGTCAACTGTGCAGAGTGTGTGAGCAGCCGAGGAGCTGCTCTCCAGGCTTCAGGCGCAAAGAGCTGCATGCCACCGAAAGCGTTGTCGAGGTTCGCCGAGCGCGGCGCAGGTTGGAGGACACCGTCACCGACGAGCGCGTTGGAGTATTCACTCCGGACAAAGCCGGCCACACGCACACGAGCTGCGGCCGTGTGGCCGTCATAGTGGCGAGGCGCGGGACCGTCTGTGGCGAAGTGGGTCGCGTCCTCCGATTTCCTCAACTCACGGCCCGCTCCCTCTAGTGCTAGTCCCCCATCGGGAGGACGACCCCGGCTAGTCGCCGACCACACCCACAAAGAACCCTGCACAAAGACCGCAGGGCGGGGACCTGTTCCTTTTTACCCATCTCCTAGTAGAGGTGTCCGTTTTATTTATTTGTTTATGTCTGTCCTCCTCGTCCTCGACCCATCGCCCTAGAGCCGTAGCTTGGCGGTCCGCGCGTGCTTTATTATTCGGCGTAAGGCGCTCTCAAAGAAAAACAGGGTCCATGCCCCAGCTCCAGACATGCCCCATCTCCATGCCCCAGCTCCATGCCCCATCGCCGTCGGCGGTGATGGCGAGGCTGTGGTGCTCTCCAGCCGAGGCTGCGACGACGCGCTGCTCAGCAAAGGCCTCGACCTTCTTGGGCAGCAGCTGGTCCTGCTGATCGCCGTGGCACAGCTGGCCACAACGCCCGTCGCCCCAGCTCCAGACGGAGCCGTCGGCGGTGAGGGCGAGGCTGTGGCCGCCTCCCGCCGACATAGCGACGACGTGCTGGCCAGCAAAGGCCTCGATCTTCTTGGGCAGCAGCTGGCTCTGCTCGTCGCCGTGGCCCAGCTTGCCTCGCCAACCATCGCCCCAGCTCCAGACAGCTCCGTCGGCGGTGAGGGCGAGGCTGTGGCCGGCTCCGGCCGACACAGCGACGACACGCTGCTCAGCAAAGCTCTCGACCTTCTTTGGCAGCAGCTCCCGAAGCCGTGGCCCGGCTCCATAGTCTCCCTCGCCCCAGCTCCAGACGCTGCCGTCGGCGGTGAGGGCGAGGCTGTGTTCGCCTCCTGCCGATACGACGCGGACGCGCTGGTCAGCTAAGGCCTCGATCTTCTTGGGCAGCAGCTGCTCCTCCTCGTCGCCGTGGCCCAGCTTGCCAACACCTCCATCGCCCCAGCTCCAGAGGGCTCCGTCGGCGGTGAGGGCGAGACTGTGGTGGTAACCAGCCGACACAGCGACGACGCGCCGTTCAGCGAAGGCCTCCACCTCCTTCGGCTGCCACTGGGACTGCTGGTCGCCGTGGCCAAGCTCGCCGTAGAGTCCATAGCCCCAGCTCCAGACGGCGCCGCTGCCGGTGAGGGCGAGGCTGTGGAATCCTCCAGCCGACACGCTCACGGCGCGCTCGACACCCAGCGTGGAGGGGAGGCGGGTCGGCGTGTTGAGCCGCGTCACGCCCTCGCCGTGGCCGAGCACCCCCTCTTGCATCCAGTCTGAGCCACACGACGAGAGCCGCCCCTCGCCGTCGATGAAGAGCCTGTGCCGGTCGCCTACCGCCACCCTCGCCGGCGGGTTGGACTCGCGCAGCAGCGCCGAATAGCACAGCCACCGCACGGCGCAGCTCTCGCCCTCGGGCCGCGCCGGCAGCTCGTAGCCGCGCTCTTGCGGCCGCAAGCGGATGCCCTCCAGCGCGAGTGAGGCGTGGAAGAGCAGCGAGACGGCCGCGACGCGAGCGATGTCGGCGGGGTCGCAGCGAGAGAGGGCGCGCAAGAGAAGGTCCGTGGGGAGGTCGAGGAGGCGGGTTGGCGGCGTGTCTGGCGAGGGAGCGGTGGCGGCGGCGGCGAGGGGGCGCAAACGGGGCGGCGAGGTGGACATATCGCAGCAAAAGAATGATGCGGCCGCGCGCACCATATAGGCTGGCATATAGGGTATTTTCGAGCCGTGGCGCGCCCTCAGCCCTCAGCACATACACCGGAATCCTATGCTCGCGCTGCTGCTCGAACTCTGCGCGGTCCTCGTTCCGCCGCCGCCCGTTCGCGGCGCGAGCCGCTTCTTCCTGGACACTGCTGACGTGCGAGAGTGGAAAGCCCTCCTCCCGCTCGGCATCTTCCACGGCGTCACGACTAACCCGGTGCTGCTGGAGCGAGCCGGCGTTCGCTGCACCGTGGGCGAGTGCCACAGGCTCGCTCGCACCGCCTTCGAGCTCGGCGCCGCCGAATTTATGGCGCAGGCGTGGGGCGGAGACACGGACTCCCTCGTCGCGTCCGGACTAGCGCTCCGGTCAGCCAATCCGGAGAGGATCGTGGTGAAGGTGCCAGTCACGGCCGACGGCACCGCGGCCGCCGCTCGCCTCGTCAGCGCCGGCACACGAGTCTGCCTGACTGCCTGCTACAGCCGAGAGCAGGCGCTGGTCGCTACGGCAGTCGGCGCGCCGCGAGAGCACCTCGCCGAGATTGACCCGAGATCGAGCCGCGACTGACCCGAGATGTCCCGAGATCAGGCGCCGAGTACCTCGCGCCGTACCTCGGCCGTATCGGCGACGCGGGGCACGACGCGCACGCAGAGCTGGAGGCGATGCAAGCCATCGCGCGCGGGCTGGGCGGCGGCACCCCCTCTCTTCGCCGCGTGCCCCGAGGCGGATCCAGGTTGACCGAGATTGACCGAGAGGGTTAGGCACTCGCATCTTCGCCGCGTCGATCCGCCGCGCCGCGTCGCTCTCTCGCCTCGCCGCTGCCGGCCTCGACGCGTCCTTTTTCTCGGCCGGCGGCGCCACGAGCGACTCTTCCCACGTCGAGCCGTGTGAGCAGGCCTCGACACCTTCACTTTCTCGCCCGCGATCGCGCGCGAGCTCTTCTCGGACACGCTCACCGCCGCCGCCGCCGCAAGCTTCGAGGCACGCACGCACGCACGCACGCACACACACACACACACACACACACACACACACACACACACACACACACACACACACACACACACACACACACACACACACTCGCTCCCTCCCTCCCTCCCTCCCTCCCTCCCTCACGCACGCACGCACACACGCACGCACGCACGCACGCACGCACGCACGCACGCACGCACTCCCTCGCTCCCTCCCACACTGCCCACCCACGCGCACTGGGCTCGCACTTTCAATGCCGCGGGTTTTGCTGGCTCAGTGGCGCGTGTGTTGACAGGGCCCTCGCCCCGCACCGGCGTGTGAAGGAGTGTCTCTGACCACCTGCCTTCCCTTAGGCTGCCGCCGAAGGCAACGGAGGTGACCGGCCGCTTGCAGACGCAGCAGAGGAGCAGCCAGCTTCGGCCGCCGCCGTCGCAGTTTCCGCAGCGGACGCGCTGCGCGCTTGCGCCTCTCCACCGCCGCCTCGGCCGCCGTCGACGCACGCGACGTACAAGGAGGTCGGCGGTAGCTTTGGCAGCGACAGCGGCGGCAGCGCTGACAGCGTCGACGGCGGCAGAGGCGGCAGCGGAGGCCGAGGCGGTGGCGGCGGCGAGAGCGTTCTCACCCCTCTGGAGGTTACCCGAGATTGCGCGAGATTGCCCGAGATTACAGTTCTCGCCCCTCGGGAGGGCCTGTCAAGTGACTCGCGCGTGCGGCTGTGAACGGCGTCTGTTCACGCCACCGGCTGTGAACAGGCCTTCCGCCTCCTCGCGGACGAAGAAAACGCGCGCGGCGTCGCCGCCGCCCGTCCGTCCCAGATCGCCCGAGGTGACGCGAGGTGTTCTCCGAGATTAGGTTCGGGTCGTCGACGTGCGAGATCCGGCCGAGATCGCCGCCGGTGTGGTTGCAGTCCGTGGGGCGGAGCGTCTTGTTCGTCCTCCCTCCGCCGGCGCCGTCGCCTTCCACGCTGCCTCTAACGAGTGGCTCTCTGCGCTGGCGGCAGAGGGCCCGGTGCTGCTGACGTGCGGCGACGGCGCGGACTCGCTGGCGGCGCTGCAGCAGTATCGGCGCGACGGCACTCTGGCGGGCGCGGCGGTCCACTGTGTCGAGGGCGGAGTGCGCGCATGGCGGGCGGCGAACTTGCCCACTGTCGACACGGCGGTGGAGCCTCTCGAGGCTGCATCTATTGGTAACTAGAAGAGGCGTCGCGGGCGAGAAGACACCCACCTTCGTGGCGCTGCGGGCTCGGCGGCAGGAGAGGGAGGAGGGACACCCCTGAGCGACCCGACGCGCTGCACCTCGCTCGAGATCACATTTTTGTTTCATTAAATCGCGTTTGAGACATACATAGCGGGTGGGTAGGCCCTAAAACGGCGGGAGGGGTAGGGCTACATCGACAGAGCTAGAGGGCTCAACCACCCCCCTCCACACCCACGACCACCCCTCCACCTTCCACCCCTCCACCCTCCCGGAGGGCTCGCCAGCCCACAGGGCTGGAGGGGTCCCCATGTCGGATCGGCGTCGGGAGGGCTCCACAGGGCTAACCGTTCCCCTCCTTGGACGCCGGGTGGGCTCGGAGGGACGGTCGGACAAGGGAGGATCTTCGTGGCGGGAGGGCTGGAGGCAAACAAAGGGCGCCGACTGCCACGCCGACTGCCCAGAGGTAAAGGTAAAAAGGAGGCCCTCAGAGGTAGAAGTAATCTAGACCCCTCCTACCCGGCCCTCCGGGCCGACCTCGTGCGTCGTGGCGTCGCCACAATGTACTCCCTTCGTGCCCGCAATGCCACCTGGGAAAACCCAGCTCGGTGCGGCCAAGGCGCGTCTTCGCACGAGCGCGACGGAGATCCCCCGGCACCATCTCACGCCGGCCCTCTCTGCAACGTAGTGGCCTCTTGTGGTGCATCATGGCATCGATGGCCACTCGCAGCCGCGCCCTCTCGACACCGCGGCCGCGGCCAACTCCAGTGAATACTGAGACGCCCGCGGCAAAGAAGCGTCGAGCGCAGGGCGCGGATGATGTCCTCGACCCGCGCTGTGAGGAGCTGATTGCGTCGCTTGCCAGCATGCCTCCCGTGGGTCGGGCGCAGAGGTTTCGCTTAAGTGACGCCGTGCGGCACGTCGCGATGGCAGACGGCCGGCGCCTCGAGAAGGTGGTGATCAACTGCGGCGCGCCCACCTTGTACTCAAACGTCGAGGACACGGAGGACGTCGACACGTTCCGCTCGCTGTGCCGGATCGTCGTCGGGCAGCAGCTCGCCGGCGCTGCCGCCAAAACCATCTGGGCGCGGTTCGTCACGAGCCTCGGCGGCGACGCGAGCCTCATCACGCCGGAGGCGGTGCTCGCGTCGGACATGGAGGCCCTGCGCTCGAGCGCGGGCCTCTCGAACGCCAAGGCGCGCTCCATCTTCGACCTGGCTGCTCACTACGAGCGCGGCGACCTCTCGGACGCGGTGCTCCTCGACCCGAGTCTCAGCGCGGCCGAGCTGTACGCCAAGCTGACAGCAGTCAAGGGCATCGGACCTTGGTCCGCGCACATGTATCAGATGTTCGGACTGCTGCAGCCCGACATCTTCCCCACGGGCGACCTGGGCGTGCGGAACGGCATCAAGGAGGCATTTGGGCTGCGCGGTGCGGGCAAGAATGGCGCGCTCGACGAGAAGCGCGACAAGGAGAAGCTCGAGGCGGCGATGGCGCCGTTTGCGCCCTACCGATCGCTGGCGGCGTGGTACATGTGGCGCTGCGCGGACACGCCCTCCTTCTTGGAGTGACGTGCGATTTTTGGGCGGTGAGCCGAGTGACGGCGCGTGCTCTCGCCACCCTTTGTTGCGAGAGCAGTCCCTGGCTGTCGAGCACGGTGCGTGGGATGAAGGTGAAGCGCTCATGTAATGAGTGAAGTGACAGATAGGTGTCTGATACACAGTGGCTAGCCAGTACCGTTATGTGGGCCGTAGTGCTGTCTGCATCCGCTTCTCGGCTATATACACTCTACGCCTGTAATTGTACGGAACACAACCACGAGCAGGACGAGGAGCACGACTGCATAATGCATATAAAGAATATAAAGCCGTAGGCGTAGGCGTGCTCGCCGCACGACTGCAATCGACTGAGGACTGTGGAGAGCGGGGAGCCGGGGAGCGGGGGCGCGCGTGACTCACCCGCCGCGTGGAGGGGTCGTATTTTGGCACACAATGGCTTTTGGCAGCACATTTTCCTACACACGACACGTGTCAGGAAGGGGTAGCGGTATCGTCTGACCGCAAGGCGCCGCGCTCCAGCATTGAGCGCTGCTCGCTGCTTTCCTCCCCTCTTGCGATGAGGGGAAGTTTACTCGGAATTCCCGAAGATGCGAGCGCCTGCCCCCCCTCCGCTGGCGGCGGCGGCGGCGACGACAGCACCGCACCGCACGGCTCGCCGTCCACGGCTCCTCCGCCTCCGCCGCTGTGTCCGTGCTCGCCTCGCGCCTCGGCCTCGTCCTCTTTCGTCAGCCGGTCGAGGGCTCGCCTGGGGGGGGCAGGGTGCAGCGAAACCGGGGTCGAAGTGCAGCGCACCCTAGCCCTCCCCCCCCCCCCCCCGGTGCCCAACACCCGCCGAGGCAGAGGCTGCGGCGCTGGCGAAGCATAGCGGCAGTCAACGGCACGCGCCTCGTCGCAATCGCGCCGTAGCCGCCGAGGCCGACGAGGCAGGCGGCGGCGGTGACGTGCCTAATCAACAAATGAAGGAACGCGCCTGACGACCACACAGACAATGACGCGACGAAGCACGTGCGGACGTGGCGTGCGTGGCAAGCGAGAGCCACTCCGCCGACGAGGCCAGCGAGCCTACGTTAGCATCACATCACTGTTGTGCAGCTTGCTTGCCATTACTCGCCACTCCGGACTCCGCCGGCGAGGAAAAGCGAGCCGTCGCTGGAGGAGACCGCGGCGCTGCCCGCCGAGGTGATGCTCACGCCGATCAGGACGAGCTCGAGCACGTTGTACACCTCCACCTGTCGGGGCCACAGCGAGGGGGGGGGGGAGCGACTCGGGCGGAGGGGCAGGGGCGGCAGGGTGGCGAGCGCCCGGGTGCTTCGCCGGCTCCCTCACTCCTCTCAGCCTCTCTGCTGCCACTGCGCAAGGCCGAGGGCCGGTCAAGCTGCGGGCGCATCACGCACCAGCATCAGCGACGCGGCGTACGGCAGCATGGGCGCGTCCAGAGCCGCGAAGCCGTAATTCTTGAGCGGGACCGGCACCGCCGCCGCGCGCGCCAGCAGGCAGATGCGCCACGGCTCCCTCGCCACCGCGAGCGCGAGGGCGCGCAGCAGCTTGTGCCGACTCGTCACGCGCGAGCCCCACCTCCGCAGCACCGTGCGGCCGAGCAGGTACGAGGCGAGCCCGCCGAGCACCTGCGGGGCGCGGCGCGGTGTAGGCGCCGGAAGGGAGAGGAGAGAGAGAGTTGTGTGTGTGTGTGTGTGTGTGTGTGTGTGTGTGTGTGTGTGTGTGTGTGTGTGTGTGTGAGGGAGGCGGCAGCGCGCCTTGCCCGACCATACGATGCAGAAACCGAAGCGAATGCCGTATACCCCGGCAGCCAGAAGCTCAACCGGCGTCGTTGGCACGAGCACTACGATGCCTAGCGTGATGGCCGCAGCCAAGCTCGCTGCAACTTCGAGCGGCGCGGTTTCCTTTGCAGCGAGCACGCTGTCCGAGGCGTCCTTGAGCGCCGCGGTCCAGCGGTCCTTAGAAGCGACGAGAAGCGCAACCCACGCAGCGACCACTACTGCGGCTACGGCGGCTCCTAGGACGACCTTTTTTGACGGCATGAGTGCGGACTGCAGCCGTTTGGCGGGCCGACGCTGTTCACAGCCTTGTTATGAGAAGAAATACGTCGCCTGGCGCTATGCGCTGGTCTGTGAGAGGTTGAGGTGCGAGCCCTGGAGGCCCTGGGGATGGGGGGATACTACCCGCGGGCCTAGAAGGCCCGCGCGCAGGGGGGTGGGACATTGAGACCGGTCATGAATGAGTGCGCGGCACGCATGTTGCGAGCAGCGTTGTTGATGTTTTGCGCGTCGCCACAGACGGCGGCGCGCGAGAGCTTCACATAAACGCACAACCCGGGGCCGACGCTGTTCACAGAAAAACACAACCCCGGACCCAAGACGCACAAGCACAGACAGTCGAGAAGGGAGAGACAGCAACGACAGTCAGAAGCCAGCGCTGGGTCCCGCTGTTCACGCTTCACAGAAAAACACAATCCCGGACCCAAGACGCACAAGCACAGACTGAGACAGTCGAGAAGGGAGAGACAGCAACGACAGTCAGAAGTCAGCGCTGGGTCCCAGGAAGCAGGTAAGTATAAGCGGAGCAACTGAGTAGATACAGCCAATCCTTTGAGCTTTGTGTTCACAACTGCAAGAGGTGTGAACAATAACGATTTCGGCCTTAGCCGTTGGCATGCCAATAGCGTGCTGCCAAGTAGTACGCAGTTGGATTCCGAGGGTGTCCCATCATCTCAAAAGTTCGGCCGTTCGCTGCCGTTCACAAAACTCGAATGAAGCCTGATGGTCCAACCGTGTCAGCTTTTACGACGTCGCTCATCCGCCTTTACATGTACCTCGTACGACGTAATCATATCTCATGTTTAGTTGTGCTGTGGTGGCGCTTACAGTACGAGCTACGGGTTGAGTGTGAACAAGGGTGTCTGACTGTCACTGTGCGATTTCGGACTCGGGGTTGTGCTTTTGAGTGAGGGATTAAGGGGCCTCGTTAGACGTTAGTGGCGTGCTGAATATAGGGGACGCACGACTGAGCCAGCGTAAATGAAGCAGGCAGCTCGACTCACTCAGCGTTTTGCACTCGCTGGCGATTTAATTGGCGATCGATCGGTGTGTGTGACGCGATGAGTGTTGCGACGATCGAGCGCTGGCTGCTCCCTTGAGCACTTGAGCACTGGATAGGGTCGATTCCGCATGGTACGGGACCCCTCGATCGTCTCGCCCTCCCTCACTCACTGGTGTGTTCATTTGGGGGGGGGTCATAACAAACACGGTACAGGCTGCTCCCGACCAAGTCGACGAGCCCGCTGACTGGCGAGGCGCTCGAGTACACAGGGCTCCTCCGCGACCGCAGCAGATTTTTGACCGCGCAAGATAAAGGGTGGCTAAGGGCTCTGCCCGCAAGGCGCCCGCGTCGCCGACGCGGTACTCAGCTTCGTAACCAGGAAAACAAAACCAGGACCGTGGCTTCCAAATACGACAACCTCACCTCAAGTTTGGCAAACGCTAAACATGGGCGATCCAGCGCTTCTACAGTCTGTTGCGGGCATTAAGAAAGCGTCCCATTAAGAAACCCTACCAAGCAATTTCCGCGAAAATCTAAGAAACCACGGCGCGCCGCAGGCGCGGCCCCAAGAAAGGGCCCACACACGAGTGTGAACAGGAGCCCCGCTCAAATTTTCTCCTCGCCTGCGGCGCGCGCACTTGTCATTTTGCCCAAGTCTGCGGTGTTCTGGGCGGTGTGGATGGAGGTGTGTGCGTCTTCCTGTCATCCCAAGACTGCTGACTGGCGCATCGGTCCAGCGCTTCCTTATACGAGCGTCATCTTGTAGTGAACAGGCCGACTTCGCGGTTTGAGCGCCCAGCGCAGACCGACCGACCGCAGGGGGGGTCCGGTCGGCGGCCGCGGAAGACCGCAAACCGCAGGGGGGGTCCGGTCGGTCGGAGCGCAGACCGAGGGGGGGGTCGGTCGGGTTGGCTCGAGGGTCACACCGCACACGCTCGCCGCAGCTGTGAATAAATTAGTATCTCGAAATACTAGAGACACCAAGCGACCTCTCCCCGTCTAATCACTCCTCGTGACGTCGTGCGAGTTGCTGAGCTCGAGACCGCGCTCAGGATTGGGTCGGAACACGAGCTCGTCCATGTCCACGCTCTGGTCGTCGTCGTCGTCCATGATTAGCTTCGCCGGCGACACACTGTGTAGCCGTTGACGAGCCGCTTGAGCGCGGCCAGCACCTCCTTCTGCCGGCCGCGCGCCCACGGGGGCAGCGTGCAGTAGAACTCCTCGAAGGTGAACTGCTCCTCCTCCGACTCCAAGAAGAGGTCCACCTCCCTCTCCACCTCCGTCGTGAGGTTGACCTTTAGCGTGAGGGGTTTGTCGCCGCTGTCGCTGTCCTCGTCCTCGTCCTCGTCCTCGTCCTCGTCCTCGTCCTCCGCCTCCGCCTCCTCCTCCGCCTCCGCCTCCTCCTCGCCCTCGCCCTCGTTCTCCGAATCGGACGGATCGCCTAAGCTCTGCCCGCGCGAAAATTTGGAGACGTGAAGACCGGGTGCGAGGCAGATCATGTTGCCGGCATAGCTCTGCCCGCGCGCAACGCGCAGCATGTCGCGATTAACTGAGTTGCTCCAGAAGCGGCGTCCATCGATTGCCATTCGCTGTCGCTTGGGCGACTCGGAAGCCGATGAGCCCGGTGACGGCGGCGGCGATGTGTCGATCAAGTCTGGCAAGTCATCGTTATAACGTAGTCATCGGAAGGGACGATGCGCGGTGACTAGTTTTCATAGTGAAAACCGGCGATTTCGAAGCGCCCGTGGCGGTTCGCGAGAAGGAGGGAGAGCGTTTCAGGGGGCTCACGGCAAGGACACCGACCGAGGGGGGGGGGTCGGTCGTCACACCTCCCGCCGCCGAGAGAGCGACCGACCGGAGGGGGGGTCCGGTCCACCTCGGGGGCAGACCACCGACCGGCGGGGGGGTCCCCACGAAGTAGGGGGGGTGGGTACAAAGTGACGCTCGTATTATTGTCATTTTACCTAAAAATTCCTAGATCCCGGCTGACCTGGGGTGCCGGCCGAAGCTAAGAAACCACGGCGTGGGGTGGGTGGGGTGGGTGGAAAGGCTTAGAAACGGCGGCGTGCCGCGGGATCCTGTTTTCTTAATGCCCGCAACAGACTGTATCGATTGGACGGACGAAATGATCGCGGAAAAGCGGGACCGCATCGCGACATTCGGGGGTTCACCATACGTACATATATGCCGAGCCTGCTCGGCCTGTCATGCGCGCGCGCCTCGCCCGAGCGCAGCCACCTGCGGACCTGGCCAGCCTGTTCCTGGCTCGTGCCCAGCCTCTCCTCTTCCGCTGCCGCGCGCCGGCCTCGCAGTCCCGCCAGCCATCACACTGCAGAGCCTGCGTAGACGCCACACAATTCTGCAGCCCACAGCCCTGGCAACTGAGGGCGAGGGCCAGCAGTATACGACGACGACGACATCTCACACCCCGCGCTGGCCAGCGCCATCAGCCCCTCACGGCCCGGCCCAACCTCCCTTCGCCTCGCCTCCAGTGCCTCCAATCAAGTCGCACCTCTCTTCTTCAGCGAATGCAGCGGCAGCACCACGTCAGAGGCCGGGCCGCCTCGCGGACCTGCATGCCCAGCCATGCCCCCCACTCCCCACCCGCTTGGATCGATCAGCTGACAGCTCCACCAGCTCCCACCACCGCGTGTCGTGTCATGAAGCATGATAGATAGACATAGAAAGCATGAAACCATCGAAAGGTCTGATCTCCAAAAAGAGCTTTCGGCGGCCGCGCGCGCCCACGCCCCGCCCCTTTTGCGCAGCAACACCTTAAATTTCATGCTTCCTCTGTCGCGTCGCTCTCGTCTGCCTCGTCCTGCGACGCCGCCGCCGCCTGCCGATCCCTCCCTTGCTCTCGCGGCTTCTCCCGCCTTTCGGCGCAACTCTGCCCTGCTCGCGGCATATTTTGGCCCCTCGAGTTTAGAGCTCTCCTCGCGCAAGGACGACTCTTCTGACGCCCACTGCGATCATTTCGGAGTTGGCTTGTACTTTGGAGCACTTGGAGTGCAGTGGGTAACCTCATGTAAAATTCTTATTCTCGGGACTTGGGAAGCTTGATCTATTCTCGTAAGCTCATAGTACTTTCACAGTACCCGGGACGGACGCAACCCATTCGCCGCGCCGCGCTCCCAGCCGCGCCTCCCACCCGCGGTTGCGAGGCTGGAGAGACATCAGCTATGTACTCGCTCTGGTCCGAGAGCGCGAACAAAGAGGAGGGCCAACCTGCTTGGTGGGAGAGATGGTTGTGCGGCAGGACAGGTGCGGCCACGCACGTCGACGCGCTCCAGGCTGCTCGCTTCAACCTGCTGTGTGTCGCCGTCAGCTCTGTGTCGCTGGCGTTCACGTTGCTCACGCAGCGCCTGCACTGGCGCGACGTCTGGAGCCTGGTCGATGATACTGTCGCGCTGCCGACACTCTCCGCGCTGATCTACTACAGTGCAGACCCCCCGTCCAAGCTCGCCCGCTGGTGTTGGGTGCTGCTTGCAGCGTACGCGCTTGGCGTTCTCTTAGACTTGGTGTGGCTGTATATGGGCCGCTGGAGGGCGGCGCCGAGCCGAGCGACGACCGCACTGGCCGATGCGGGATCGCTCTGGATGTGGACACAGGCCGTCTACTACAACCGGCAGCTTGAGAGGTCGTTGAGGGAGCAGGCCCGGCCCATCGCGATCATAACTGTGAGCGGGAACCGTGTGGAGGCGAGACTTCCATAATTAGGTACGTACGGTAAAAAACATATGAGCCCCGCAATTTTATGCGCGTGGGGCGGCGACCTGGCGGCGACGTCAGACGTCACGCGCGCGCGGCGCAGTCTCTCTCATGTGGCCAATGCCGTGACCCCAGCGGCGAGTAGGGTGGCCGCCTCGGCGACAAAGACGGTCTTGTCGACGGCCCCAGCTGCCATGAAGCCAGAGATGACGCCGCCCGTGACTCCGTCCGTCGCGACGTCCTGCCCCGCGAGGTACAGGCCGGGGAGCGGCGTCCGCGGCGTCAGCCACGGCTGTGCGAAACGCGCGGGAGTGTGAGCCAGCCCGTAGGCTTCGCCGTGGCGCGTGCCCAAGTAAAAGTTGGACGAGAGCGGGGTGCCGAGGTCGCAGTACTCGACGCGGCCTCGCAGCTGCGGCAGCAAGCGCAGCACCTCCTCCGTCATCCGTTCGGCGAGGGCCCGCTTGAGGCGGTCGTATGCCTCGCCCCGCTTGTGGATGCGCCCGTCGCGCCACTCTGCCCAATACTCGAAGCGGGTCGGCGCGAGGGCGAGGACGACTTGCTTGCCTAAAGAAATAGCCGAGCTGTGGCCGAGATATGACTGAGCTATAGCAGGGTAAGGGATCCTCGGAGTAGTGCGTGCGCACAAGTGGGTGGCGCCACGGATACGGTGATACGGCTTGACGGCTGCCGGAAGCATCTGTGCCCGCTTGCCGGGGTGGCGCTGCTCCCAGGCAGGGTCCTTGGCCGAAGGGCTCGAGAGGAAGAGGAGGAGGGGGTGGTCGGCCGCCACGTCGTCAAGACGAGGCGGCAGTTCGCTGCCCCTCTCGTGGTCCCACCCGCCAAACTTCCAGATGTTGTGGCGAGGGAGGCCGCCTCCGCTCCCTCCGCTCCCTCCGCCTCCGCTCCCTCCGCTCCCCCCGGCGCCGCCCCCGCCGTCGGCCGAGAGGCCGAGGAAGAGGTAGAGGAAGGCGAGGGAAGGCTCGACCTAGGGTCGGCTCGGAGATGTGGTTGGTTCAGGGCAGGGTTTGGGTTTGGGCTCGGTGGAGGGACGGGATGAAGGGCGCTGGACCTGCGTCTCGGTCGAGGCGGGAGGTGACACCGGCGGCGCGTCCCGAATGGATGCGAGCAGCGGCGCGAGGCGGTGGCGCTGCGGCGGAGGCACGAGGTGGCAGAAGGTGGTAGTCGCGCCTATCGACCAGCAAGAGCGGTCAACAGGGGCACGGAAGGCGGTGGACGAGGTGGCAAGGGCGCGGTAGTGGCGCCGGCCGCCGAGACAACCCGCTTGGCGCGGAAAGTGTGCTCGCCTATAACCAGAGACACGTGTCAAGGAAGAGAAGGACGCGTGCGCAGCGCGGAGAGCGAGCCGGCCCCGAACGACGACGCCGCGGACAGCGCCGGCCTCGTCGCAGACCAGCGACGTCACCGGCGCCCGCACAAGCACCGCGCCGCCCGCCTTGAGGACGGTGGGGACGATCCTCGCGGCGAGCTGCGCGCAGCCGCCGACGGGGTAGTAGGCGCCTAATCTCGGGCAACCTCCTCGGGTGGCCCTCGGCTATCCCTCGGCTATACCAGCCGCCGTCACCAGGTAGCAGGCGCCTGCGGACGCGTCGTGGACGTGTCATGGACATGGCCTCCCCCGCACAAGCTGCTAATAGAGGGACGCGGCGTGGACGGCAGCCGAGCGCGGGACTTTTGGCGGCCACATGGCGCGTGTTGAGGCGCAGGCAGCACTGCCTCGGCGACATCTCGGCGACATCTCGGCGACATCTCGGCGACATCTCGCCGTTGAAGTAGTGGTTCTGCAGCACGAGGTGGAAGGCGAAGGGCGAGCGGGAGGGCGGCACGCCGTAGGTGCCCCAGATGTACGAGAGGACGTGCCGCAGCTTCGGGCTGCCGGTGAGGCGCTCCAGCGCGGTCTGAGTGGTCTGCATGCCGCCGAGGGCGCGCAGGAGCGGCGCCGCCAGCGCTGCCGGCAGCACCTTGAGGCCAAGGTGCGCCCCGAGCCACACGTGGGCGAGGAGCACGCGCCACGAGTACGAGTGGAGGGCCGCCCCTTCGGATGGGAAGCGGCGGCGCAGCTCTGCGAGGAAGGCCGCCTTCGGAGAGAGGATCGGCACGACGTCGTCGCCAAAGTAGACCTCGTCGACGAGCCGGCCGGTCGGGGCCCACTCGATGACCCCGCTCGTCACCGCGTTGAGGAGCACGCCCAGGATGTCGCCCACGTAGTGCAGCCCGACGTCAAACTCGAAGCCGCGCTCCTCGAACGTGTGAGTGCAGCCGCCGGCCACGTCGTGCTGCTCAAGCACAAGCACGCGCTGCCCGCGCTTGGCGAGCAGCGCCGCCGCTGTCAGGCCGGCGGCACCGGAGCCGATGACAATCGTGTCGAGCTGCTCGGGCACCTTGCGGGAGGCGAACCCCTCCTTGAGGCATGCCGTCCCGGCGAGCGGCGCCGCGCGTGCGCCGGGCGCCAGAGCGTGGCAGCGGAGGCTGCAGCGCGGCCAGGCGAGGAATAGCAGGTAGAGGAGAACAGCGGCCGACAGCAAGAGGACGAAAGCGGTCAACATTGGTGTGTATAGTGTCCGGCCACACTAGCGCGGCATGCACGGCCCGACGGCAATACAAAGCCTCTGTACGCCTCCTGTAGAGCTCTACCAGGTACCTCATGTATCGGAGTTATGGTCCTGATACGACCTGTGAACGTGAAGAGAGTGGGATCAGCACTGTCGATCGTTACGGCACGCAAGGGGGGCCTCCCGGACGTATGATCCTAGCCCAATAAGTTCCACGGAGCAGATTTGGATTTTTGACAGAATTAATGCACTGCCCCCGCACGATACTAACTATCGTAGTTTTGGTCCCGGTGCCCTTCACGGCACCACACCGCCGCTTGAAGGCCCGAGATTAGCCTAGCAGTGAGTGGGCATCGCCTGCCGGTCGGCTGGGCACGAGCCAAGCACTTGGGTGGCCGTCGACCGAGTCCGAGCGGCGCCTGAGGTGGGTGCCACGGCGTCTGCACGAAGGCGTGGCGGGGTGAGGAGCCAGGAGTGGTGAACACCTCCCCGTCGGGCGCGCGGCGCGCCGGATGGTCCGCCGAGGCCGCCGCCGCCCCGACGGCGGCGATGAGGGCGGCGGGGCCGACCCAGCCGGCGTTTGTCGGCTCCACCTACAGAGAAGCAGCCTCTGTGGGTCGACGATACTAACTCGGTAGTAACGCGGAGCGGTGCTGTGCGGCGCCGAGTCGTGCGCGAGGCGACCTCCTGAGGCTACCTGAGCTGGCAATGGATGCCACCAGGACGCACGGCTAGCAGGAGCCAGTCAGGCATGCCCTGCTGTGGAGCAGAGCCAGCTGGCGCACCGGCGATACTAACTCAGCGCGCCGCGAGAGGCGAATCTGGGCGACTTTGGAGGCGCAGTTCTCGAGCTTGCCGTCGACGATTGATGTCGGGTAAATTGTCACTGCCGTCCGGGAAGGTCTTCTCTCAGGAGGCCGAGCGCCGTGGCCTGGCTCGGCTCGCCGCGGACCACACGAATTTATCAGGACCAAAACTCAAGAAAAATGATACGAACAAAAACTACGATACATGAGGTATCGGGGTTATTGGGGGTTTGCGAGGTGTGAACGTGAACAGAGTAGCCAGATCGCTGTCGATCGTTACGGCACGCATGGGGGGGCTCCCGGACGTATGATCCCAGCCCAATAAGTTCCACGGAGCAGATTTGGACTTTTGACAGAATTAATGCACTGCCCCCGCGCGGTACTAACGATCGTAGTTTTGGGGGCGGCGCCCCTCACGGCACCACTCCGCCGCAGGACAGCCCGAGATTAGCCTAGCAGTGAGTGGGAATCGCCTGCCGGTCGGCTTGGCACGAGCCAGGCAGCTGGGCGGCCGTCGACCGAGTCCGAGAGACGCCTGAGGTGGGTGCCACGGCGTCCGCACGAAGGCGTGGCGGGGTGAGGAGCCAGGGGTGGTGAACACCTCCCCGTCGGGCGCGCGGCGCGCCGGATGGTCCGCCGAGGCCGCCGCCGCCCCGGCGCAGTTCTCGAGGTTGCCGTCGACGATTGATGTCGGGTAACTTGTCACTGCCGTCCGGGAAGGTCTTCTCTCAGCAGGCCGAGCGCCGTGGCATCGCGCTGCTCGCAGCGCTGTCGCGGCGCCGAGAACCCCCAAAACTCGCGAGACCTCGATACTAACAAAGACTACGATACAGGAGGTACTCGAGTACGGCCGAAGAATTTTACAAGAGGCATGTGTGATCTGTGATCTGTAAGGGTCGCCCATCTCTCCTGGAGATGTCTGCTCTATTTATTTATTATCTGTAAGGGTCCGCCCGCAGGCGCATTTTGTATACCGAGGCGGTGCCCGGTGCCGAACCTGTCGGCGACCTTAAGACAGCGTTGTAGATCCCTGGGCGAGGGCGGTGGTGTCCCCGTCGGGAGGGGGCTGTCGCAGTGGTGGTCTACCGTCACCCCGCCAGCAAAATAGTTTATCTCGGCTTCTCCACATGACCCAAGCATCCGCACCGTGAGGTGTGATACATTGGCGCGTAAAGGGGGTCAGTCTGGAGTCGCGTGCCTCCACAACGGAAGAGCTACGGGCTACGCAGTACCTGACGAAGAATTTCTTCTTCCAAAAGAAACATCCGCTCCTGCTGCCTGCTCTCCTCAATAGCCGCCCACCGCATCGGCGCTCGCGTCTCGGGCCTCTCGCCGGAGCAGCTCTGCGCCACCCCGAGGAGCAGGCGACATCGAGGAGCCGTCCGTCCCTTACCCTGCGCGGGACGAAGCCGGCTCCGCGAGCCGGCGGTGCGCCTCCAGCAAGCCCTCGCCGGGTTGGACCTCGATGGACGCAGCGCGTGCGACGATGCTTGGCGGCGCCGCCTCGCGTTGGATGAAGCGCGTCAGCTCCTTCCACCACGGGCGGATGGCCATGAGTTTGCCTTGCCGGTTGAGGCCGTCGAGCTCATCCGCGACCTTCTTGTCACAGGTTGCTTTCGCCGCCTCAGCGGTGCCCTTGTGCGAACTTTCGCCCGCAAACAGAGAGAAGCCGAAGTCCGTCTCAAACGGCGACTTGACCTCGTACATTTCGGCCGTGCCCTCGATGGCGCCCTCAGCCTGCGCGGTGGTCGTGAAGGTCCCCTCGTTTGGGTAGACGTCGAGGCGTCCGATGCGCGGCAAGGGGTCAGCAAACGACTGGCCGATGAGGCCGTGAGCGATCAGCGGCGCCGACGTCTGCGGAGAGTAGGAGAGCTCGATGTCGACCCTGTGCTCTGGCCCGGCGATTCGATCGTGGACGGAGTCGCCATGCACTACAATCTTCCAGGGGGCCGCCTCGGTGCTGCCTTCAAACGGCGCCACGGTGATGTTGGCGGTGGACATCTTGACCGAGGTGTGCAGCCCGCCGCAAGCGCGCTTGACCTAACGAGCCGGCGGGGGGTCGGGGGATGGGCGAGAGAAGGGGAGAAAGGCCGAGGGGTAGCGGCGGCGTACGTTGGGACCGAGCGCGAACTCGTTGCCACCACAGCTGACCTTGACATTGCTCCAGCCCCAATTCTGCCCTGCAGCAGATAGACAGCGGGCCGTGTGAGAGGAGTGCTGGCGCACAGGTGGGCGCAGAGGACATGAACCGTTCAGCTCTGAGGCGACATAGCTCACGTAGGCCCACTTGCACATGCTTTCGCCTTCGACCAGCGTAGTGACGTGAACCTCCGTCATGTAGGTGCCATTGACAAGCAGCTTCCCGTCGTGCAGCGTGTACAACGCCTCCTCAAAGAGGACGTTCACGCTCAGTCCCGGAGTCGATATGTAATTGTAGAGCGACCCGTGCTTGCCACGGAAGTCAGCATGGCCGTCATGTGCCAGGTCGATGTGCGGGTCTTGCATGACCGAGGCGCCAATGACGGGCGCGGGTGGCGCTCGCCGCCCATCACGGCACGGCTCGTCGATATCGTACGCACCATTGCCGTTGCAGTCTTCGTACAGGATGCAGTGACGCTCACCGGCACCAGGGGGATTGTCCGGGTAGTCCCGGCCTGACTCACAGGTTTCGCCACCGTGGCTGCCGAGCACCGCCGGCGGCGACACAGTCGCGAGGAGGAGGAGGCCAACGCGCTTCACCAACATCGTCCGTTCGGCAATTCGTGCGCGTATTGGTGCTGATCGGCGATGAGCGCCGCGTTCTTTCGGCCGTCCGATTCATCGTCGCCGGAGTTTCTTATTTCTCTCTTCCAGTCTTTTTGCAGCCCTCGCGGCCACGCCAGCCATTCGATAGATCAAGCATACGCAGATCAGGGCGGCGGAGTCGACGCGGAGCGGAGAACGGACGGTGAGAGTGCTCATCGCCGAAATTACTTCCGTCCGGGCACCAGAGACGGCCATCGCCATGCGTGTGTCGAGCATTCGCCTCTTGGACGACCATGCGAAGCGCAGGGGCACATGCGACAGCGCCTTGCAGCTTGTGGACTGGCTGATTTACATGTGCACCGGCGCTGACCGCGGCTTCTCTTCACTGCCGTCGACGTTTGAGCGGCTCGCCGCGGAAGTCGGCCTAGCTGTGGAGTGCCACATTGTGCAGACCAGGGACGGGTACGAGCTGCTCTTGCACCGCCTTGTCGGTCGCCGCGCCAAACGACGGCCCGTCTTCCTGATGCACGGCCTATTTGAGGAGTCGACGGTGTGGCTAGCGCACCGGCGCAGCTCGCTGGCCTACCGGCTGGTGGAGGGAGGGTACGACGTGTGGCTCGGGAACACACGGGGCAACGCATATTCGAGCGGGAAGTGGGGCCTGTGGGGCTCGCGCATGCACAGCTGGGGAAACGACGAGTTGGCGAGCGAAGACATCGCCGCGTCTGTGCAGGCGGTCCTCGAGGTGGCGCACGCCGAGGGGCTGCAGGCGGACAAGGTCATCTTCATCGGCCAGTCGCAGGGCGCTTCGAGCGCCATCACCGCCTGCTCGCTGCGCGAAGGCTTGGGCGGGCGGTTGGCATGCCTCGTGCTGCTCGCCCCGCCCCTCTGCCTGCAAGCCTCGGTGAACCCCACGCTGCGCCTCGCCCTCAAGACGCCCTCCCTCGTGTACCGCGCCGTCTTCGCCTTTGTCCTTCCGATCGGAAGGCTCGTGCCGAATGCCATCTACCTCCCCATCGCCAAGGCTGGCATGCGCCGAATGGGCTTTGTCGTACGCCCCCACGACCCAGACGCGGCGGCCATCACCTTCCGCTGCGTGCCCTCCGGGTCCACGAGCAGCCCAAACTTGAGCCTTTGGTTTGGGATGGCGGCGGAGGGCGGAGCGCTCGACGTGAAGACGAAGCAGGTGACCTGCCCCGTGATCGCCTACTTGGGCGGACAGGACGTAATCCTCGACTGCGACGCCATCACGACCCTCCTGCAAAGATTGCCCGACCTGCATCGGCTGCACGTGCAGCCAGGCTTTGCGCACGCCGACTTTGTCTGGTCCGCGGACGCCCCCAGCATCGTCTACGGGCAGCTGCTGGATGAGGTGGACGCGTTTAGCGGATGACGCTTGAGGGGGCCCGGGCCGTCTTCTTTGGTGAGAAGGGGTATGGAGCCCTCTTCAAGCCGTGGTAAGGGGAGCGCTGTGGTGAGAGGGGGACAAAAAGAAGAAGAGGAGAAGTGTCCCTCTTGCGCATGAGGTTCTATATTCACACAAAAGCACAACCCCGGGCCCGAAATGCGAAATCGCACGACACAGTGTGACCATGTGACCAGTCAGACATGACATGTCATGTGCATGCAACAGCACGGGGCCAGGCGGGAAGGCGAGCAAAAATATGTATGTAGGAAGTGGACCAGAAGATTGGGGGGGGGGTACGAGTTGGCGGGACGAGTTGGAGCGCGAGGGCGGCGAATTGGCACAGAGCCGACCAGTCGATTGCCGTGGACTGTGTTCGCTGCCGCTTGTTCTATATTCAGGTGTACCTGTGTTCGTGCCAGTGTGCGCCAGTCCCGTGCCTAGTGTTGTGAGAGAGACTTCACAGCAGCAGTGATGAACTGCATCATCCTATCACGCTTGAGAGTCCGCGGCGACGGCGCGATTCCACTGCACATAATGCGTCCCGCGCTGAGCGGCCGCCGAGGAGCTCTTGCCCGCCACTGCACGTCGCTGACGCCCAACCCATCGCCGAGGCCGCCCGAGCCCTCTCTACTCGAGCTAGACGTCGCACTGTGCAACCCGCTTCCAACAAGGCTCGCACGCTCGTCGGTCGCGCCCGAAGCCGGCCTCGGCGTCTTTGCTGCCGAGCCGGTCGTGCGAGGCCGCATCTGCTCCTTCTACCCAGGAACGATCTGGCGTTTGGAGGACCTCTGGCTGGCCACGCCCATCGACGACAGCCAGATGCCGCTGCCATCGCTCAGTGTGAGCAATTCCTACCTCCTGCGGTGCACAGTCTGCGACGAGGCTGGCAGCAGAGTCGACTGCCTGGTGGATGGCCGGCCGTGGGGCGAATCCGCCGCCATTTTTGGCCGGCTCGCGGCTGCTCTCGGGCCGGGCCGCGTCTACACCGGCTGGTTGGAAGGGCCCGTGAGGCGCACTGACCTGGCGCGGCTCGCCACGGCCAGCGCCGCCTCCTCACACGCGCTTGGCCACCTCTTAAACCACTCCGACAGGCAGGCGAATGTTGTGTTCGCTCCTCCCGTGCCGGTGGAGGAGCGGCAGCTCTCCCCCGCCGCACTGAGCCGCGTGCCCGTAGTGGCTGCAGCCTCGCTCACGACCTCTTTGGGCTTCCCTGGCTGGGCGCGCGCACTTGCCTTTCCGCGCTGGCTCCTCCCGATCCGTGCGGCGAGAGACATTGAGGAGGGTGAGGAGCTGCTGTGGTCTTACGGTCAGGATCCATTGGAAGTCGGGTGGCGCAAATGATAGCAGACAGGTATGGTCTGTGTTAATTTCCCCAGTGAATCATAATAGTTCGGCCGTCCGGGCGAGCCCTTTAGTCGGTGAGAGAAAGTAAGTAAGTACGACGGCGAAACACAGTCAGACCAGCGACTGGGACACCGGCGCGGTATAGGTGGACGCTAGACGGCGATGACGGTCTCCACAGGAGCGAGACACACACACAGAGGGAGAGGGGCACACAAACATGGTATTGCTCTCTCTCTCTCTCTCTCTCTCTCTCTCTCTCTCTCTCTCTCTCTCTCTCTCTCTCCCGCTCTCTCTCTCTCTCTCTCTCTCTCTCTCTCTCTCTCTCTCTCTCTCTCGATAGAGCCTGACTCATCAACACCCCCCTATCAACATACAATGATAGGAAGGCGAAGAACAGTCAGGCGCCTCGGACTGGACACCAACGCGGTAGAGGGAACGGACCGTGAGTTGAGGAAATCGGAGGACGCGACCCACTTCGCCACAGACGGTCCCGCGCCTCGCCGCTATGACGGCGACACGGCCGCAGCTCGTGTGCGTGTCGCCGTCTTTGTCCGGAGTGAAAAGTCCAACGCGCTCGTCGGTGACGGTGTCCTCCAACCTGCGCCGCGCTCGGCGAACCTCGACAGCGCTTTCGGTGGCATGCAGCTCTTTGCGCCTGAAGCTTGGAGAGCAGCTCCTCTGCTGTTCACACACTCTGCGCAGTTGACACAGCCTACTGTGCGGCTGCCACAGCTGTGACAGCGATGAGCTCGCCCTCACTGCCCCCCAGTCACTTGTGCTGCGGCTTGTGTGAGCGACACTGCTCGGCGACTGCCGGCACACTGTGAGACCATGGGTTTGAGGTAAAACCACGCTACCAGCGCTTGGTCACATCGGCCCCGAGGTCAGATCCTTCTACTCTGATGACAAGACTTGTCTACCCTACCTCGATGAGCTAGTGAGGCGGCAACCTTGGCCAGAACACATCATTGAGTGGCACTGCCAAAGGATCAAGATAGTGACGGTGCGGCAGAAAAATGTCGTCGAGAGACTCTCCAATGTCAGCGACCCGAAAAGGCCGCAGAGATGCGCCTGTCAGGCGATACAGCAGCGACTTGTCGCTTTCGGGTTCGAGCCTCTGCCGATGACGGAGGGGCACATTTTCTGCATCGGGCGAGAGTACAACGGCCCACACGCCGAGGTGCTACGTCGGAGCAACAAGAATGTGCCCGTCCCGACAGCGAGAGACATGCGTGTGGCATGGGGCAAGGCACTCGGAAGCCTTCCCGCAAGTGTGCGGGAAGCCGGGGGAGAGCGAGAGTGGAAACGGATACTTGCTGAGACTCTTGAGGAGACGGATGAGACGTGTGTGCCATGTGAGGACGCGATCACATCGAACCAGGTTGCTCAGGTGAGGAGTGTCCTGCGAGGAAGCGTGATAGGGTGGCTCGACAAGAATGTCGGAGAGTGTTTTGTTACGTGCCCCGTCACGTACGAGAAGACGCTGGACGCGCTCTTCGACACTTCAAACGGCAACTATACGCGTGTGTATCCGCTAAAGGACACGGCATATAAGAGGAAGAAGCATGGAGCTGAGGAACTGCTCAAGAATATGACGACGGAGGATCGGTCGCGGGTACGGGCGAACCAGCTGAGTACGGACGGAGAGCTCGACGCGACGCTAATCTCAGCATGGCGATGGTTCTACAGAAAGATGGGATGGCATAAAATCACCAAATTCGATAGCAAAGGAAGGGTAACTGCGCCGTACGCGCTGTATAAGGCAAAGAATGTGACTGACGCGGCAGTACGAGCTCGGAAGCTGCACAAAGCGAGGCCGATCACACCGTACGCGAAACACCCGATGGCGAAGCTTTTGAGCCTCGTGGGCAGAGCGTGGAGTTTCGCACTCCGGCACCTGAAGGGTGAGCACTTCATTCAGCATGATTGCCAAAGTGTGCCCCAAATGCTGAGAGAGGCAGCCGAGGCGCTCCGGGGGAAGGGCGATCTTAGCTACGAGATTAACGATGTCGACAGCTGTTACCCAAGCATGCCGAAGGAAGCGATGCGGGTAGCGATGCGGGATATTCTACGCAATGTACGCCAGAACCTGCCACCAGGCGCAGGAGAAGACCCGAAAATACTTGTACCGAAAAGAGGCAAGAAGAAGTGCTCGTGGGCGCAGCAAGGAGAGGTGTGGGGACACGCATCGATTACCTTCTCGACGATGCTCGAGGTTATCGATTTCGATCTGGATAACTGCTACGTCATCACATACGACGGACGTCTGCTGAAGCAGGCTCGCGGTATCCCGATGGGGAGTGCGCTATCGCCGCCGCTGGCGATAGGGACTCTCGCGTGGATGGAGCACGAGTGGATGCAAACACTCGACGATGATGCGAAAGCGCGTTTCCGTATGAAGCGCTACATGGACGATGTGATCACGGTGACTGCGAAGGACGATAGCACGTGGGATGTTGATCGTTTCCGGGAAGATTTCCGCCGTTCGGAGTGCTACTGGGCCCCGTTGAAGCTGGAAGCCGCCGAGAGCACCCATTTTTTGGAAACGACTCTTGAGCTCGACCCAAGCGGAAGTTTCCGGACGAGACTCAAGAACGTTAATGAGGGCTGCGAGACGGCACCGCGAGTGTGGCGCTACCATCGTTGGGATAGCTTCACATGCGCTAAAATGAAGGCGGGCATCGTGGTTGGATGCCTGCTCAAGGTGGTCGCGATGGCAAGCGATGACGAGGGATTCGCACTCAGCGTGACGAGCAAGCTCAGGGAGTTTACGGCGCTCGGATACCCTTCGCACGTGCTTAATGGGGCGATCGGGCGCACGTTTGCTCGGACGAAAGACGAGCGGCTCCTACGAGCAAGAATATGTTCGCACTGGTGAAGGCCAGGCGAGCCAAAAAAAAGACAAAAAGACTCATCTAAGCATGTCGGAGAACCGTCCAAAGGCGGGTGCAGTCGACCAAGGGACATGATCTGTCGACAGCACGAATTTGTGATGGGACACCATCGGGACCCAACAGTGCGATACTTGGCTATCGCACTGTTGACGTACCGGCGGCTAAGGCCGAGTTGCCGGTGTTCACAGAGCTCTGTGAACACCGGCGAGAGATTTTTCTCTCGACGTTTCTTCTGCGAAGAAACGTTCAAACACTCGGTGTCGAAACACCTCTCCGACGCGCTCGACTATAGTCTGGCTGGAGCCGAGCAGGAGAGCCCAGCGCACAACCCCTGGTCAACTCAGGGTCCACACCCCGTATGGGTGGACGCGAGACAGAAGATGACGACATGCGCGAGCGACACACAGACACACAAACGCGGCGTGCCGTCCTCCCATCCCTCCCTTGGGTTGTCTGTTTTCTTTCTTTCTTTCTTTCTACACAAACTCAAGAGGGAGAATCTCAAACTCACAAGACACTCAGCCAGCAGCTGGGCTGCCACATCTCTCTCTCTCTCTCTCTCTCTCTCTCTCTCTCTCTCTCTCTCTCTCGCTCTCTCTCTCTCAGGCCAGCGAAATACAAAACTCAAGACAACCTCAAAAAGACAAAACCGCGTTACACCAATCCTCGCTACCTACCCAACGCGGCCAAAGGAGATCCAACAAAGAAAAAAAATTATCGCTCCAAATTTTTTTCATCAACCCGCTGCGTTTCAGATTCAGAGGGCGACAGAGGGCGACGACGATCGTCTGACAGGCGACAGCCAGGCGACGATGCATCTCGCCACTGCATTCGCGGCGGACTCGCCGTACGCGTGGTGGCAGCAGCACGCGTGCGGGATCAATGTCGAGCTACTGACCCGTTACTCGGCAGACACCGCGTACAACGACGGGCCGACGCGGGCAAATTACATGCAGCGGATGGCCGAATGCCCACGATGCTGGGCGGAGACGAACCTGGAGGATGAGCTGCTCGTGCCACCGATTGGGACGCCCGTGCCTAGCGACGCGAAGGAGAGCAACTGCTTCGAACTCTCACCGGGCGACGTGCCCGAGTGGGTTTGGGCGCCCTTTAGTGGCGAATTTGTGATGGTCGACCGATTTGGGGACGACGAGCGGCCGTACATGGAGACGCAGGGCACAGACTGGTTCACCATCTGGGCGTTTGGCAACGTCGCTAACTACGGCCTCGGGTCGCATGTTACCAACGTCGTCAGCGAGGGTGGAGGGCGGCTCAACTTTCACCTCTGGATCCCGTTCCTGCCTCCCGTGCTCTCCGACCCGTGCGCTGTAGCCGCACAGTCGAGGGCCTGGGCCTCACATAGACTCCGAGAGCGCCGCGGCTCTGCACGCTTCTTTAGAGCCGCTAGAACCTCTCCTAGTCACCCAACACGTCGCCTGAATCCGACAGGTGGGGCATCTGGACGGTCAAGACGGCGTACGACGTGGAAGTGTACTTTGACGGGCTCTACCGGGCGCACGACAAGACCGAGTACCCCATGCTCGGGTACAACTACGTTTCTGGCGTGTGGCAGGCGCGGCATGGTCGCGGCGCACACACCCTTCTCGGGGAGAGAGCCTTCTCGGAACCTTCCTGCACGGTGTGCGATCCAGGCGGACGGGCTGAGGCACGTCTCGATCCTCGAGACGGGCGGCTACATGGCCTTCCACTACCAGTGGCTGAAGGGGCAGGCGCGCCGGCAAATCACCCATCTCGCCCGCCCACATAACCGCTCTGTCTCTTGCGCTCTAAAACACACCGCCCACCGCCCCCATCTCCTCTGCCCCGTCCCTAATATGCCCCCCCCCTCCCCCCCCCCCACTCCAGGACGAGTATCTCGTTAACCTGACCATGTACCACCCCTCGCTCGGCCTCGGAACCGCCATCGCCAAGTGGGCCCGCGTCGGAGCAAACTCGACGGCCGCAGCGGGCTCCGCCGCCGCCGCCGCCGGGCCGGGCGCGACTGCGCTTGCGACGCCCACGGCGGCGGCGGCGGGCGGAGTGCTGCTCTTGGCCGCCGCTGCCCTCGCGGCTGCGGCGTGGAGGAAGCGTGGCAGTGCGGAGGCGGCCAGCAAGCCGGTGCGGGCCTCGCTGGTGTGACCGATGCCGGTGTTGTGGCGGGGACCGAGGGGGGACCAGGGGCAAAGCCCCCTGCCGTGACGCGACGCGCTTGCTTTTGGGTCGCGGCGCGTGAGGACAAGAGCGGAGAGGTGAGTACACAAGGACAGACGATGAACAGAGAGTGGTTGGGGTGTGCGGGTGTGTCGAGGTATGTGAGCGCGCTCGACGAGGCTCTGTGGGAGTGCGGAGTGCGCAGCGCGGCCAACGCTTCGATCTCCGGAGACGGAAGCCGCGCTATATTTGTTTCTAGCTGTCACCTGAACTTGTGTACGTGAAATATGTGAAGTTGTGTGCTTGCTATAGTCTGAATAAAGCCGTATGTGAAGTTGTGTGAATGTGTCTGTCGTGTGCTGTCTGCTGGTGCGGTGCGTGCGGATGCGTGTTACGGCTCTAAACCACAACGCAAGCCACAACGCAGCAGCCCAGCACATGCGCATGCACATGTACATGTGCATGTGCATGTGACATGTGCATGCAGCATGTGCATGTGCATGTGCATGTGCATGTGCATGTGCATGTGCATGCACGTAGCCAGTGTGTGTATGCACGGCACGGGTACACGGCTCTACGGACGGCTTTAGCGTCTAGCACCCGCACGCCCCGCACGGAGACATAGAGTTGTGGTATTTCCTGCATCTGCAACACCTAAAAGCCGAGGACTCAAAAAGAAAAATATCGTGGTGCCCGTCGTCGGTCGGTGGGCAACACTTGTAAAACGGCGTTGTGTCGCGACCTCAACTAGGCCCCTCGGGCGCGATATAGGGAACTGGCCGTACCGCGTACCGCTTCACACCCGCGGGGCCGGACCGATACCCTACCGGCCCCGAGGGGCCGACTCAACACGAGTAAAGTATTTGGATAATTTCACGCCCCGGCGGGGGTGATATTCGATGGGCACCCCGTGCCGCGCAGAGGGGGCGTGTATCTCCCGCGATGTGTCGCGGACAAACCCAAGTAGACGCAGGAGGCGTGTGCGGCAAGATTTTAAATGTTATTGCTAAAAGCTCTCTCTCTGTCTCTCTTCTCGCGCCGCGCCTTGGCTCGGCGTGCGGAGTCACCCTCGCGACGCGGCGCTGAGCGATCCATTGCAAGGTTGCGGGCGCGGCGCATCGCCTCCCGCTCGTCGGTCTTGTCCAGAGCATGCCATTCCGCCCGTGCGGCCTCGAGCTCCGCGCCCTCGAGGCAGCCAGCAATGCGCCGTGGCGGCCGACTGGGGAAGACGTGCATTCGGCCGCGGCCTGGTTCCCCAGGCATGATGGGGACGGTCCGGTCATTTCGGCACGGGTGCCGCTGGGCCGCGTTCTGGATGAGCTTCGGCAGGACCGATCCATCTTCGCCATCGCGCTGGGCCTCTCATTGCTCTCTTCGGCGGCCAGTCAGGTCTCGCCCTATTTGACAGGCCAGCTGCTCGACGCGCTCGCCGAAAAAGCGGCGTTTGATCAGTGCGTGCCGCTTTTGATCGGCATGCTGCTTGTCTCGCTGGTGACGGGCCTCCTCGGCTTTGTCCAGCGCAACATGTTCACCTTTATCAGCCAGTCTGTGTGCAAGAGGCTGCGCGAGAGCCTCCACTACAACGTGTTGCACATGCACGCATCGGTCCTCGAGCAGTGGACGCTGGGAGAGCTGCTCGCGCGGATGCACCAGGACAGCCAGAAGCTGCAGCAGGCGCTGCAAGGGCAGGTAAGAATAACGCGCAGAGATCGCTTTCGCCACCTCGTCCTTCGGATCAACGCACAAATGATCTTGTGCTTCCAATCATGAATGAAGTCGTATTCTGAATCTTCTTCAGGTGCCCCGACTCGCGTCTCAAGCCGGCACCGCGCTCTTCGCCGCCTCGATGATGGTGTACATTAACCACACGCTCGCTCTCCTCGGGTTCCTCACGACGCCGGTCATTCTGCTTGTCTCGCTGCGCTTGGGCCGGCTGGTAAAGAAATACTCGGTCCACGTGCAGGACTTAAACGCGGAGACTGTGGCGCTGGCTACAGACATTCTCACCAACGTTCGCACCGTCCAGAGCTTTGGGCGCGAGGCCGCGGAACAGCAGAATTACGTGGAGCGGTCGACGGCGACATTCAACACGCGCAGGAGAGTGGTTTTCATGATGTCAGGGACCAACATGCTCGTGGCGCAGCTCAAGTCGACCGCCAACCTCCTGGTCCTGCTATTCGCCGCGTGGCTTGTGCTCGTCAAGCACCCCGAGGGCGGGCCAGGGCCGCTGACGGTGGGACTCTTGGTGACCTTTCGCATGTACCTCAACACGGCGCTGAGCAACATCTCCGGGCTCTCCTCCGCATACGTCGCCATCCAGCAAGCGCTGGGGGGAACAGAGAAGCTGTTTGAGCTCGTCGACCTCGGGGAAGAGGTGACACGACGATACCTCGGCGGCGAGATCCGTGGGAGCCGGTGTCGAGGCGAGGTGGTCTTCTCAGCTGTGGCCTTTGCATACCCGTCGCGCCGCGACGTGAGAGTGCTGCAGAGCCTCACGTTCACCGCGAAAGCTGGCGCGACCACCGCCTTTTGCGGCCCCACGGGCTCCGGCAAATCCTCCGTCCTCCGGCTGCTGCAGCGTTTCTACGAGCCGGACGCCGGGCACATACTCCTTGATGGCGCGGATATCCGCCGCCTGGCACTGGGGTCGCTTCGCGAGTGCATCGCTAGCGTCGAGCAGGAGCCGATCCTCTTTTGCCGCTCCTTGGCCGACAACATCCGGCTCGGCCGCCCCTCGAGCTCGGACGAGGAGGTCCGCACCGCCGCGGCGCGCGCCAACGCAGCGGGCTTCATCGAGGAGCTGCCTGAGCAGTACGAGACCCTAGCGGGCGAACGCGGCACGAGCCTCTCGGGCGGGCAGAAGCAGCGCATCGCCATCGCGCGGGCGATCCTGAAGGACGCGCCCATCCTGCTGCTCGACGAGGCGACCTCGGCGCTCGACACGGCGAGCGAGGAGGCGGTTCAGCACGCGCTGGCCCTGCTGATGGCGGGTCGGACCACCCTCGTCATCGCGCACCGCCTGAGCACCATCGCGACGGCCGACACCATCGTCGTTATCGACCGAGGGGTCGTGGCGGAGACAGGCACGCACGATGAGCTGCTCGCCGGCAAGGGCATATACCACAGCCTCGTGGAGGGGAGCGCCGGGACAACGAGCTAGCGAGCTCAAGCAGAGCGCCGGGACAACGAGCTAGCGAGCTCAAGCATGCTTGAGCTCGCTACAGGCGGGATGGGAGCGTTAGCAGAGGTGGATGCTCGCGACGATTTCTTCTTGCAGGCGTTTATCTTCTTATGCAAGGCATCCTGGGCTGATCCTTCTGAGCGGAACAACGACGCCCAGCCTGTGCCCCTGCTACCATGGGCGCCGAGGTCAGCAGGCTGGGCGCGGACAGGTACAGCCCTGGCGCCATCCTCCGCTTCATCGCGCATATCGGCAAAATGTCGGTTGGCAACATCTCAGATGGCTTCCGCTCTGCCCTCGACACCGAGCTGGAGCGAGGCAAGGCCCTCGCAGCCAGCGCGTACCAAATGCACATCGGCTGGCGCGAGACCTCTCCGGAGTGGACCGACTTCCCGTGGGCTCGCGCGCCGGCGGAGGGCGGATCGGCAGAGCAGGCACGCGCACGCACATGCCGCTGTCAGCTCCGCAGCCCGCCCGCCCGCAAGCGCGCCACGCTCCCCGCCGCCAGGTCGTGTGCGACTGGCTGGAGGCGGTCGGTCTCGAGCCCCTCCCGCACGGCGTAGCGTGGAACCTCCTACGAATCGACAGCGCACTGCTCGCGTGCTGGGAGGAGGAGGAGGAGGAGAAGGCCTCGCCTGCGCCCCTGGACAACTTCCCGTCGTACGCGGAGGCGTCGGATGCGGTGACGCCGCCGTCCCGGCCGCTGCACCACCCCGCCTGGCTGCCTCTCGCGCTGCTGATGGCGCGTCGACACTTTCGAGACAACAACCGAGAGCTCACGCACACTCGCACACACGCACAGTGAGTCATGAGACACACACACACACACACACCACGAGGGAGTCTTGACACACACACACACACACACACACACACACACACACACACACCACGAGGGAGTCTTGACACACACACACACACACACCAGAGGGAGGAGAGCCACGGCTCTGCGATGGTGCTGAGGCGGGAGAACTGCGCACCCAGGCCACGACGGGTGAGGACGCCAACGCCTGGTCCATCTTCCCCCTCAACATGCTGATCGCGCCGCCGTCGGTGGCTGCGCACTTCCGCCTCTCAAAGTGCGCTCGCTCACGCCACGCCCCTCTGGAGAGAGACCACCGAGGGCGGCGTCCGAGGGACGCCGCCGCCATTGCCTCCTTGGGCAAGGAACTCACGCACACGCGCACGCACGCATGCACACAGACACAACACGCACGCACACACAAGTACACACACGCACGCGCACAGACGCGCGCAACTCTTAACGTGCGCCGCCGCAGCAGCTCCGACTGCAGCAGCTCCGACTGCATTGGAGGCACAGACTCCGCATCATGAATGCACGGAGGAGTGAACGCGCAGGCTGATGACGCCGGACCAGAGCAAGTCTCGCCGCCCTTCCGAGGTTTCGAAGCGGATGTTCGGCGAAATAGATGCGGGACGCGGACTCTGGTACACCGGCTGCCTCTCTCCACGGGGCATTTGTTCTCACGCGATGCCTCCCAGTGGGCTGCACGATGCCGCATCCCAGCCCTCCGCTCTGTGCATACACCAGGTTTGGCATGTGGGAGCTGACTTCGCTCACAAATTCCGGCCGGCCGCTGCCTGGCGGCGCCAAGGGGCGCATCTTCTACTCGGGCTCGTTCTTCTGCGCGCAAGTGACGGGCCTCAAGGGCCTGCTCCACTTCAACTACTCGGGCACGTGGCACGCCGAGGGGAGCAAGGTCTACCACGTCTGCTTGTGCAACTCGCCCCAGGCCCACGTCCCCCCCCCCCACCCCACACCCACACACACCACACCCACAGAGAGACGCGGAACCGCCTTGCTCCGCCCCCCTGCGGAAGACGCAGTCTCGCTGTACTCCGGCCGGCACTCGAGACGGCCGTGTCTGGCTGAGGTCGGGCCGCCTTCCCACTGCACCGCATGCGTCGCCCTCGAGAGGAGAGAATGCGACGCGCGATCATCCCGCCGCGCGCGCACCCCTCCCTTCCCTGTGCCTGCGCCAGCCTCAGCGCTCCGCGTCCGCTTTCTCCCTCAGGCCTGCTACGAGAAGCTCGCGCCGCGGCCGGAGCTCGAGGCGGCCGCCGAGCCTCGGCTCGGGTACGGCGCGGTGCGGGTGCGGTCGTATCGCTTCTGCGACGACGGCACTCTCGACCTGATGATCATGGACGGCGAGCAGGTCATGCAGGTGCTCGAGCGTCTAGAAGCGGGGGAGAGTGTGTCCGTGTCGTCGCAGCCACCGGTCGAGAGGAGACGCGGGGCGTGCTTGCGTGGCCATGCATGCTCTTGCCACTGCATTCGTGACACCCCCCCCCCTCCCCCCCCTCCCCCCCCCACCCACCCACCCACCACCACCACCACCACCCGGGTGCTTCGCAACGCAGGTCCTCAAGTGGAAGCGCGTGGACGCCTACTCGGAGGCGTCCGGCGGGAGGTGGGACATGAGCATGACGTCGCGACCGGCCGCGCCGGAGGAGGTCGGGAAGGAGGACTAGCCAAGGGCCGGCACCCGTGGTCGTGAGGTCTCAATGTATCGCAGGGTAGGACCGGATACGGCGGCAGCGGGAGAGAGAGTGAGGTTTACGATTTCTTTTCAGTTTTTTGTGAGAAGAGCAGAATTCTTTTTGCGGGCCCATGGAAGGCAACGAGCCGGACCCACAGCTGCCCGCAAAGAGAATCTTCTTTGTGCGACACGGCGAGGGCGAACACAACCTTGGGGGTCACGCCAGCAGTGGGTACCTGATAGCGGACGCCGTCCTCACCGCGGCCGGCCAGGTGCAGTGCCGGTCCATTTGCAGTGCCCTTTCTTCGCCTCCGCCACAGCTCGTGGTCGTTTCGCCGCTGCGGCGCACGATGCACACGGCCATGCTCGCTTTTGGCAACACGGCTCCCTTTCTGCTACTCCCGTCCATCATGGAGACGGGCCTGATGCCGTGCGACTGCCCGCAGCCGGCGGCCGGCGCCGCAATGCTGGAGGAGGTCGGCTGGCCGGGGCTGGCTCGCCAGTACGCGGCGCTCGGCGAGGGATGGGACACCAAGGGGCCGGGCTGGCGGGCGTCGGTGCTCGAGCGCTTCGCGGCGCTGATCGAGCTGCTCGGCGCGCGCGAGGAGGAGAGGATAGCGGTGGTGTCGCACCACGACTTCCTCAAGGCGAACCTCGGCATCTCGTTCGAGCCGGCCGAACTCCGCGCCTTCAGTCTCTGCGCCGGCGGGCTGTCCGCTCCGACTCTCCTCGATGGCACAGGCATTTTCTCGGAACCTTCTCGGAACCTTCTCGTAGGCGAGCTGCGCACCGAGTCGGACCCTCTCTTCCTCTGGACAGCCGAGCGAGGCGCCGCTCGCCGAGAGATCGCCCGAGACCACCCGAGATTTACCGAGATCACTGGAGAGGTCCGCTCCAGGTCTCGGCTCGCGCCGCTCGCCCTTCACCTCGCGGAGCTCCTCGTCGAACTCGCTCGTCGGGCTCATGTCGCGCGTCGGCTCGACCAGCCGCTCCAAGGCCTCCGCCCGCTCAGCTCCGTCTTGTTACGCGTCGACGCGTCCATGTCTCAGGCTCGATGAGCTCGATGGCCTCCACGCGCTCCACGTCGCCCGCCTCGCCGGACTCGCGCGAGCGACCAAAGTCGGTGCACGGCGGTTCCGTCTTCTCCTTCGTCAAGCGGAACAGCATCGCCGGCGACCGGGGCGACCGCCTCTCGCGCTCGATGAAACGCGCGCACGGGCCACTTCCCAGACACTTCCGAGACTTGCCTGAGCCCCCCCCCGTTGACACTTGCGCAGGCCTAAGCGTCGCCGCCTCGACAAACGAGGCAGACGACAGGCTCGCCCGGTCCGCGCACGGCGGCTCGCTCCACCGCGACCTCGACGCGGTGGGGCGGCGGAGCGCCCCCTCTTCGACACACGGCGGCATCGCTTTTGGCGCCGACGCGATGGCGCGAATCGCGCCGCCGCCCGCCGCGGTGTCGCTCACGCTGCGCGTCGATGTGGGCGGCACGGCGGACTCAGGGCACAAGGGGGCCACCCCCGCCCCCGGCAGCGGGTCGCCGCCGCCGTCCAGCCCGTCGCCGTCGTCGCTGGGCTCTACTACTAAGGCGAGCAGCCCGCTGGGGCGGCGCAGCTGCATCGCGCCGGCGCTGCCTCCGCACTGCGAGTGAGCCGCACCGAGCGAGGGCGCTAGCGCTGCCGAGGAGCGAGGTTTTGTACTCCATGTTTTGCCGGCGTGCCGGGCGGGTCGTCGAGAAGGGAGCCGCTCCCGTCCGATCCCAGGGCGCCGTGCGTGTGCAGATCTTGTATACGTCTGTCTCTCGAACTCTCGCGGCTGGAGACTCACTCAACGCTTGAGCAGAGTTCAGTATATGTATAGTTAATCCCCTGATCCCCTCTCAGTAGGATTTCTCTAAGTCTCGTTGTTGCGAGGCGGACAAATCCTCCCTGCCTTCGGGCCCCGTCGCCTTCGGGCACCACGCACTCTCACACGCCAATACACGCGCGGCCGGCGCCCCTCATGCCCCTCTCCGCGCACACCGCGTGAAAACTGCGCGTACGTCCCCGCGCGCACGCAAACAAACGAGCAGCGCTCACAAGCCTGTGTCATGTGCGTCTGCCCTGTGCTGGCACCCCATGGCTGCGCCAGCCGCCCGCACCAGCCACGCGCCTCTCGCACCATCAGAGCTAGCCGCACGACCACTCACGCCGCGACGCGCGCGCCGCAGTGAACCCCACTGACAGTCCACGCCCTTTGCCAGGCGCCTGCACACTGTTTCAGGCACCATGCTCTACCAGAGCGCGCCGCGCCCGGCACACGACGCAGCTCCAGCGCGCGAGGCGCGCGCGGCGGCACGCCGCGCGCGGCGGCCGCCGCGCACGCGCCCCGCCATCCAACCAGATCTGCACAGCCTGCCAGCAGGCAATGCAGCAGACCTGCTGGACACTCAACACACACGCACGCTCACGCCGCCCGCCCACTGCGCGGCTGACTGCACCTCGCGACAGCTCCGTCCCACCAGGCGAGGCGCGCTGGCTCGCCGCGCGCGCTCCCTCCCGGGCGGCTCGGCCAAGATTGCTTCACCTCCCCATACCTGTGGCTCGCTGTGCAGAGTGCTCCCACTCCAAGACATTCTACGTCGAGGTCTGCGCTGTCCCCGGCGCGAGCAAGCAGGAGCTCTCCCCTCCCCCTCTAACCCACCTGGGGTACTCACAAACAGCCTAACCCCTCCCCTACCAAC